GCGTCGCGACGGGAGCGCGCAATCGGCAAAGAGGAGCTACCCGAAAGCTGGCGTCGTATGAGTCGTCTTCTACGTTTATCACTTTCTAGGCACACTCTACTACACAAATCAGCGATAAAGTGCTCAGATTCTGTACGTTTGGACCAGCATCTGGACCAGCATCATTTTTCTCCAGTTGCACAAGTGTCCTCACGTCATCCTCAACATAGGAGACGGAGAAAGAACTGCCACTGTGTCTCTGGGCAAACCACGGAAGCGAACGGTTTAGGGTTTCGGGTTCGAAACTTCGCTTCGCGAAAAAGTAAAAAATTCAGCCTCACTGCCACAATGATGAAAAGAAAAAAACACCGAGACGCACGTACGACCGCCAGTTGTGCAAGTTCTGGCGAAGCAACTCGGCCGGGGGAAGCTCGATTTGTGCCATGGCGAACGCGTGCAGCCGGTACTCGTAGTACGCCAAGTAGTCGGAGTAGTCCTTCAACAATGCAGTCTGCCAGGTCCCTGCTAGCGCCGACGACGCCAGCGTTTGGAGCGAAAGCTGGTTCTGCGTGTACACTTCTGGGGCGGGAGGTGGCGCTGCAGGGCTCGAAGATCCTATCGCGGCTGCAAACGGTCGCGCAGGAGAGAAAACTTGTGGATCTTGTAGTACTCTTCTTGCATCATCACCGATGTTCTCCAGGAGACGAGCTTGCAGCTGCGCCCAGTGTGAAGATAGCCACTGCACGCGTTCCGGCGCCGCACTTTGTTGCATCTTATACAACCCGTCGAGCATGTCCGTCAGCAGCGCGTCTAGACGGACATCCTCCGAGCGCCAGGCATCCGGGTACAGGTCGATTGCATTGGCGGCAGAAAAGGCTTCAAGATGGTAACTGGCGAGAAAAAAGCTCACCCGCGCCCGGCGCATATTGCGCTCGGAGTTCGGCATGTTTGGGGTCGTAAAAGGGTCGACCCCGGACAAGAAATTCTTCAATGCCCGACCTAAAACTCGGCTCAGGCTCTCCCTGCGAAACCCGGGGGGATCGCCGACGCGGCCTTCGTACAGGTGCTGAAACTGTTCACCGTCGATCTGCAAAGCGCCCAACAAGCACCCGAAAAGCGCGCCCTTACGCAACACGCGCGTTTCGCGGTCGAATCGACGGCGCTCCAGCGAGGCCGCGACGACGGAATCGACGTTGCCGCGAAGTCGCGCCTGCTCTTCCTCCTCCGGAGCGGTGTTTCGGCGACGCCGCGCGGCTCGCTTCTCACTCGTCTGCTCGAGCCGTTTCAGACCCTCGAATTCCCGCTCCAGCGCAATCCTGTCCAGGTCCACAAACAAGGCTCGCTTGGCTCTTCGTCTATCACTATTCGGCGACGTCGGAGCAGGGCTGAAGATGTCCGAGCTCAGAGTGGACTCCGTATCGGAGTCCTCGCCGTAGTAATCGCCCATGTAATCGTAGCCACCGGCGCTGACCAGCCCGATGTCCTCCGTGTCTAGATCGTACTCAAGAATGTGGTGAAAGAAAAAGTCCAGCAACCAGATGTGATTCTGCAGGCGCTCGAAGCGGGGCTGGTCCCCAGGATTATTGATGTCATATACAGTCTGCAGTACCTCATCCACCCTCTCCCGGGCCCCGGCATCCCGCCCCACCTTGGTCACCAGGTACGGTCTGCGTGCGATTGTCGCGGCTTGCGCTTGCTGCGGATAGTGTTCCGCAAAGAGAGAGGGAACGGGTTCGCCATGATCCGCATCAAAATTTTCTTCCACAGAAAGTGATTGGATCCGAAGCAGGCCCTGCGTCATCCGGTGGACCACAATCGCGACGGAGTTCATGATATACTGCTGGACCACAAAGCGCTCTAGCTCATCCGCCAACTCCGACAGTTTCTTCTCCTGTTCTTGCTGCTCCTCCGCACCAGACTGCGGCGAGGAAATTGGCTCGGCAGAAGCCGCCGCTGTCCCTGATCCGGAAGACGCAGAGCCTTTGGTGGTTCTTCCTCGTCGTTCCGAGCTTTTGCTCGAGGACGCTTTCGAGGAAGACCGCGCAGCTCCTTTTGCTTTGTTGCGTCCATGTTGCAGCATGTTGCCCCTGGTAGAAGTACAACCGCGTGTGCTTCTTTTGGAGTTCTTTCTCAGCGCAACAGCTTCCCTCCGCTTTCGGAGCTCCAGTTGTTCCTGTGCCGCGGCCGCTACACCCTCTTTCGCAACGTCTTCCAGCACCGCGCGCAGTGGCATTCGCACCCGGTCGGCGGTCAGCAGGTCCATTAGCTCGGAGACAAATTTCGTCAGCACGTTGTGCACGTAGTACTCCCGTACGAAGTGTTGCTCCTCCATTTCAGGCGGCACCTCCGTGACCCCGCGACGGAAGCGTGGGGCCTTCGCCGTGAATGCGTCGATGGTCTCCGCCAACTCTGCCTGGACGCCAAGTCTCTCTGATACCCCTCGCAAGTCGACCAGCGCCTCCTCTGCCGCCTCGGCGGCACCCCGCACGCTCCCCGAGGCGGCGCTGCTGCCCGAGGCCGCGGAAGAAGCCGAAGTTTTTGACGACCTAGTGGTCCTGTTTGGGCGCCCACGTCGACCTCCCGATCGACTACTGCGTGAAGACGCGGCATCTTCGGACGATGCGGCCGAAAATAAGGGCTGACCTCGTTGAAAAAGAAAACCTCCCTCCGCCGCCGATCGCGGAGTCGCAACCGGCTCCTCGTCATCATCCGAAGAGAAAGATAACCCACCTGGTTCTTCTGGTGGTCCAAAATTGCGCTGGTGCTCCCCACCTGGTGGCGCAGATCCCCGCGGCGCTATGTGAGTACTACCCCGCACCTGCCGCTGCAACTCCAAGTCCTGGCTGAGCCGCTTTAACCGATCGGATTCTTTGACCGTTTTGTTGCTCGCCTGTGACGACACGCTGCCCTCCGAGTCCGAGGGTTCAGAAGACGGGTATCCTGCCTCCGAGCCGGAGGAGCGGGACGACGCGGCTTCTTCTGCGCCACGCTGCAGTACGATTTTGTGCTCGACGAGGGCAAGGAGCTTGTTCTGGTGCAGCCGCCCCGGCGCGTCGCGACGCAACGCGTTCAAACGGTCTGGTCGCGTAGAAGAGGACTGGTCGTGTGCAATCCGTGCTGCAGGTCGTTGCTGTTCCCCCTGACTACCTTGTTCCGCGATCCCGGCTGGTACCGTGTCGCCTTGAAGATGATCCTCGAGAACTGTCGAAGCACTACTCAAAACCTGTCCTGTACCGTTCTGCAATTGCCGCCACAGCTCCTGTGCCAACTTTGCCAATACCGGGCCCGCTGCCTCGGCTTCGACGACTCTCTTCACCAAAGCTTCTACCACTTTCTCCGCAGTTGTCTGTCGGCCGACCAGCACCTGCAGCGCGCCGGATGCGGATTTCTGCTGCAACTTCTGGTACACGTTTTCTTCCGTCGGCAGCAACACCTCATGATCGCTAAAGGTTACACGGCAGTGTCGCGAAAACCGGAAAATCGGACTCGTGTCCAAGGGTAGCTCCGCGTACACGTCCGCACCTGTGACCGCACCGACCGCAGCGCTTGTCGGGCGCACGACTTGAAATGACGCGACGGCATTCCCTGAAATGGCCCCCGTGACAGAGGCCAGGGACCCCGGGTGCAGCTCGCGATTCCGCACCTTCACGCCCTTGGTTGTCGGAGAGGAGGGAAGTGATAGCGAACCCTGGCTCGCTGGACGACCAGCAGCATTGTAAGGCGGGGGCAACATGAACATCATCTCATGATAGTCCAGGTTGTTCATGTAATCTTGCTCTCCCTCCCGTGGTGCTGCCAGGGCGGGTCGTGCCAGTCCTGCTGTCTCAGCGAAGCCTAGAGGTGGTACTATCTCGTAGTGCATGTTCCGTTGATACCCAACGATCTCGATAGCACGCGGCTGAACGTACGCCGTGCCGTTGTGAAGCACCGTGCGGGCCGGTCTCTCCCCGAGCACGGGCATGAATACTACCACTGGCTGCACGCCCCAATCCTGCGGGCGGGCGGGCGAGGGCGTTTGAAACTGAAAGACCGGGTCGTCGTCGTCCACGTGCCGGCGTGGACTGCCCGGGGGCGGTGTCCGAAGATCATCCTCCAGTTGAGGCTGTTGCTGCTGTTGCGCACCATAGCCGAACGTACTACTTAGAGTCGCCCAAACGACCAGCAGAAAAGCGTGTCGTCGCGATTGCCCTGGAAAATAACTCCAGCAATCTCTCTTGATGAAGCTCTGCATGTTCTGCTGGTCCGTAAATTCTAATGATTCTATCTAATAAGCAGACGCAGCCTGCTGCTGGTATGAGACACAGGCTCACAAATGTAAGTGAAAATTGTCTTCAGCTGTTCATAAAGAACCACCGCAACGATCTCGCTCTTCACAAGTTAGTCGCTATAGAAAAAATATATTTCTGATCAAATGTATGAGGCAAAGCGATGTTTGCGTCACAAAGAGGACACATCTCGGTAAATGAATTTTTGGAGTAAAAAAAAGTAAATCATGAAGTCTTAATTGATGAATTGGTGCGTTCTTCTTATTTCGTAGTGTGCTTGATGTTACCCTGACTAGTTCGAGTTGCTAGCTGCCGCTGCCCCGGAATATTAAACTACAAATATTTATATGACTGTCCTAGGTGGTTCCTTCTTGTGTAGTTGTTTAGTAAGCCTAGGATTGAATTTTCGGACTTTGCTAAGCTGTGTTACGTCATAAGCCATCGAACAAGTTCGAGTTCAAGTTCAAGTAGTACGGACAATCTGAGCCTTAAGAGAAGCTCGCGAGGATCCAGTGCTTCATATCACAAGGAGCTTAAGCTGCATCTTCACGAACGGGACAATCATGACGATGATCAACATTTCTGAACTTCAACTTTTCCTGCCGGCACGAGCTCTCGAATCAGCAGGCCAGCATCCATGTCGCCCTCATTCAAGAACGCACTGGCTTTCGAACGCCCATCTACTTAAAGAACAAAACGATGCTCGACTTTGTTCTTCCAGTCCAACAAATCGTGGCTCTTCTCGTCTGGTTGTGAGTTGAAAATTTGTATCGATTGCGTTTCGATCCTTCTTGATGTGTGCGGGTACGCGGCCTGCGCGGGGTCCTTGCTATCAGCGCAACAAAAAATCATATCCTCATTTCACAAATCTACTTGCGCACGTAGCTGCCTTATACTGGCGACGTGGCTCCTCACACCCTCATCCTTCGAGGAATCAGCTAAAATCCCCGAAAGACGACGCTGATCGCGGGATGTTTTGGATTTTGTTGAGGTGGTCAAAAATCAGAAATTTTTGCGAATCATGTTACCGTCACAAGATGTTCAATGATGTCTTCGTGGCCCTTGCGGTTCTACTGCTACACTTGCGAAACAAAATTGGACAGCTTCATAAACTTGTCAACACGTAGCAGGGATTTGGATCATCATGAAGGTTTCCGATGATGGAAAGCACAATCCTTTGTCACTATGTTTTGTTGATCTTGATGTTGCGTCAATGCTATATTCTCCTGATCCGCAAGTCACCCGGTCGCACTCGTGATTGGTCCGGTAGAAACCAGCTCCTGTGGTTTTTCGAGAATCGATTCGGCTGCGGGCGCGGCCGGCGAAGCGCTTTGTGGAGGTCCGGATGCAAGGTCTCCGGCTTGCGCACCAGGGGTTGGTTGTACGGACACGGCGGACACGGGTAGTTGTTCCGGTTTCGCGCTTCCTGGAGGTGGCGGTTCCGGTTTCGTGCTCACGGGCGGCGAGTCGTTGGCGTTTTGTGCTGGCCCTCCTCGCGGACTGTCTGCTTTATTTCCCAACTTCGTCGGATCCTCATCGTACCTTCCGCGCAACCGAAACAGTTCTTTGAAGTGGGTCGGACAGTAAAACTCGCCTGTTGGTGCGCGCGAAAACTTTCCGATCATCAGTTTTCCGTTGCACATCTTGCACCGAAAGCAGTCCTTGTGGAAAAGGGTCCCGTCTATAACCAGCTTCTCCATCGCATATACCGTCTTGCCGCTGGTGTAATTTTTTCGCAGCTTGTCTGTCTTTCGTCCCTTTGCACATTAGTAGCACAGGGCCTGTTCTGAAACTCTAAGTGTGATCATATGCATGTTGACATAGAACCTCCGAATGATCCAGGTGGCATACAATAAATTGTATATTGAATGCATGCAGCAAAAAGAACAATGCACAATATACCAGGCATGGCATGCTGTTGACGCAGATGCAGCTGTCGCTGCCCCTCCTCCGGCCCCAGTTTTGCGGCATCTGTTTGTAGAAGGACAAGGAAGTTCCTACCATTACATACACCTTCAACTGTCTTCCTTCCAACGAAACAACATTATGGCAGTTCCTTCCAGCGCACCAGCACAATAGTTTTATTCGCCCCGTCTCTGTTGGCTAAGTGCTGGTGGCGGTGGCGCAGCGCATAGGCCAGTGCACGTGGCGATGGCTAAGAAGTGCGGTCGTGTTCAATATCTCCGGGCGTCTCGCGTCTGGGGCTGCCACGTAAGGGCGTATAAGCAACAAAATTTTTGAGTAAGTGTCTTTTCCGTAGCATTGGCAGCGAGACGGAGGTGGTGCATACCACGTCATCTTATAGCACATGTGGAGGCGGGCAAGCACGGGCGCATGTTCCTTTCCAGCCACCGTCCCTAGTGGCAAGGCAAGCGCAAGAACCTGCTATCCTGTTTGGTCAGCAGGTAACTAAAGATGCGGGTACATACATTTGATTTTTTTTACATTGCTTAATAATTTCGACTTCCAGGCTAATCTATTGCTGCATCAATCGAAAAAAAGTATACGCTGCGCAAGTCGTTCCCCACCCTTTGAACTCCGTCTGACACTTGTCACAGGCTTTCACCATTTGAAGGCTGTAGTCGTTCTACTTTGTGCAGTAGAAAGTCGTGGTGCATTTCGCGCATGGACAGACAATTTTCTTATGCCGAAGTGCTCAGACGACTCATCGATTGTATTTTGTCGAAGCTATCACGACCGCCAATCTCTTCCCGTAGCGCGTGGCTATAATGTGTGAAAAGATGAAGAAGTAGAAGACGAACCACAACTTGTATAATCAGAAGTTAATTTTACATTGGTAGAAAGGACAACTTTCAACCGGTTCCATGTGACCAATCTCAACAAACAAACAAAAGAATCAATTGTGGTACTAAAGCAGCTCGCGTCCTCCAAAACAACTGTGTCGCTTCCTCGAACTAAAATAATGCTGCCTCGTCCTTATTTGCAACGTGCTTCGTTTACGGGAAAAGGAAAGTAAGTGGGTCAGTTCTGGTGTGGTGTCGCAAGCACATATCTAAGCAATCATTCTGAATTATCCCGACTCTGACTGTCGCTCGACCACTTCCGATACTCCTCTTGACAGACGTTGTCCTTTAAGACACGTACAAGATGTTGCGACCGAAAAGGCTGTCAACGGTTCCCCCGGGACTCAGATAAGTTTTTATCAGAACACAAAATTGATTGACATAAAACATGTTCTATGATGACGTGAGACAACATCACCTAAGGCCACTGGCGGGCTAAAAATGGACTGTATTTTACAACAATGAAATTACATGTGGACCCTCACAGCATCGATATTACCGATCGACAAAAGTTTTCATTCGACTGATAGACGTACTGGGTACCAAAAACAAACCGGAGTCGGCTTACCACGGCTGAAATGCACTCTTGAAATTTGCATCAAACCTATCTTCATGTTCACACTGTCTTGCCCTACGGATAAATTGTCGCAAGAAAGCCAAACTTCTTCTTCTTCAATCAAAACACTTCTTATTGCGTTTTTTTCTCGGGATTCGGAGATGCTGGCCGCGCGACCAGCCCAAAAAGCCTCGCCGACGTGACTGCTACGAAAATGCAACTCGCTGCCGACAGCCCCGTGGCCGGAAAACCGTAGTTTTGCAACACGTACCCGGCGACCGGCGGAATGACGATCCCGACGACGCTGCGGGTTGCGTGCCGCAGCGCGATGGCCGAGCCCTGCTCTTCTGTGGGGGCGGTGCGGGATGTGAGACTTGTCATGACCGTGTACAGAAACGCCGCCGCGACGGCTAGGGGGAAGAAGAGCACGACGATGTGGAGCTTCGTTTTTGCCTGGCTGTACACCAAAAACATCATCAGGATCACCGTGCTGGCGTACTGAATGGCCTTTTCCTCCCCAAAGTACTGCACCGGGGTATTGCAAGGAAAAATCCCCCCTCCCCATATCGAATCGAAGTTTCTGATGCTGGATTTTCGTACACACATCAGATTTGTCCTGCAGTAAAGGACTGCAGGCATATGCCAAGCCTCAGTCGAGAGGTTTTGACGTAGGCGCCTAGCATGGCAAACGTGTATGCTCTAAGCCCAACAGCATCACAAACCGCCTGCAAAATGCGGAGCGCTTTCTGGGTTTGCCTTCTTGCAAGACAGACAGGATTTGAGGTCACAAATGCGCATCACAAATTTTCAGACGGATACGTTTTCGATATGGGGAGAGGGGATTTTCCTTACGATACGGGGCTTTGATCCCAATCGTGTTCACCACCACTCTATCAAATGCAAAAATGTCTGGGTCTGGAAACTTGTGATGCTGAGTGGCGTAGCATGAGGAGGCCACAAGTGCTGGCTCAGCATGACAAATTTCTGAGCTTGTAGGTGTTGCCTATTCTGCATGACAAACTGCGTCTCCGCATGACAGAAAAGTGCGGCTCTTGGGCAACGTGCATGACAGATTTAAGAGTCATGCTCATGCCAGAAAAGCATGACAAACATGCATTCTTCCAGACCCAGACATTTTTACATTTGATACACTCCAACCGCCGCAGAGGTCGACATGAGCATACCCATTTCCGAACTGCTCACGTCAAAGGTGTCGATCGCGGCCACGGAAAAGGAACTTTGCTGCATCGTGAAGCCGGCCGTGATAATGGTGGTGAACAGAAGTGAGGAGCGGAGTTCCTTATTGGTAGTGAGCAGCTTGTAGTAGTTCTTGAACCCAAATACGTCCTCGCTTTTCTTTATTTCTTTTTCCGCCTCTACTGCTGCAGTCGCGCTATCCTTCTTTTTGTCGCTCTTGTGGTCGTCGACATCCGCAAGAAACTGCGCGTCAACGGCCGCAATGAGGAGGCTTAAAACGCCCGCAAAGAATGCGACGAAGTTGAAGCCGAAGATTTCCGCGAGGAAACCACCGCACGCATATGGATTACAAAAATGTCTGGGTCTGGAACTTGTGATGCAAATCTACGAATTGTGGGCGCACTACCATATGCAGCCCACCAGCATGACAAGTTTTTGCGCTGCTGTGTATTTCGTTTTTCGCATGACAAACTGCGTTTTTGCATGACAGGCAAGAGGCCCGTTTCCTGCTCATGCATCACAGACTTAAGAGTCATGCCAGACAAGCATGACAAACATGAATTCTTCCAGACCCAGACATTTTTACATTTCATAACGCAGAACCCGGTACCATTCCCAGGCCGTAGGAGAGCGCTAAACGTATGCAAGAAAAAAACTGTGTAAGTGTAAATTTGTGTTGCAGAACATGCAACAGAGTTACACCTGTCATGCCAGACAGCCATAGAGCCTTCTTTTCATGTGTGTTTTGCCTTACAGGCCACGCATGACAGGTTTTCTCTGTCATGTAGAGCAAATTTGTGATGCTGTTTCTGAAAGAAAGTTACACTAACACAGTCTTTTTCTTCGATAAAACGCCCCATTAGAACGCTGGTGTGGTGCTGAAGAATGTTGGAGAGAGTAAAATCTTGTTGAACAAGACTACATCCAGGTCGATGATCCTTCGTCGAAATAAACGATTTAAATTTATCGAATAAAAACACCGCGCCGGCGAAGTGGCACGAAGATATCTAATGGAGAACGAATCACCCTACCTCTTCCGTTATTCCATACGTGTGCAAGAGCTTGGGCACGTAACTTTGCGCCACCTGCATGCACTGCATCAGGCAGGTTGGTAGCCGGGATAGAAAGAGCAGAGCCGTGTGAAAGCTGAAGCCGAGCGACAGGTAGGCCACGGCAGACCCCAACGTGGTAACCACCATGCCGAGGCGGGGCGAGTACACGTCGACGTACCGCCCGATCGCAGCGCCACCCAAAATCTGCATGATGTTCGTCACCGTTTGGAGGTATCCGAAGGTGACGGCGTCTGCTCCGAGGGATTTGGATAAGTATGGCAGGACTGGTTGCGTGATCCAATACGCGAAGGCGTACACGACAATATTCCCGTGGAGCAAAACCAAAGCAAACAGCAATTTGCGCTTGCTTTCGTCAAAAATGCTGGTTTCCAGCCCGACCAGGTAGCAGCCGAGCCGGTCGAGCACCGACATGGGTGATGAAACGGTAGAGGAAGCCATGAATTGTTCTTTTCGAAGTTCGTATGGTCTTTTAAATAGTTGCAGGAAATCGAAATTCAACCTGAATAATATCAGATAAACCCCTGTAGGAACGAAACACAGCGGCTCGAAATCGCTTATCCCGATACTAAGGAAATTAAAACCGGCCTTAACAAGAGGAAACACTACTACAGGAAAAACGCCGGCAGGGCAGATTTGCCGCCGGACCGCTTCACGTAATCCATTTCTTCGTCTCGTCAAAGATCTAAGTAAGTGCCTAATTTTTCTTACGATTGGCGCTTCCAGCCAACACGTTTACGTAGAACTGTTGAGAAAAAAAAACGACGCAAGTCACTTTTTCTTTCTATTCTCCCACTTGTCCATTTCTACATCCCTGAGCTGTTGCTTTTCTTCCCAATTTTTCTTTTCGTCGCAGTACGCCACGTAGCAGAAGACGCCCAGGATCAAGTTTACGGCGAAAATCGCGATCAGCGCTGCACATATCCACGTCGTGTCCGGGTCCATCTGTGTGTACTTGTTCAGGAGGGAGTGTGACAGATACCTTGTTATTTACATGTATTTATTGAATGCACGCAGATCATTTTTCCAAACAGAGTTTAGCAAAAAGAAAAACCTCCACGAAACAAATGCAAATGGAAAGACACGAGTCGCAGATAGATTGGTACATTGCCCCGACGGGCAGCGTGAAGAGAAGCGCCGACACAAGGACGAGGACGTTTTTCACGCGCTTGTTTTGGTCGGCGAGCAGCAGCAGTCGGATGTTCACGGGCGTGTACTTGGACCAAAATTCGTCTCGCAACTCCTGCACTTCCCCGGCGAGTGGCAGCTTCATATCGGGGCCCTGCTTGATCGCCTCATGCAGCTGCTTCATTGCATCCAAAGCCGAAGGCGCCTCTTTTGTTTTCATCTCCGCTCGTTGTTGCGTTGTCCCGGTGTCGTTGTTGCCAGTGCCACCATCTTCAGCTGGTAGCAACGTAGTACTTCCTGTCGTAGACGAGGAAGAGCCAGCGTCGCTCGTTTTCTTCGTTGCACTCGAGGAAGTGGTGCTCTCCTCGCGCTCATTTAGTAAAGTCGTCGTCGTGGCGGACATGGTCAAAGGTTTTCCTTTTCGGCCCAGAAGCGGTTTTGTCCGAAAATAAAGCGGCTCGATTCCTAGTTTTAAAAAAACGTGTAATGCGCACGGGCACGGAGTGACAGTGACACCGATACAAGTGATATCAAAGAGCAGCTGCAGTGTGCGATGCATCTCAATCCTTTGGCCAATACAGCAGATATCGTCGAATTGATTATGATCGTGCAGCGCTGCAGTTCGCCGTCGCACGTTCACGGTTTTCGTTGTTACAAGCGATCGCACAAAACAAGATCACTGACTTCGGAGATCAGGAGCATGTTCGTGAAAGACTCACACCAAATCAAGCAAAAACCGAAGTTGAAAGCCAGTCGACCGTGACAATGGATTGGTCCAGAAAGAAAAAACAATTCCAGTCGTAGTACACAAGACAGATGGTAACGGTAAATCAGTGGAACATCCGCTACGGCAGTGGAAAGCAGGTACTCGCCGAAGAACAGCGCTGTCACAGGTACAGGCTACTGGCATTATTTTAATTTCTGCAGCTCTGGTGTCACTATTTCGGTGTTCCAAGCTCGGTAACGTAAACGTAATCGTAAATCACAAATGCACATGCTTTCTACTTCGATGGCAAAGACACGAGATGTCTTCCATAATAAATCAGATTAATGACCTCGTGCCGGTCGTGTGTTTCTCCTAGGTCAAACAAACCCTCAGGCTCTTATTTACTTCCGTGGAACAGATTCCTCTGTGCCGGTGACGACAAATTGAATGTCATTTTTCGGAATTTTATTTCCTACACCTGTTTGTACTCCAGGACAACGCTCCTCAGTCCCACGCTTACTGACGACAGCTTTTGTGCCGCCTGTGTTTTTGCTACTCCGAGTGGTTCCTTGACTCTGACTGCTTCCTGTTCTACAAAATGAAGTAGGTCCTCGTGGCGAAAAGTGGTAAATAGGAGAAGGCTAGCGGCAGCATGGGCAGGACGAACAGTGCAGAGTAGAAGATCCAAATGCCATCTTCCAGCATCAGCTCCGGAAACAGGTTGTACATGAAAAACGTCATGCAGAGGGCGGTGATGTAAAACGTCAGCTCGGCGAACAAGTTCTCGAAGGCGGGGACGGGAAGAAACGTCAACGTAAACTGCATAAAGAACGTGAACACGCCCGCAACCGCGCCTCTCGAACAGTTCGAGAAGCAGAGACGGTAGACCGCTGGCACTGCCCAAGCCGCGGGGAGAATGACGAGTGCGGTAGGCAGGGCCTTCCACGGCGCAACCAGAAGCGATAGACTGCACTTGGAAAAGCCCGCACTTAAGGTAGACAGCGGCACGGCACCGCTGGCCGCAGCTGCACAGGCATACGGTCGCAGCGCCCAATCAAACAACGTCCTTCGCTGGTCGCACAGCGGGCTCGATCTCGGCGTCGTGTTAGCACTGGCACAGCTCGCTGCAGCAGAAAAATTCGGGATCCCGACGGTGGAACAGAGGGTGCTAGAGCGCAACGTATAGCTGTGGAACGCGGTTGGCGCTGGGCGGCCAGGTGCAACAGTTCTCATGCCCGTCAAAAAGCGTTTGGCACTAGTTTCGCCGGGCGTGATGCGGCCCAGGAGGCTCGGGCACATCCGCTTCGGAAGAAGGTGGGAAAGCATCGCAAACCGCTTGCTTTTCTTCAGCTTTACTCCTCGCGCGTCGCCGTCTGTTGACTCGCCGAAGAAATTAGCAACTCGTCAAGCGTTCAAAAATCCTGGACATAGGTGTGTTTTCTAATCAGGAGAGCTCCGCCCCCTTCAACGTACTTAAGTGCTCCAGCGGAGAACTCCGTTTGGAACAGCAACACTGCGACAAAGAAGCAAATCAAATTCAGTTGCTGTGTCAGCAAACTCGGAGACCCATCAGCAGTGGAGGTACAACTTTTCTTGTTTTAGAAAGCATCACGACACGGACGTTCAAGATGAGGCCCTATCTGTCGACTTTTCTCGTGTTAGTTGAAACGAAGCACAACCTTCTTTCTCATGATCCGGAAAAAACAAAGCCAACCACTGCAGATGTTACACACATCCTCGTCCTGCAGCTCAAGTCGTATTTCGCACGCTTGTGCGAAGAACCTGAAAAAACGACAGAACAACGTCTATCTCGTCCGCCACACACAACATTGCTCGCGTTCCGTTTCGTCTTTATTAATTTTCGTTTTCCTGAGCGAAACTGCATTGCGCAGCAACTCCTAAGGCAGCTGCGCCGAACCCCACTCCCAGTCCCAGCAGAGGCATAGCATTGCTCTTATCTGGTGCATCGTCTGTCACATTTGCATATGCAAATGCTTGTTTCTCACTGCAATCCTTTTTTGCCTGCTGGAACGCCTCGCGTTCGCAACAATCACTCTGAAGATTTTCCGCAGCAGGAGATGGCGATTCGGAAGTGAACACCACCTCTCTCGGACCACCTTGTCCTGAGGCAGACCCTCCAAGTGCAGTGGCTGTTTCGGAAGAACTCCTCGCCACCGATTCTTGTTCAATGCCAGCACACGCCGTTACCTCATCAGGAGTAGATGCCGTGGCCGAGACGCTTTGCTGCATTTCAACCAACCTCTCTACTTCCGCCGGGATGCCAGTAGTACTCACACTTCCAAGGCCAGAAGCAGAACTTGTTGTACCAGCCACACCTCCTCCGACGGGCGCACCACCACCACCACCTGCGGTCAAAGACGTACTTCGCCGAAGTCGATTTTTCTTCGTCAACCCGTGCTCAAACTGCAGCATGCAAGGTCCGACGTTGATTCCCTGTTTCCACAGCTTCTGGTGCGTGTTGTCGCAGTAAGGAAAACGCAGGGACAACCAACAGCGGCACACAACCATCCGCTCCCGCGAATTCACGGAGGGCAGAGCGGGCTTCAAAATTTCGTGCACCTGCGGATAGCCGAGCACGTTTAGAAAATCGCCCGCAATACGGTCGGGACCGACTTTGGCAGCGCGATTCAGGACCACTGGGGCGGTGGTGGAGGCTGCGCTCTGGCCGGTACCCATTTTTACTCAGTCGTGGTCAAAAATACAGTGTGATTGTCGTAAACACAAAGAAGTAAGTAACTCGCAGGACTGTTCCACTGCGAGCTTGAAAATCCTTCGCGACCCGCTCGCTTCAGACGCAACTCAGGCCATAGCAAGACCGTATTAGTGGTCAAAGAACATAGATAATCAATCTAGTGATAATCAATGAAGGGCTCTCCGGCCGCCTCATTGTTTTCACACTCTGCAGCTGAAGGTTCAAATCTTCGCAAAAAAGGATTTGCATTCGCCTCAAAACCAGCACGCGCAGGAACAATTAGTCGTGGATAAATACTACCCGACTACAACTGCACTTCAAAGCCAATACGCGATTGCTGTGTTGTTGGAAAGTTTGACTGCATCTGCGAGAAACCACGAATAAATTGTGCATCATGACATTGTTCTGGACTCTTCACATTTCGGTCAAATGACAACATCGAGTTCAAAAATTGTAGCAATGAATTTCACGGGCAGCGGCAAGCTGCATCGCCAAATTCGAACTTCAAGGATAGTTGTTGACGAATTCAAAAGTCAAAATGTGAATTCAAGTGAAACGAAAAAAAACAAAGTGTTAGGTTCATTTTCGTGCGCATTAGCGGCTCCGGCGCTGCAAGCAAATCAGCGACAGCTACTCTACTCGCTGTTCATTATGTTTTGGACTTGCCCCATGCGCTAGTACTGTTCGTCAGGAGGCATCAAGTTGGCGCAGACGTCGAGCGAGCAGGTGGGGCACGTCCCGTGGGTTCGCACCCAATCCGCAGCACACTCCTCGTGAAACGTGTGCAAGCAGGGAAGTCTGACAACGGTGTCTGATGGCTCGAAGTCCTGAGTTGGGTATATTTTATAGTCGTCTTTACATGCGAGATACGCGTTGCGACACATCGAATTCGCAAAAGCAGGCACGTCGTCGATGAATTCATAAATTTTTTCATTTTCAAACCTGCTTGCTTGCTATATACAGAGTGATAGCAACATCAAAACTAATTATGGCGACGTCTTCTCACAAGAATCGTCTATTCTCAAGTACAACAGTACCACAAGACAGAGCACGCACTCCTTCACGCCGCTGTGCGCGAGATACGGTGTGCGCGGCAGCTGGTTCCAGACAAAATCCCGCTCCGTCTGCTTTAGGAAGTCGTTCAAATCAGTCGGCTTTATCACAAGAAAAAAGTGTTACAGTTACACATCTGTTGTAACTTCAGCAACACAAATTTTTTCTGCATGAGAGAGAAAACTTGCCATGCAGAGAACATAAGGGACAACACGTATGAACCGAGACTCGATAGCATTTTGTGCATGACAGAGCGCGTCTCTGATGCTTGGTCTGCAACACAATGTGTAACTGTAACACTTTGTTCTCTGCGTAGGCTTCTTGGTTTTTTTACTGCTCCCGTACAGCGAGCGGCTGAAAGAGGTCGACTGCCTATCCTGTGCAAGAGTATCGCACTCGTATTGTAATGGCAATCATGCATTAGCGTCACTTTTCCTTAAGGTAAGTCCGCATTACAAATTTTATTTCTCATGCTTAGGAAATTTGTAATGCATTTATACGAGTACGATACTTTTGCAATTCATACTGCCTCACGGGCGACAAATCCTCCTCCACTGTATCCATTATCAAATGCAAATATGTCTGGGTCTGGACGGATCCGAACTTGTGATGCGTGTTTCGGATCCTACAAAGATCTGTCATGCCGAACGTGCAAAGGGTGCCCACTTGTGGCCATGCTGAGAGGGCATTTCTCATGCAGAATACGCATCACCAAGGAGCTGCAGAACCTGTGATGCTAGGCCCTGCATTCCAGACGTGGGGGAGCTTGGAAAAACTGCATGACAAATCTCGGAATCTCCCGGACCCATACATTTTTGCATTTGATATCCATGTTGGTTCCGTTTTTCCGTTTTTTTCTCTTCCCTTTACGACGCAACGAACTGTCCGAGAAAATGGAGGCCGGAGATTCCGGCGGGACCGGCGACGAGGAAGATAAAGCTGAACCAGAAGGAGCCTCTTTGTCTTTGTTCGGCGATGTTGCAACAATGTCATTTGACCTCACCTGCTGCTGCTGCCCGTTGTTCTGCTGAAGATTTATTTCCTCTTCATGGTGTTGTATCTGTGCTGGCTGCTCGCTGGCTGCTGAACGCTTCTTATTCTCCGTATCGTTTGCATCAGCAGCCCTCGGTGTTGAGCAGGCCTTCGCGATTACAGGGCTCGTGGTTAGCAGTGTCGCAGCACCAGATGTTGAAGTGGAGGCTTTTATTGGCTGTTCTTGGTCATGCGATTTCGAGTTAGTCTGCTCCTGCGACTGCGTTTTGCCGCGGTGAGAAACCCCAAATACGTCTCCATCGCCACCTTCTTCCAGCGGTGAGGATTCGTTGGCAAAGGACGACCTCGTTGCAGCGCCGACTACTTCCTCGTCGCTCCCGCCACTACTTGCACCATTCTCAGCAGCCCGGTACTGGCGAAGCAAAGCCACGGGCACACGGACAACTGCGCTCTTCCCTACATCACTGCGCGAATCCGTTATCAGGACTTCGCACAGATATCGCTTGGGGATGATCTCTTGCACCTCCGCAGTCACACGGAGATTGCAGATCTGCAAGAATAGTGTCCAATGGAATCAATATCACGAACTGGATGAGCAGTAACTTCTGCAGTACTTCGGAAAATGCAATCGCACATCAAACAGGCAAAAACAAGACTGGAAGGTACTGCAAAGAGAGCAGTACCTGCACGCGTTGTCCCACTTGAAGCTCGTCGCAGCTGAGCTCGCTGGGCTGTTTTCCACCGCAAAACTTTGCAAGGTGCGGGGGTGGAGCCCATTCGACGGACACGGTGGACATAGTGGGTGGCGTTTCGCCTGTCTACTTGTCTTGAGCGCAACGGAAAGCAAGGATCGGGTTCCTGCTCGTATAGGCCGTGATGAAATGATCATGATCTTCTCGTACGCAGATTTATTCGAGCTTGTACATTCTCTCGTCGGGGCAGCATAGTTCGTTGTACTCGAGCTCGCTCCTCACATAACGCGGAACACCACTGAATACGAATAGAGAGCTAGCTGCAAAAAACAGGAGCGCTGCTGTTAAGTCGTGGTCTTCGACGCAACAGACCCCCTCGGTACATCTAGATTTTCGTCGCATTCGTATATGCGCAATGCATCTCTCTTGTCGTAAAGGAATTGAGGTTTTGGTAAGCCACTCAATGTTGCAAGAATGGTGTAGCTGTTCATGTGGGAGCGTCTCATAGGTTTGAAAATAAAGAAAAAGCCGCTGTGTCTTCAGAAGGAAGTTGAAGTTCCGCTAATGAGGATGTACGTAACAGTAAAATCAGCACACCGATGCCAGAAAGCAAAAGCATCCAACTCGGCGGCGTCACAAAAGAAGCTAGTTGTACACCTTTCTCACCCACATTCATAGTGAGAAAGGCAAAACAAATCAGCCGGATGAAACTACCTCTTAACTGAAGACTTATCTGGTTTCACTAGGTTGCCTGTACTTACGTGTCGTGCTGGAGGTACTAACGTAGGTACAGCGCAATGACTAGAGAAACAAATTTATCAAGCTATAGGGGTTCGAACCACGAAGGCAACATTCAGGCATTTGTAAAAAGACCAGTAATCATGGGTAGAAGAAGACACTTTCAAAAAGTACTTTAACAGGGTGGTCGCTGGGAAGGACACAGAACAACATCGCTACAGGAAAGAAGTGCTTATCGCGAAAAAAGACAATTAGTTGCTGGAGATGGTGGTCGCTGGTGGTTGGGACGTTGAAGACGACGACTGCGCAGATGTACTTGCAGCTGGCGCCGCACTGCTGGAGGACGCTGAGGCGTTGTTCAACATCGGAGCGCTCAACTCTGGTCCCCGTCCGGGCGGAACGAAGTTTCGGTCGTTCATGTCTCCACCTCTCCCCGCAGGCGGCTGCTCTCTCCTGTTGTCCCGGCCGCCTCGCCCGTTTTTGTTGTTCATATCGTCTTTTTTCTTCTTCTTTTTCGCGTGTTGCGGTCTTCTGCCGCGGCCCTGATAGCCGCTCGCGTCGAAGTCAGATGAGTCGCTGCTGCCGGAGCTTTCGCTACTCGATTCCCCGAACTCTCGGGGTTTGTGGTAGATTCAGCATTTCTTGGAGGACTTCTTGCCCATCCCCTCGTTGTCGATCACGTCCTCGTCCCAGGTCACGTTCACCACGGTGCGCGGCCGCAAGCGCAGGTGCAGGACAGGGGGCTCCTGGGTTGTCACCGTGGTGGTTGACGAGGAAGCGGCTGTCTGTTGTGGATTATTTCCACTGCTACTTGATGCCGACGGCTGGTGCGCCGCGGCTGACGGCAGCCCGCTATTCGCCATAAGTGATGTTGTTGTCAATGCTTTTACTTGGAGCGGTGGTCGTGTTGAAAGCTAGTAAGTAGCTGCTCCACGGGTGTCGCAAACGACGGGAAACTACCGAGAACGAGAAGTTCTTCGATAAAATTTCTTGCAAGTAGACGTAAAAGTAAATCTATCCTGGCACTTGCAAAAAAAAAACTCACTCTCGGACAGAACAGGAGCTCTCTGACTAACCAAGTGAAGAAAAAAAAAGTCGAGCTTTCGAATGTGCGCACGTGAAAATATCAAGGAGGCCTGTGCAAAGTGGAATCAATCTATTCATGTTGTGCAGGAGAACTTTTCAGGGACTTCTGGTTGGTAACAATGGAGAAAATCACTTCTCTCTTCACCGTTCAAACATCTCGTCTAAAGTATAAAATCTCGGTACATGTTGTTCTTTCGGCATCCGAGATGATACACTTGGTATCGGATTTCATCGATTTTTTCCTTTGCTTCTTCTATATTGTTCATCGAGCAGGCTGGGCTGGTTAGATTTCCATCTTCTGAGAAGTAGAACTTTTGTCGCCAAGCATTTTGATCGGAATGCACCGACGTAGCTGTAGCAGTTGAACTTGCAGAATTTAGTCGTAGCGGAAGTAGAACAGCCTCCTCTTTCAGTTTCAGTAGCAGAAACGAGGAGAATCGATCTCGATCAATTATGGCGCGGCCAATTCTTCCATGCATACTGTCGCTTCTTTGCGCTGTCGCGTGGTACGATCCAACAATCCGGGACCGCTTTCCGACATTTGGGTCGTCCTCGGGAAGATTTTTGCGTTCAAATTGAATCTACACGTAGGAGTGTTCAAATTACCCCAGTAGTTCGGGTACTAACCGCCTGTACCTCGGCCATTTTCTGCATCAGGCCGCCAGACAGCGTGCCCCAGGGATTCGCGTTCTTCCCCTCGAGAACTTTCCTTGCCACTGACTCTAACACTTCAAACTTCACTATATGGGGCCCAGGTACCATGATCAGCGACACGTTGCGCTCGGTCATCTTCGCGAGCTTTGCTCTTCGAATGTCGTTCAACTGGAGTTTTGACAGAGAGTCGGCGCCCTGCCCCGCCGACATCTCTTCTATCGCCTTCGCCTCCGCTTCTATTGCCTCTCGCTCGGACTCCTCGTCCAAAAACGCCCGCTCGATGGTCGAGAGCAAGATTATGTTCTTCATTCCGTCGACACACCAGAGGTAGCCCTCCAGAATGCGCCCATCCGTCACGGTCACGCGCACGGTGGAGTCGAGCAGCGCCGCGAGCTTGGGTGACTTGTGATTCACGTTCTGCTCCTTGCGCCCCTCGCTGTACTGCACGTCGAGCGACATCTTTCCGTACTCGAGAGGAAACTTCTACTTCCGCTAGTACTATACTATGTAAGACTACGAGAGAGATAAAACTACGCCGCAAGACTACTTATTTCGCTTGGGAAAAGAAATCTTAGGCTTTTTACTCTATTCGACAAACCTACTTACAAGCGTCGCCGCGGGCGTTGCTACACGCCATCATGGCGGCAATAGTTCATCGTTTCACATCGTCGCTGATCAGCAAACCAAAAAAAGAGAATGTTGTTGATCATCGTCGAAAAAGGAAAAAAGCACGTCGTGTTGTATACTCTCATCTTCGTCGAGGTCTAGATCAAGGTCTGCAGCCACGCTTCAGGCTGGACACGACCGCACAAGCACAGGCAGAGATCCCAATTTTGCTTTGTGTACCTGCCGAGTGCCGAACACGGTGCCAACTTTAATACTGAAAGGAGATCATGAGAGATGACGTCTTCCTCTTTGTAGAAGCTAAAGTGTTCTCCCATTTACTACTCTTGCTTTTCTCTTTCTACTCTGGAGCTGAATTCATGTTGTCGTTGTGGCCCTACATTCGGCTATTGACTTTCGGCAAAAGCAAAACCGTTTTTTATCAAACGCAAAACCGTTTTTATCACGCGCGTAGTACAGGAATTCATTTATCACATGTCGCATTTTCGCCATGACGCTGATGCATGTGCCGACACGGCTAAATCGAGTCCTGCCTAAATTCCTGAACCAGGGTGTGGTACTCGGGCTCCGCCTGGAAACCCGGCACCAGTGCCATGGCCTGTGGCATTTTATGGCGCTCCAGGTGCAACGACCGGGGCGCGCCTAGTGGGTAACTTGTGTCCAATATCCCACAGAAAGAAGCTGGCAGGGCATATTTGTAATGCAAAAGTAAATACACAGAAAAATCTGTTATGGGCGGCCTCATAGCATGCTGTTTAGGATACGCTATACAGATTTTTTTCTGTATCTATTTTTGCATTATAAATGTGACCTGCCAGCTTTTTTCTGTGGGATATCCAAAAACTTGTCCAGCGTGGTCGTTGGGTAGCGAATGTCGTAGGGGCGAATGTCCACGCCCGGCATCTCCCCGTTGTCTCCCTCGGGAGGCAGTGGCGCGTCGCCCGCGAAAGACGTGATAAGGAATCTACACCTTGTGCTGCTCGCCGGGCGCATCGCTTGCATAAACCGGCTCCCCATTCTCGTTCTTGAAGAACTCGTCGAACGAGCACTGCCGGACCCGAAAAGAGGTAGAGGTTTCCACCCTACTACTGTCGGTACATCATCTTCTCCGTGCACGGTGCTACCCGCAACTCCCGCTCCACCGCTTCTGAATGTCGCCAGAATCTCTTCAATCATGCCGAAACCGCTTTTTGAGGACAGAGACATCTATCTGCCACTACAGCCCGCAGCTCATGAGGCTTTTACGTGACGAGCAAAGACTGCAACTCCGACTGCAGGAGCTCCCTGCAGTTTCAATGAGCTGGTCGAAGATGTATGTGGTAGCGTAGAAAAACGACTGACAAGCCCGATTTCGCCAATTGACGACGACGAATAGCGACGATTTTTCGAGGCCCGGATTGCGATCGGCAACACGACTCAGCTTGTTGTGCACGACGAGCGATTCTGACCTGTCACGAAGCGATCTCGGCCTCGCGAAACTCGAACAACGACCTGTGGTCGATCGCCAAGTTACTCCTCGATCATGCAACTCCTCGAATGCGCATGCACCAAACGGCTTTGTTACTCCTTAGCTAGTCCGAAAATGACTGCCACGACCCTCATGTTGACTCTTCGATAAACTCACGGTAGCCGAAGGGACTGGAGCCTGTGTTCAAATTGTCGAAAAACTTCGGAATCTCTTCGCCGCCGCTCGAAACGCTATCACGACCCTCTTCCTCCCCCTCGTCAACCTCCCGCGGGCCGAAAAGCCGGTAAAAAAACGGTTTCCCCCCGTACATGCGCGGAAATCTCCGCACGGTTACCCACTGATTCGTAGCGGGATCCCGCAGCTGCGCCGCCACGGGGCCCACACCCGGCAGATTCTCGTGCCACATCCGCACACAGTACACCTTTTCGTTGTGCACCAGCTTCGAACCCAACCAATGTAACCCGGAAGACGTGTTGTCAATGTTTGAGGTAGTTGCCGCCGTTCCAAATGTAGTTCCAAGCGCGGACGATGTTGACACAGACACTAAGCCCAACGCATCATCTTCACCGTTATTGATTTGATCAGTTGAAACAACGGTTCCTGTTGCGTCGTCCTGCGCGAACATGTCTTGCGTCCCTGCCGCCGGAGAAATCTTTTCCACCACTTCCTCTTGCCGCTGCGACAGCCAGAAACCGAAGGAGAAGGGGTCGAACGCGTTGCTGGCAAAGTGCAGCTTCTGATGCCCAGACGAGATCGCGACGGACCGTGTGGCCCGCACAGTGCACTCGGGATTTACGTAGAACTCTACCTCGCGGACGTGCCAGGTTCCGAGATCCTCATCATCCACGACAAACCGCCACTGTTTGCTGTAATTCGGCGGCGGGGTCCCGAAGGGAATGACCGCAAGCGTTTCGTTCAGACAGCACGTGCGGAAGGTGTATTGCCGCCCGTTCCAGCAGTCGGGAGGAGAAACTTTTGCGCTGGGGAGGGGTCGAAAATCGTTTATGTCTTCGTCGAAGCTCTCGCAGCATGAGCGGTACGAAGGTACTAACTCTGGCTGAGAAGTAGATTCCGGACCCTGTTCAACACCATCCGTCGTTGCGGTCGCTCCGAAACGCCGCCTGTTCCAGCACGTTTTCACGCGGATGTGGTCTAGCTTCGGTCCGGTTGTGAAAACTGGATCGTACGAAGCGCGACTGTCCTCGTCCGGCTCAGCCCGTTCTGTCTGCCGTGTGCCAGCATTTTTTGTAGGTGTGGCCGGAAAACCTGTGCCTGTTCGCGCTCTCGCCGTCAGGTAGTGCCAGTGCTCGTGCTGCCATCTCCGCAAGGAGCAGGTGGCGTTGTACAGCAGGAATGCTCGGTCGGTTTCTTTCTCCGGTGCAACGCCGAAGGCAGACCGGTGCAGCTGCTGCAGCTCCAGCTGGTGCTCCAAGTCGGTCTGACTGCCACCGCTGGCGGTGCCTGAATAGCCGCTAATAGGAGGTAGGCTTTTCGTAGTACTGTAAAGCCGACTAGTTGTATCTGTTACATTGGTGGCACTGTAAGTTTCTTCGGCCCTCTCGATCGCAACGATGCTTCCACACGGGGTCAGGGGCCGCAAACGGAGGTTACCGCTCTCGGAGGGCAAAAGCGCTCCTGCTCGAGCTTTTTCAGCTGGTCGTGATGAAGCGTCCTCTCGTCCAAAGGCCGCCGAGTTGTCTTGTGCTCCTTTTTGCACCTGGCGGGGCAAGAAAATCCCCTTCGGGTCCCCTTCTCCTGTGACAGAAATCGCGGAGTCGAGCACCCCAAAATAATTCAGGAGAAATGACCTACGCACTAACCACACCATTGTCGGTACTAGCGGTTTTCAAAACGCAAATTTGCTCTACACACGGCGAGGCGCTAAACGCAGGCACAGGCTCTACGCCAGACACAATGTTGGGCTCCTTCATTATCACCCGCAATGACAGGACTGCAATGCTAACCGCAAGACCCATGGAAGTAACGACCGCCGGAACACGCAGCGAATTAGAGCGATTTCTTTCCAGAAGTTGGATTACATCCACATCATTCATATATATCATCCTGATCCGCTGGAAGCGGAATGAACGGCTGCGCATCACATTGCTGTGTCTCGTCTGTTCCAGAGACCATCCTTCTTCCGGTGCGCATATCTACTGATCAAGCGCCTGCTCGCGGGGTCTCAAAAAGTGGCTCGCGTTGGGCTCCTCCTCGCCGCGAGATTTTACTTAATTCAGAAGCCACTACGGACCCAGCGCAAATCAGGCCAAGTTTCAGAGTGGAGCTTTAGTATCGGTTATCTTTCCACAGATAGGTCGATGTAGTTGTACTATCGACATTTTCCTTGTTATATCGACTCTACTATAAAAACGCGACTTACTATATTCCTCCTCTATTTCGGACCAGCAAGAACTCCGCTTCATCGATCCTTAAGTTCACGTGCAAAACCAAAACCACGACTCTTTCAGCCGCGCTATAAAGTCGGGCCAGGAGGACTCCACCAGCGACAACTTTTATCTATCACCACTTATTTTTAAGTACACATCCGGTAGTGGACTAGAAGTAGAAGTCGGTGGCTTTCGCTCCAAGCTGGTTCGAGTCAAGTTCAACGTATACCGGCCCGCGCACGCCCTTGTGCTGCTCGACGAACTCTTGCCAAACGCAAGATCTCGAATCATCTTTGTCCCACGACTCCGTCTGCTGAATCGATCCTTTAGGAAAGTCACCAGACTTGAAGTTGTAAAACGGGTTCTCGAGCTGTGGGCTTCTGTTTGTGTTTCTCTCCCCCGGGGCGGCCACTCCTGTCTGCAGGGATCTTCGCACATTTGCGTAGTTATGGCTCCTCCCGCGGAGGTCGCTGTTTAATGATCTCCAGGAGTTCTTGTTCTCACGGCCGTTCTGCGAGACCCCGTCTGCAAACGCGCGCCTCCCAAGTTGATTTACCGGCACCGCAGGTGTAGAGGTTCTTGTAGAATGTGCGAGAACTGCGAAATGTTGTTGTTGTTTTTTGATCGCGCTGCATTCGACTCTTCCACTACTTCTCAGTCTCCCGTACTCCAGCGCGCAGTGCTGTTGTAACAAGGGGTAATCCAGGTATCCTTTGTGCGCTCCATTCTGCTTTTTGATAGCGGCCAGAAGTGCCGGGTAGTCGCTTATTGTGCACAAATCGCAAAGCTCGTCGGTGGTGGTGTGGTTCAGAAGGAGTTGGGTTGCCGGAGGAATGCTGGAGCCCTGCACAAACAGCTTTTGTTTGATCGCCGCAACCGTGTCATGTTCCTCGAACGCCACTACGGCCTCCGTCGTCTTCCTGTCCCGTTCCGTCGGCAGCTGCTTCGAGAAGCTCTCGTTCGGGCCAGCAAAACATACCCCAACGAAAAGCATCATTTTACTACCTTTTTGGTTGCGTTGCTCGTAAGGTTGTTCAAGTGACCTGTTGGCGTTCTGGTCTGCAAATCAAAAAACAAAATAACAACCATCCATCATACATATCGGATCTGGTGGATGCGCTTGCTAACAACCGATTCGATTTTTCACTTTTGATCATGATCTAGATCTTCGTCAGCTTTTGCATATACACAGTCATCATCACGATGAAGGAAGCTTTCACAGTTGATGAAGGCAATCGCAGTCAGTAGGTATCGTTCTCGGAAAAAGTGCACGCAAATTCCTTTTGCTTTCGGTGTTCATGATTCAACACAAAAAGGGAAAGAACATAACAAACTGGAACCCATTTGATTCCGGGCCTCGACATGCGCGAGTGCGTTCAGAAGGCCATGGAATGAAAATGATCGGTCTGCTCGTCATTATATTTGAATCCAATGCGCATCCATTCGTTGCATTCATATTCATAGCACTACAACAGCAGCAGCAAAACTGCACCCTACTTACCTCCTGAATTGTTCACTCTCAATTAATTTGCTGCATTTTTTCTTGCGTAAGTATTTGGATCACATCTTAACACAGCACAGTGCTGATGCATCAGCGTGGCAAAAAGGCACATCAATTTTCCCGCTCGCGATTCCGCTCGCGCTCCTCTCGTTCTGCCATGTTCAGCAGCATCGCAGCGGCATAGTTCACGCCGACGATCACCCCGGTAAGGGCCAGCTGGTACAACATGGTTCGCATGCACATTCGCTGCAGTAACAGTCCGACGGGTTGCGCTTCCGGAAGCTTCAGGGACGAGGGCTGTAGTTGGTACGTATGTGATTTATTTTTGAGTTAGCTTTTTCAATCAGCAGACTTTGAAGTCAGCGTTCGCGTTTTTTGAAAATGTCACTGGTGTATGTTCATCCATGTTTCAACATGCGTCCTCGATCGACGAGACCATTTTGAGCATATGAAAAACAAGAACAACAAGACAAAGCCTGTAGAAATAAGTAGATAAACAAAACTCTCACCACGCCGCGAGTGTATTCCAAATTGACGGCTTGAATCGCCTTCGCGTTTTTTGAAATGAAGTAGCTCGACTCCCCTCGCCGCAAGCTCACCAGCTGCACGAAGGGGGAGAGAAATTGCCCGAAGAGAACTGAAAAGGACAACCGGACCATCGTCAGGTCCATCTGGGACAGGTCGCTCAGTTTCCAGTTGATGATCTTTGCGATCAACATCTGTACGAAGTCTTCCGCTACGACGGTAGTCATGTAAAGCGGCAATCCCTCGAAGAAGCTGGACAGTCCGTAGAGTTGCAGGATTTGGTAGTTCAAGCGCCAGAAGTCCTTCGTAGTGCCAGAAACGAAAATCGCGCGGTTGTGCAGAATGAGAAACGGGTACGCTGCCATCTCCGTTGCGTACTTCATTAAAATACGGGCAAAATTCGTGTCGGACTCTATTTGTTGCTGCACTTGAGAAGATGGATCAGCGGACGGACCGGAATGGTCGCTTTGCCCTCGTTCGGGATTAGGAAACTCTACTGGTGCAGTTCCGCTATTTATTTTGCTGCTACTTCTCGACGTTATGTCATTTGTGACTGTGCCCCGCGGCGGCGAAGCTAGGCGAATCTTTGGCGATAGTTCGCGGCTATTGCCATGGTACACAATATTGTCGTCGTCCTCTCGCGTTCTCGATGCCGGCTCGGAATCCGAGGGACTGTTCAGGCCGGACAAAAGCGTGGTGTTGAAAGTTGGAGACAAGGAGAATAACTTCCCGAGGCCCACCAGCCGGAGGATGGTGACCGCGCCACCCACGAAGCCGGCCGCCACCCTACAGCTTAACCGCCGGGCGGAGTAGTACAGTCTTCTCACTTCCGCGCCGGGACTCCTCCACAAGCGAGCGAAAGCCGGCACCAGCAACGCGTCGCCCCAAATGCGGAGCCAGTCGCGCACATAGACGTGCAGTAGGTGAAACCCGAAGCCCTGAAAGGAGACGTGCATCGGCTCGCGACAGACCATGCGCCACGTCAGTCGGAAGGGCGTCAACAGCCCCAGCCGCCCCCGATACTGGGTGAACTCCTCGCAAATCAGCAACTTTTGGCACAGCATCGACAGAGGGTATCCCGGTGCGGACCACATGGTCGAGATCAATTTTGGCTCCAAGATGGTTCCCTGCACACGCGTCACCGCGTCTCGGTGCGGCTGCAGCCGCAATGGGTAGGGGTTTAGGAGCCCCATTTCTGGCTGGGTGGCCGCCTCTTCAGGTGAAAGCTGTGCCAGGGTGAAATGTGCCTATCTAGTATCGGTTTTGCGTCAAAGCCACAACATGTTGATTTTTTTTATTTCTGAGCGAAAAACGCCACCGCGTCTGTGCCTTAACTCCACAAGAATTAATCTACTTACTTGTACTTCATCATATCCCAAGTATACATACGGAAGTTTTTTGACGAATTGGAATTCCACTCTATTTTTTCTCTTTCTAAATTAATTACTTACTAGTGTCGGCACGTATGATCAGCATCGCCACCAGAGCCGGCACAATTGTCGAATCGCTGTGATGAATTTCCATCAATACGGCAAGAAGGCCGTGCTTAGCTGAGCAAGAAGCAGGCTTATGTGCCTCTGTCTGTACGTGAAACCAGGACGCAGATCACGAACTAATAGAACTGCACCAGCACGGCAACTAGCTGATCGTTACTGAAATTGATATGATCGTATCAAAAGCAAAAAAGTGATCAGTTCATTGAAAAGGACAGCTGAGCTTCTTGGTCCGGACACGCAGAAACACTCAGGGGCCTTCAACATGTTCAGCTTCAGACCTGGTAGTTACCTCGCCGCAGACAGTGACGGATCGTGATCGATGCAGATCGCTGGATCTTCAGACGAATCTCAACATGACATCAGAAAGAAGCAATGAGCAGGTAGCAAGGTCTCTACGCGCACCCATCGTCGACTCGGCTCGACAAACTCAAACATCCAACGGAAACGTCACATTACGAACGCGAAAAATCCAAGTACATAAACTAACTTAAACGGAGAAGAACAAACGCACCCATTTTTTGCACACATCGCAAGGCGTCGCTTTGCAAACTTCGGTTGGAATTAAATGTACATAATGAAATATTCATATTGATCAAAGCCAAAACGGGCACATGCAATTCATTGCAATCGCTGACTGGTCGTGGTAGGGGTGGGTCGTTGTCCTCAAATTGGAATGTAAGTACTTGTCGAATGTAGCTGTAACGAGCAAGACCATCTTCATCAAAGTGAATTCATTACTGATTCAGTTCTTTCGGCACGGCTCCGCCCGTCAGCTTGGCTTTTTCCGCTTCGTGTTCCAGGGCGGTATAATCCTTGTCAAAGATCCGATCCTTGCCAAACTCCGTCTCCCGGTCGCGTTGCGCGAAGGTTTGGGCCACCATCAGGGGAAACACCAACGTCGCGTCCGAGTACACTTTCACCGGGTTCGCATCCACGCGAATCTTGCCCCACGACTTCGCTTCGTCCGGACGCGCTCCGGAGTCCGACCCGTCAAATTCTTGCGCGGTCGAGACGTAGACGCAAAAATCGCAGCCGTTGCGCATCAGGTTAGCATTCATGGTATGATGTTTCACCTGAAAGATAATTTTTTACGTGGAATAAATTTTTTCTAGGTCGGTGTTTATTAACTTTCTTTCTTTTTCTTTTTTTCAACTTATCCATCAACTGAGTACAATCGTTTAAAACAACTCCTGTTTACCATTCCGCCTCCGAGCACGATGACGCCCGTTTTCCGTGCCTTCATCGCCTCGTCATTGATGCGTTTGATGTCCGCCACCACGTCGATGACAAAGCCGGGACGCTTGAAGGTGTGGAAGTACAGCATATCTCCGATGGACCCGTCCGTGATGCTCGGGCACAGGAGCGGGATGTTGTTCTTGTAGGCCCAGTAGCAAACGGACCGCTCGTCGTCGATCTCCTTCCCGAGGCGGTGAATGAAGGTGGACGGCGTCCAGACCACCCCGTACTGCTCCTGCTCGTCGTGCATTTTGTGCAGCAGCGGGGCCATCCAGTCCTCAAACTATCCTGAGTAAAAATGTCCCCACACCAGAATCAAGATGGGAAATCCGCTACCGACAAATCAGCCACCTCTGGATGTTTCGCATGACAAGTTTATCCTCGTAGTGTAATCCTGTTTAGCTAGTTCCGAAGCATTACAGATGTAGCATATCATGCTGATTCTAGCATCACAAATTCCAAAACAGAACTAGAAAATGGGTCTCTTGGGGCTCCGCATGAGAAACTTTTTTGGGGTGCAGATTTGCATGACAACTCTGGGGTGGGGACATTTTTACTCAGGATACAAACAGGCAGTAGTTCTTGTTCGGGACCAGCAAATTCCCGATCCGGTTCAAGCCCTGCTTGCGCAGGGCGACCCCGTCCAGGGAGAAGGCGCCCTCGTAGGTGTCCGCGAGGCACTTGATCAGATCCTCCTCGATTCCCCCAGCGGAACTGGTCGCCACCTGGACCATGCTGTGCTGGAAGAGGAAGCGGAGCTGCTCCCGCAGGCCCGCGGAAATCAAGTTCGAGGTATATGCCAGAAAAATTTTGCACTTCACCTTCTCGCGGACTTGCAGGTCCTTGAACTGCTCCTCCTCGTCTTCCGCGATGGGCTCTTTGGCGAGGGACCAGTCCAGCATGCGGCGGATCTCCTGGACCGCCTTGCCGTAGTTCTGCGCCTGGAAGCCCGATTGCAAGTAGCTGTCCAGTAACTTCTCGTACTCGACCGGGCCAGGGTTGTTGAAGTCGTAACCCTTCGTGACCGGTTTCCCGGTCAGGTCCACCGACTCGACCAGCACCGCCTCGGCCAGCGCCACAGGAATTTTGTTTTCCGCCATCACCACGTCGCCCGGCGAAACGGTAGAAGCGCCTCCCGGACTGCTCAAACCCGAGGGCGACATCGAGTCGCCTTCTCGTATCTGCTCCTGAGCGGCGTTCATTTTTTATAAGAGAGAGAAAACTTTGATGAAGTTGTACTGTTTTTTTTTTCTACAGCTTGCCGGCGAGAGGAAGATCTCAACCTGAATGTGTGGTCACTACAAATCAGCACGCACAACTAGTACACCTGCGGTTCTTTATGACGTTTGTAACAACATCGGAGTGCATTTTCGACGCGAATTCCGCCAGCAGAGCTAGAAAACAACAACCACACACACGACCGATTGCAGCTGCAGGTGATCCAGGTTTTCGACAAATAAATGATCCGACTATGCGTACACATGTTTTGATCGACACATTTTTGATCCTTAGCTGTCTACAACTTGGTTTTTTATGTTCTTTCTTTCTAATCTTGAACTTGCGCCAACATCTCTTCACTTTTCGGCAGATTCTGATCGTCTAACAAAGGCTCTTGAAGCTGCCAGGCTTTGCGTTTACGTTTTGCGCGTAGTTCTGTTCGCGTCTACAAAACAAGCGAAGAAAGGTCGCAAGTTACTTACGCTTACCGAATGAAAAACAGAACCGATCTTCTACACGCCTGAACACTCTTTCTGATACGGAACCCGTGTAGCAAGCTGCAACAAAAACCGACGGAAGCCTTTCGGAAAGACCAGGCGAGAATGGTGTTTCTTTCCCACGATGCCTAACATGAAAATTGCGCACCTGGTAAAAAAGTCCGGAGCAGTAAACGCAAAAGAGTGATCCAACTGTCGAGGAACCCTACCACCTTCGTTCCCTCCAGTCGTGCCGACATGCTGATCATCATCATCATCATCATTTATCCTGCACTAGGGGAGGGCGTGCGGAGGTTTGGGCTCGAGTTCGTTCCAAGCTGCACCTCGAGGGTTTCTCACTGCAGCGTCGCACATCATCGCTTATCGTCGCACACTAACATCAAAAGGCGTCAAGTCAAGTCAACGCGTGGGCTAGTCTCTGAGTAGTAATCCTCGCTCAGAGATTTATCGAAAGCATCGTAGCCGTGCGCGTATTGTTATCACGTTCTTCTTCCAGTGGGGGGCTGTGGCCTTACTATCTGACCATGTGCGTTCCGTCAGATTCCTTTTGGAACCACACGCCCGCCACCTGCGCCTCTTCCTTGCCGGTGTTTTCGCAGAAGAAAACCTCGCCCACCTGGAATACTATTCCTGGGTCGTCTTCCAGTTCCCAAAAACCCGTCCTGTTACTGATCTGCTTCCACTTTTTCCCATGGAGACTCCCGGCCACCTGTGCCCGCACCTGCTCTTCTTCTGCCTTTTGCTGGCCCAGCCTTCTTCGGCGTTCCGCCTGCATTTCCTGCGCCCGTTCGGACTTCTGCCCCGGCTTCGGCCCCTTTTTTCCTGGGGGTTTTTTGGCTGTTGCGTACGGCCGGCGCCTTGTCAGCATTTCGCGCACCACCGGCCCCGCCGGCTTTTGCAGCTCTAGGTCTTGTAGCGTCGGGCTATAGTGCTCTAGATCTGCTGCTGCCAGCTTGCCCCATGGCGTGCCTTCTTCGATTTCCCGGCGGATTCTTGTGATGGAACCCTCCCCCGAGGGATCCCGCGCTGCGTGACCGATCCAAGAGATTCTTTTTTCCCTTATCTCCGTCTCGATCAGCTGCACCCCGAGGGACTGGCATAACTCCGCCCGTGATGGGGATGCTTCCCAGTCCCAGACTCCACAGATGAACCGCAAGGCGTTGAGCTGGAAGGCCCTCAGCGCTTTCTCGTCGCTTTCTGTCGTTGCCCACGTTTCTGCATTATACAGCGCCACGCTGAGGCTCAGGAAGCGGCATAGGTTGGCTTCGAGGTGCCGCGGCGCCTCCCTATCCCGCCAGATCTTGCTGAGGGACCGCACAACACAGAGCGCCATCGCGCAGCGACTGCGCGTTTCAGCTTTTGTCGACCCTTCGCTGTCCACCTCCGTACCGAGGTAGGTAAAGCGGTCGACTGTTGCGGTCTGCTTCCCGTCGTGCCACACGTTGGCCGGCTCCGTTTCCGCTTTTCCCTTGCTTTCCTTTTTCTCCCCTTCGGCCTCCCTCGCTACCCTCAGCGTGCGCAGGTCGTGGGCCGTTTTCCGCTCTCTGCAGAACCCAGTCGCCAGATGGTACCTGAGCGCGGTTTCGTCTGCCAGCAGGTCCCCGCACCGGGGGCACCGGTGCGCGTTGTGCTTTTCGACGATGTGCTCACGCTGCCCCATCCTGTTGATTCACAGTGCCCTCCCGGCGTCCAATGTGGCCCAGCCTGAAGCCTTTAGCGTTATCGCGTTGTGTGTCGGTACCAGGTCGCCCATACGCCGTGTGCACACCGCGCGCACAGCGGCCCGAAATTCTGGCTCGAGATCAACCCCGGACCAGTCGACCAGGATGTTGCATGTCGGGGCTACCCCCTTCGCGTTGTTCACCGTGCATCTCTCGACCATGGCGAACTCGTCCCGCTTGTCTTTTCGCTCCGGGTTCACCGCCATGATTTCTGTCTTTCCCTTGTCCGCATTCAGCTCCAACCCTACAAACCTGCAGGCCCCCGCCAGCTCGGTGCCTGCGGATTGCGCATCTTCCTCGGATCCGGTCTTGATTGCCAAATCATCGACAAACCCGAGCAGGCTCATCGCGAATCCACGAGCTTGTGCTGTGGCCCACCTTTTTTCCTCTTTCATCACTTCCGCGAAGTTGGTGATGGCGAAATCAAGCACGATGGCGAAAAGCAACGGCGAAAGCGAGCTGCCCTGCCGTATGCCAGCCATCTGCTTGATAGCTTCCGTGAACCTGTCGGCCGCTAGCCTCATCAAAAGGTGTCCGATTATCGAAACTACTCAACTTTCTTCAGTATCACTGCAGTTATTCTCGTCTTCTTCTTCGAGGATCGGATCGCACTGCAGGCCGAGCTTCTTCTTCGCGGCGCACTTCTTCTCGTGCGTCTTCATGCGTCGGGACGCGCCGACCTTCTTCTGGAAATCGCGAGGCCAAAATATCGAGTGCTCCGCGCAGTGTGGACAAATCAGCTCTCGGGCGCTGAACTTCGAAACGTCGCCACCGCTAAGAAACCGCTCCGGAGGAGGGGCAAAACGCTGCGAAGGCTTGCACTTGTTCGAGAGAATGCATTGGCCCGACTTCCCATACGCGAATTCCTCGGCCGGGGTGTAGGACCCGTCACGCTCGCCGACGATGCGGACGCAGTCGTCCTCTGATAAACTGAGTTTCCCAATCCCAACTCAACTAAAGCAGTCAGTCTTTCGGGAGTACATCAATGCCGAAACGTTTCGTAAATAAAAGTCACGGCTGATGTAGTTTTAGTAATATCTCATGCCACAGACTGGATGTCAATTATTTCGCCTGCGAGTGAGTGAGGGCAGTTTGTGCAGGAGGCATTATATTATATGTTCTTGACCGACGTGCTTTTGTGTGTGTGCGTGTGTGTTGCTTCTTCTATTGCGCTATCGCCACCTGCTTGGATCTTGACGCTTCCCACTTTAGGGGACCTACGCGATTGATCTACGCAAAAATCGCAACAACAACACTGATCTCCAGCCATGATCTTACGAGCTGGCATGAAAAAGGCATACATGTTGCACAGACTTGTCTCGCTTTGTTCGGAAGGCTATAGCTTCATCGTGCAGGTGGTGTCATGCAAGTTTATCATACAAGTAACGCGTTAACTGACAGAAGCAGTTGGTTGGTGTCTTACCTGTTTTTCCCCGCCTGCGCGGCCGGACGCAATAACATACACGTGGAACACTATTAAAAAAGACAACACAGTAGACCACGAGTGCCGATCGTAGAAACCAGAACTCAAGAAAAAGAAGAAGAACAACGTTTGCGCTTCAAGGCTCGTGATGAATAAATAACAAGGAAGTTGTGAACAAGTGCACGAGTCCAGCGACGACTTCGCTCCCATCTTGCTTTACACATCTGGCTGTGTTTTTTTTTCATTTTCAAACACCAATCATACACCATCTCCATCAATTATACACGGAAAAATACTTTCCATCTCAGTGTTCCTTTTTTTCTTCATTGCATCGCCTCCAAAAATTACGAAAACAATGGCTGTTTTCTAGAAAGGAAAGTGTAAGAAGCACCGTAGCCGTCGCTAATCCGAATGTTCAACATTCGGATTAGCAACGGCTACGCAACATTCAATGTTGTAGCCTCAATCCTTCTTCCTCGATTCTAGGCCCTGAAAGTGTTCTAACTGTAGCTGTAATTCTCCTCCAAAATTGAAGGCACATTTAGGAAAAACCTTCCGAATACGTACATCTTGTTTCCTCCGAATACATCGTACACTGTTTTCACGGGTTGTCTGTACAGAATTATTGCTATATAGTTATGTAAAATCAATCGGGTGCTCGCTTCTTTAGGCGAGCGAGTAACTGTCTGAACGTACTATCTATGCTCCTGTTTGTAAATGGCTGGTGAATAATGTTTCAACATATCACCACCAGAGCTCGAAGAAACAAAACCCTTCTTAGCTGTGAACCAACGAGCTCGGGGAGTTGCCTGAGAGAAGGAAAGCCGAAGCCTTCAATCAACCCAGGCTTCAGAAAGGCGCAACACTACCTAGTTATGTAAAATCAAAATAGAAGTTTGAGTAGGTCACTGTAGCCGGAGCGAACTGCGAGAATTTGAGTGCTTAGCCTGTCGTGTTGAGTTGAAGAGAAGAAGAAAAGCGAAAATGGACCCTAACTGGAATGGGCGCGGCGCATGTGTGGATACTTCTGGCCACGGGGTCCCATACGGAAAAGGCAGGAGCTGGATCCTGGTCCCGTACGGAAAAGGCAGTGGCAGGAGCTATTATAGTTATACATACGACGTATATAATTGCGCTCCGCCAACAAGACAAGGCGGCCGGTGGAAGTCCATCTTTTTTGCGCTGAGCATGAAAGAGAAATGAGTAAAAATACTGCAGCAAGATTAAGATATCAAACAATCCAGGCTGAGCGAGCCCTGCTTTAAGATAGTGGGGCCGGGCTCGCTATCGCAAAATATCCAGTCATTGTGTGTTCGCTTCTTGAAGAAGCCTTCTTCAGGCGAGCACATAATATCAAAAAATAACAATGCGCCTCATTGCTATACTCTTTCTGATCCGAACTGGTGCTGAGCTGCGCAGGCTGTTGTCTAGTCTTTCCCGCGGCGCCGTAATACTACCCTCGAGAGCTTCATCCTTTACTGAAATCTCCTCGGGGCCAGGAGATCTTCTATGAATTGGTTAAACCGAAAACGGAAAAGCGGCAAATCTTGGAGGGGCGTACCATCTTGGGTCGGCCTTGTCAGAAACTGTTCGTGCAGAGTGCTTAGTCCATTGGTGGGGCCCCAGGTTTTCCTTTCTGCAGCTTCTTCTTGGGCCCCCTGTCGCTCCAGCGCTGCCAGGGCTCCACGCACTGCCTCCTTTGCTTCGGAGGGGGGTAGGCCTTCTCCGAAATTGGTGCCCGGCACATCCGGCAACCCTAAACCCCAAAAACACCCGACCACAGGAGAATCTACTTCCACATCAGACGTGTTGCCATCGCGTACAGAGCTCGAGAAAGTGCGGACGAAGCTGCAACTCGCCTCGCTTTCCGGCTCGCGTCGGCTGCCACTTTCTTGGCCTCCTTCTCCGTTCCCCGACTCCGAAACTGGGTAGGGGCAGCCCGCTGTAGACTCGCTCGGCCGGATCCCTGCTCCGCCACCTGACATGCCCAGGCTATGGCTCGCAGAGCGGCCCTCCTCGTCTCCTGAAGACGACGGACCAACAGCACCTGCAGGCGCCAGGGAGGTGGCAGTCGAGGAGGCAGCGCAAGCGGTGGACCCCGAGCCGGCACCCTGGTCGTGTCCCGTCTGGGCGTCTCGGAGCCTGGCGAGTCTTGCCAGGACGTTTCTTCTGTTGCGAACTCGTCCTGGACCTTGACCACGTGGAACAAACTCCCCGAACGTTAGCACCATGTGGCAAAAGTGCCTGCGCTCAAACCCGGCCCAGCCCCCGTTGTGCGCAGCCTGCTCAATCTGGAACACGATTTGCGTGAACTTACCAGGGGGACGCGCTGCCGCGAAGGCCCGCGCGAGAAGCGTCATGTTGTCCGGAGTCCACTCTGCGGCTATCTGCATTTGGCTAGATTTCATGGAGTTCGACGGGGCCCACTTTGCAATCTCCTCGAGGACTGGCAGATACCGTGCCTCCGCCCGCCGGTTGACCCGCTGCATGATTGCGAGTGCAAGCGCAAGCCTGGCCAAAGTCTGTTGTGAATCAATGTGACCAACCACGACGGCCCCAACAGGCCTCCCCGCTTGTGTGCGGCCGTGTTCGTGTTCGACTCCCGTCCGTTCGTCGCGGTCACTTGACGAAGTCGCGTCTTTAGGTTGCAGACGAAACAATATTTGCTCCAGCACTGTCACGAGTTGGATGCTGTCCAGTTCGCCCGGCGTTACGTGCCCGCTTGGGTCGTGAAAGCCCGCTGCACATGCCAGGACGTAGGCGCGATCGACGAGTTCGTCGAGTGGTATGCGTTTTGCACATGCCAGCTCGTCTGCCCGCTGCATATGCCTCTTTGGAAAAAAGCCACTCTCCCTCTTCTCAGCCCTTTGTCTGCTTCCAGGATCAGGCTCGCAACTCGGCCCCCCTTGGTTCCCGCGCTGCTTGTCGGGGTTGCAGCCCGAAGGCTCAGCTTCGGTTGTGTCCTCGTGAGGAGCAGGCGGTCTTTGATGTTGTGAGCGACGCCCCAAAGGATCGCCCCGGGCGCGCTTCTGTTTCGACCGGTGGGCGGACGCTCCTGCCGCAGCACTTCTTGCGGGAGTTGGCGCTGGGACCGAAGGAAATGGCATCACGTGCCGTTGGTCACTTCCCTGCTGCTGTTCGTGGTCACGTGGCTGATGTGGAAGCATCGTATTAGGCGGCAGCGGCCCCCCTCCTTCTGGTGCGCCGGCAGCCGGACCGCAGGAGGACCAATTGCTGGCGTAGCGGTGCGGCCCCTGGTGTTGGTCGCCGACCCACATCGGCATGCATAACATCGGCATGCATGTAACGATCGACATGTATGTAACGGCCCATCCAACCGGCTGAGTTGGCGCCCCCGAGGACGAGGAGGGGGAGCCGCATCCACAAGCGGAGCCGGGACCTCCACAGTACTGCGGCTGCTGCTGCTGCAGAAAAGGACTCGTTCCGGCCGGTGAGGCAGCAAAGGCTGCCGGAGGGTAATAATACGGCGCAGCTTGTCCTGGTCCTACGGGGGCCGCGGTAGGGCTGCTGCTCGCATGGTTCTCCTCTCCAAAGCGATTGGCCCAATCTTCTTCAGAAAAGCCGCTTCCTCCCCCGACAGGAGGCCCACGCGGTACTACCAGAGGTGCGCGTTCATTGCGCCCCGAGGTAGTTCTTGCGCTAGAGTGTTGATGGTACGACGGACCCTGTTGTGTCCCGAGGTGAAGTGCGTAGCGACGCTGTGGCTCCTGGTTTCCCGAGGTGAAGTTGTGGTGGTCCTCGGCCTGCTGCGTCGTAGGTTGTAGTGGGTGATCGCTGTCGTCCGACATATCCGCGGGGAATGGAATTTGTCCCGGGTGCTCGTAGTAGTGTCTGAGGTCGGGGACCTCTCCGGCATCAGCCTGACTCCCCGAAACCTCCCGCTGCGACGAAGCCAGCGCCGCAGCAAGTTGAGCGCACTGGCCGAGAAAAGCTAGTTGCAATCCGAGTAGGGCAACACGTGCGGCCCGACAACGCACGGGCTTGCCGAGAAATGGCGCGGCTCCCATGTTGTACGGCTTCTGCGTCAGCATTTTGCTTGCAGGGGTCTGTTAGTTCTACTTATCAAGGCAGCAGCGCCAGCGGCCAGCACCGTTTGGAGTTTTATAAGAATAGAGCCCAGCTGTAATACCCTATATGCAAATGCTATATGGCCACAGTAAAAAAAAACGGGCGTAGATAAAAGCTTGATTTGTTTCGTTGTTTGTTTTATGTGGATACGCGGACCCCGTTTGAAGATTGTCTCTTCTGTCGCGTGTTTATAGTGCTATTTTAATAAAAAGACCAGCTTAACAGAGCCACTTTGACCTCGTTCTTGACAAAAACAGGAGTGGCACGACGAAAAACCAACGGTTTGCTGTAAATTGATAAAAAGAGTCTAAAAGCTGAAAGTTTAAAGTTGACTTCTTTTGGAAAACTTAGCTGCTACAAAGAGTTTCAGTTTGTGGAAAGAGACAGAGATAGTAAAACTTATGCTTGCTTCTCCTCTATTAGTATTAACCAAGCAAGTAGTAAATAAAAGCAACTTTCTTTTAATATTATTGGAACCCAGCGTGTTGCCGATGTGATCAGGCGTGATGATCTATTTCCTACGACACCTAATCGCAGAAAAATACCAGCTCGAAGCACAATCAACCACGATGCTTTAGTTTACTTTTTGGCGAAAAAAAGTGCTGTTTGTTTGTTTGTACGAGTGGAAACGTGGTTTTCCGGGTGAAGTTCTGCTCACGTTCTAGCGCTACTAAATAAAAACAATGCTGCCTCAGTGACTTTGCACGAGAGCCTGATAAAAAATAGGAAAGACGGTAGAAGCTTAATAGAGGATGGTGCTACTGAGAGAAAGTGAAAAACTGCTGCTGCTGAAAGTGGAGTTTTTTGCTGTCGAAAACTAAACGAAAGTCTATAAAAGGTTCGAGAAGTGTTTTGCCCAAAAATAGAAGCGGTAGTAGAAAAGAAATGACAATACTAAGTCATAGGAATAGCGCTCGGTCGTGATCGTGAATGCGTACCTAAACCCCGACTAGATCAATGCCGGGGGAATCCGTCGCACTAGTAGAAGCTGTGTATCTATGTGTTGAAAGAACAAGCGCCAACTATACGCTCCACCCTTGAGGTCTAATTGGTCGCTCAAGGAAGTTGAAGGTTCGTTTCAAGATCTTCCTGTACCACAGAGATTGTAACGAAAAAACCAAAGCGATACTAGAGATGATAAACGTGGTAAGTTATTTGTTTCTACGAATGGTCTGAAATATGTCGTCCCAGATCTTACACGAAAGTTTCTAAATTCGCAGGACGCGGTCCAATAGCTGATATTACCCTGGAAGTCGTCACAAGTATATTGCCATTGGGTCGAGTTTTTTGCCACAAGCAAGTACTCACTCATCTTCCACAAATAGGTTTTTGATCCATGTAAGTACCCACAACCAGAGTACTTACTTTTGACCCTTGATCTTCGATCTTCCATGAGTAGGTTTTTGATCCATGTACAACTACAGTATTCCACGAACAGGTGGCTTTTGATCCATGCATGTACAACTAGAGCCACTGCGTTGATCAAGATCCAGGAGCCATTTGAAAAGAGACATGCACGCGATTGAGTGCAAAAGAAATCTTGAATTTGCGTGATCTCTTCACTTTCCGACAGAAGATTCTGATCGTCTAACAAAGGATCTGGAAGCAAAGGATCTCGAAGCTGGACTTTGCGTTTACCTTTTGCGTGTTCTATTCGCGTTTACAAAACCAGCGAACAAAAGTCACAAGTTACTTGCGCTTACCGAATGAAAAACAGAACCGATCTTTTAAGTACACCCCTGAAGACATCACTTTCTGATACCGAACCCGAGCACTAAAGCTGCATCAAAGCCCGATCGAAGCCCTTCGGACAGACCAGGCGAGAATCAATGGTGTTTCTTTCCCACAATACCAAACAAAAAGATTGCACACCTACCTAGTGAAAAAATCCGCAGGAAAGAACGCAAAAGACGAGAGAATCTGCTGTATCAGTCCTCTTGTTCGCTGTCGCAAGAAAAGTAATTTGACACGGTATCTTCGTCCCCTTCTCCACGCAGACAGGGCGCTTCCTCTCGCTCGGGCTCCGATTCGGAGGATGACAAGCCGTCAACATCTCCCATTCGCCTTCCATCTTGAATCCGTGGGAGGGAGAAAAGCTCTGGCGCGGTGCGGGGCAGGAATTTCGGCCGAGTGAAGGTCTCCGTTCGTGGTGGCGCGACAAACGGTTTTTTCATCTTCTTTCGACCTTGTTTACTCGTCCTCGAAGATGATGTGTTCATTGAAGGTGCTGCAGCCCCTGACTTACTCTTTGTTCCGCTGTTTCTTCTTGAACCGGTTGTGTGGTCGCCCGTTGTGCTGGATAAGGAACCCCTTTCCCGTCGCGAGGACCGCCCAGTCGTCGGGGAATCGTCCGTAAGAGTAGACGATCTTTTGGACGAGGCCGTTGTCGGCCGCGTGCTGGCCGAGCAGTCCTCGAGGTCTACTTCTGAAAAACTGATTCCTGGCATTTCCCAACTGTAATTTTCGCGGTCCGAGGTCGACCATACCTGATCCAACTTTTCTCGCAGTTCCTCGAAGTTTTGGCAAGTCGCGAGGGTCATTTTCTTCCTTCCTGAGGCTGAAGATAATTCTGGTCCTTCTTCTACCTTCTCGCAGCAAAAGCGTTCCAGGATTTCCTTCCCGTTTGTATCCGTGACCTCCATGCTCTCCTTGTTCACTTCGGACGCCAACTGGAATTTGTCCACAATGGTCAGCGCGTAGTTGATGAACGAAGGCGCGTTGATGATGTAAACCTTCATTATCCCGTCCGGAAAGTGCCGGGGCCCGTTCCCCGAAACCACGCGGCCGTACTTCGCCAATGCGGCCATCTGGTACGCGGCGTCAAACATGCCGCAGTTCGCCGCGTCCCAAATGGCCACGAACCCGGTGGAGCCACAGGACCGAATCACCTGCTCCCGCCGCAGGCAGTCCAGCACGTAGGCTTTTTGCGTTTCGGCGTCCGAGGTTTTTCCGCTGGACAGCACGCCGCTGATTCTTTCCAAGAACGGCTTCACGCGCGCGACGTAGATCGGCGACCCGTCCCGCGCGCGAAGGATATTCACGCTGGTGGTAGGCGCTCCAGTTCTTTCGCCGCTTGTTTTACTCGCAGTTGTACTATCGACAGGAACAAGTTCGGGTCTTGCCTGGAGACCGCGGTTCTTCGGGCTCGTGCGCTGGTGCTGCCGCAGGTAGAGACCCGGGGACAGTGCAACTGCCGCGCTCTCTGTGTCGGCGTCATCCTCCTCTTTTTTCCCCTGCCGCAGCTTGTAGAAAGTCGATTTTCCAGGGGAAGAAGGCGTCGACTGCTCCCCGGCAGGGGGTCGTGTGCAGTCTAAATCATGCCTCGGAGTAGACGAAACGGGACACGACTTCTGGTGAAAGATCCCGTGGGGAAAGATATGCTCCCGAGCTAGCCGGTCCGCGTCGGCGTCACTGAGAATCTCCAGGTCCATGCTGTACCCACAGGAGCCGCTCGAAGTTGATGTACTGTTCGGGATGATCATCGGAGAGGACCCATCTTCCGCTCCCAAGTGCTCCGCTTTATTCTGGTGCAAAATTTGCTGCTTGTACCACGAGAGAAGAGCTCCTTTCTTCTTTTTCTTGTTTTGCCCCCCGCCTCTGGGGCTGCTCACTTCCTTTGTCCGACCCAGTTGCTCCGCGAAGACCGCCGCCCGGAATAGCACGGTCCCCGCCATCTTTTCCAGGACAAAGGTTACCCCGGAACCTAAGCTCGTGCTTTCCATCTTCCGGCACTCCTTGAAATGCACACGAAGATAGCGGTAGGCGCACACGTCCGGGCCGGAAAAGGCCTCGAAGAATTCTTCCACCATCAGGTCCACAAGTAATTGCAGATTTTTCGCGTCTTTCGCATAGTTGGGAATCAAGTCCTCCTTCACGAATTCCTTCAGCGACGGCCACCCGGGATTCGTCTGTTCCTCGCGGTCCACGAGAGTCTTTTCCGCTAGGTCAACATTTTTCCCTTCTCGATTTCTCGTTTGCATGGACCCGACCACTTCCGTCGCGCGGTGCTGCAGCTTTTTTGTTTTATTCAGAGGGCCGTTGTTCGCATCGATCTCCTCGCGCAACATCGAATGAAGGCGTCTCTCCCGCACCATTTTCTCGAGGAGTTCCGAAACAAGCGGCTCCAGCTTCATCTCTCCCATCCGGGTTTTCAACTTCTCGCCAACCGGCTTTGCCAAACGAGAAAACCACGAGCTGGTGTTTTTCGTGGTGCTAGTTGTTCTCCTACTAGTCGTGTCCACCGCCAGCTTCGCAGCGACCGCAGAGAGCTGCGACATCTCCGGCTGGAGCAACGCGCTGTTTTTGTCTTTTTCATTGGACGTCGTCGTGCGCGTTGCCGTTGATGCGGTGCCGCGTTCTTGTTGCGCGGTGTTGTCCACAAGTTTCTGGTCCACCGTAAAGCACGAACTGTCGACGTCCCTTGGGGACCCCATGGTGCTACCCGACGCACCGCCAGCCAAAGTCCCGCCGTCACTGTCCGATCGGGATAGGTTGTGCTGAAACTGCAGCTCGATCTCCGTGAGCTCCTCGTTCGTGTTGTTCCGCTTCCCACCCTCGCCGCCCGGAGGACTGCCGGCGCAGCAAGGGTCCGCATGGTGTGGCGGCTCACAACTGCGAAGAATATCGTTGCCCATGATCTATTGACGCCTAGCCCCCAGTTTTTTTTGACGTTTTGACGGGTTGCGCCCGTTCGTAAGTTCCGCACTTCTGATGGTGCCGCTCGAGCTTGTCTTGATGTAGCTCAATGAAGGTCCTGAAGGTTCACCTTTGCGTCATCTTCCCCCCGCCTTCGTGGACAAGCCTCACTGATGCTGTGGTACTCCAGTCTGATGTAGGGTGAAAACAGATGCCGAGTGTCAATGTATGCCGTCTTCATCGTACATCAAATTTAATCTTCAAGGGGATTAGGACGCGACTTTCGAAAAAAAAAAGCGCTTCAAACAAATTTCAAAAAAAACACAAACAAACTATACTGAGGGACGGTCCAGGTAACGGACAGATCAGATGAATAAGTGGGGCAGCACGAAACATAAGTGAAGGAAAAATGGGTACAGCACAGAGGCGGGCTCAGACTGGCGAGTTGGTTGGGTCATTTAGAAAATTTTCCCGCCACGACAGCACCACAGAGACAGAATTGCAAAACAATAAACACATCGATCTAATTAGCAGCACGACCGAGCAACATGAAAGTTGTGGGGGCCTTTAAACCGATAAATAGACAGACTCTTCCGCCTCTTGATGACGACTGTATCTTAACCGATGTTTCAGTTATCTTGACGAAGCTCACCGACTCCAGCGGGTAGACAATTCCAAAGTTAGTAGTCACTGATTCCCTTGTAACATACAGCCACAGCAGGGGTACAATGTTGTACGGGCTTTGCTTCCCCCGAATAGATACTAAAGGCCAAGTATTTTCGCTGCAAAAAAAGGACAGTGCAGGAATTCGTGCGCGTATGCTTTTCGGGTCGCTTTGAGGAGGGCAGTGGTACATTTAGTACACCATCTTTTCACATGAACTTGGTTGCAAGCTCCGAAACATTTTTTTCTCCACCCAGATGGAGCAAGAGAAATCAAAGAGAGCTCATCATGTAGGCATTTACAAGATTGTCGGTCCAGCACGACCAAGTTCGAAAAACCATCTTTGTCCTCAGAATACTCATGCGCCAGCAAATCTGGCTCTCGTTGGCGTTGCGACCACCGGGGCACGGATTTCCGGTCGGCGTTCCTGCGCTTGACCGATCTGTTGGTCCCGATCATCTTCATTCGGTAGAACTACAGCAGCATCTCCTCTCCTGCCACCTTCTGGTTCTGTTGCTGGTCCGGCAACATTATCTTCCTCCCCCGAGTTAATCTCCTCTCCTGAGGCCGCTTTTGGCGAGGCAACGGTCGTCGGCGTGCTGTCCCTGGTATCCGCGCAAGAAGTCTTTCCGGCAGTGGAGCTGCAGCTCGAGGCCCGGCTTGCAGAAACCCCCGCTTTCGTCGGCGTTTGCCGTAATTGCTCCGTCGACGTCACTGGCTGAATAGTATTTTTACCATCCTTGTTCTGGGAAGAAGTGCTTGCGAGCATATGTGAACTGGAGGTAGCACTGCCGCTTTGAGCCGCGGAGTGCTGATCCGCTTCTTGTAGAATTGCGGCAACAGCAGAGCGAAGGTGTTCCCCGCCTTCCGTGAGCATGGTGCTCTTCTTGTTCGCTGCAAAAACTGGGCTGCCGCCGGAAGCTCTTTCCAGTACTGTACCGCTGCTTGCTGTCAGCGGCGCTGCACCTCCCGCCAAGAGCAAGGTTTCCGCGCGGCAGCGCTTCTCGTAAGCCTCTTCCATAATGTCTTTGAACAGATCGCCGCGAGCGGTCGCGTTGTACATGTAAGCGCACTGAAAGGCGTCGACTGCCATGCCGCCGCTCTTCACCAGGTCTGTTTTCCGGTTGGGGTCCGCTCCGCCCTCGACAATCAACGTCGCAACGTGGTCCAGCTCGAACCTGTTTTTCCCCCGCAAACCCTCCATGGCCGCGTGCAAGGGCGTCTCTCCCGAGTCGTTCATGGCGACGCACTGCAGACTGTGCCACGGCTTCGTGGTCGGTTTATTCCCATTCTGGTCGGAGGTTGTCGTGACGACCACCGGTGGACTAACGAACTTCTTCTCCAAATGCAGCAACCGCTTGATGATCTTATTGTTCCCCTCCGATGCGGCAATGTGCATGGGAACCTCCCCATCCGACGCCTTCGCGACCAGTAAAAGCCGAAAGAAGAGCTTCTTGGCGGTCAAATTTTCGTCCGCGTTGTTGTTCGACATCATTTCTGCTCGGACTTTATTCACATGCTCCGCCTTCACCAGGTAGTTCTTCGGCAGCGGGCGGATTTGCCCGCTGCTGGTCACGGTGAGGGACACGAGCACATCAAGGCACTTCACGGCGTTGTACCCCGCAAGGTAGTGCATCACCGTCCACCCAAACATACCGGTCGACGTCATCTCCCGGAAATCGGACAGAATCGTCGGGCATAGTCGCTGCATCATCTCCGGGTCGTCCGCCTCCATCGCCTTGGCGAATTGCGGCTCTGCCTGGTCCAAATCCGCTGGCATGGTTTGTCTTTGTCCGGCAAAAGGGTCGTGGGTATAAGAAGTAGTTTCAGTTCTGTATGATGCTACGAAAAGCATTTATCAAACTCAAATCAATAGCACGCTCAAAAAGGACTGTTACACGGCTTTAATTCAAACCTTTGGTATTTGATGATAAATCGCTAAAAACAGTAGCGACAAAGAGATCGTGGAGAGTCGCTTTAAATAAAGGTATCTTTTACAGCACCCGAACCAATCAATGCGGCCTGTCGTCAATGAAAAAGCTGAACCTTTTGAACATCCAGAAAGTCGGTGCTAAAAAAAGCCGAGAATCGAGCCACGGAGGAAAAAAATTTGAATTTTTGGATAGGATCTTCGTCGATCATCTTCAGACCATTCTCAGCCTGCTGTCACAGATCATACAAAACCTTTTTACAGCACACTGATCGCTATCTTGGAAAGCAAGATCTACTTTTGAAAACTACTCAGCACAAATTTTGTTGCATGTATTCTTTCGCGTGGTGTGGTTTACCGAAAAGGGATCCAAAACGCCATCGACACAAATTTTAGCCTGAAGATCCTCGTCGCACATCGTCGACGCACTAGCGGAATAATTTCCATCCCTGTGATTGACCTAGAGCTTTTTGAACAATCGTTTTCTACGTAAGACGTGCTTGCTACTTCAGCGAGAAAAGAGGCCTATTCCGGGAGAGGGACCAGCCAGAAGCTAGTGCTACCAGCTCCAGTGGTTTTTTTCGTGAAATCCAGTGCGCAGGTCCTGAATGACACAAGTTGTACTCTACATGTATTCTCAGAAGAAGAAGTCAGCACTTACGATGTTGATTCACAACATTTCGCTAGCTCCAACCTGGTCATGAAGACCAGGACTTGGCTCGACTACCACTTTTCAGAATCCATGTAGATCGACGGTGAGACTACTTTACGATATGTACTCATCTCTTCGCGAATAGGTTCAAGCACCCTATAATTATCGAAGAAGGAGCACCAGCATGTCTACAAGTCTTCCTTGCAAAACTACTGTGCGATTTAAGTAGCGGATCTCTCCATTCGTCCCTTAACACGCCCTTCAGCAGACTACGTCCTTGCCGTCGACCAGTTCGTAGGACACGACAGCGCCACCTTCGCCACTAACCACCACCTTGCACTTTCCGCTGTTTTTTGCAACTTCCGCCGCGTATTGCTGTGCCGTGAAAGAGGTGAGTGCCGCGGTCAAAGCAACCTTGTCCGCCTCACTTTTTGCCTTGAACCCGCTAGTCAACTTGGGTTTTCGCGGGCAGATGAAGGCTTCGAACTTCGCCTTGCTTCCTTCCAGGTCGACGCAGTCCTTTGCGACAACTAAGCGATCCGTCGGCGCACACTCCAGGAGGGTAAGCTTCCTTCGCAGCAATTTGTCGACGTACCTGGCAAAAGGTTTTTGATAATACATCGATCGTCATCATCCATAGTAGTGCGCAGAGCAACAATGCACTTCGTGAACCAGCCACGCAGGATCCTCTACTAGTCCGATTTTTTTAGCTGCAAAAACAACTGCGTTGTAAACCTAACTTTATGCAAAATCCTAACGCCAGAAATAAACGTAAACACAAATACTCATTTTTCGCCAGCAGGGCGGATTTTAGTGTCGGTCCGTGGGCGACACCGAAGATGTCAACCACGTCGTGCGGTCGGAGGTTTGCTTCCTTGCACAGCTTCTGGATGTGGTTGGCTACCTCCCGGCCCGCCGCCATCTGCAACAATTCTGGATCCGGGGTGAAGTCCAACAAGACGAGGTTCTTGTTGTCGTCGTAGTCAAAAGCCAAGTCTGCTTTTGCGCCCGCCTGGCCGACGGTGATATCCCTGGCGATGTCCAGATCGTTCTTGTCAAACATCAAGCCCAGGATTTCGCACTGTTCGTTGTTCGCCTGGTACTGTTCGATGTCCTTCACGCCCCAGGTATCCAGCACCGCCTGCACGTCCTTCATCTCTATCTTCGCCTTCTTGCACTTCTTCTGCGTGCTGGCTTTTTTCGTCTTCAGATTGGCGACGAGCGAGACCTTCACGTCGGTGGCGGTTTTTTGCGGTAGCACCGTGAGCTCCATCACGTTCACTTCGTCCTTGATGTACTCCTGGAGTTCGAGCAGCTGCGCGACATCGCCCTCTTTCTCGTCGTCGACGATCACCCGCATGGACTTCAAGGGTGTTTTCACGCCGATCTTTTTCCTCGCGCGCAGTTGCCGTGCGGTCTCGATCAGATTCTGCATCAGCTTCACGGACTTCTCGATCTCCTCGTTGATCAACCGGGGGTTAAACCGCGGCCGCATCACGAAGTGCACGCACTCCGCCTTTTTCGGATGATTTTCCGGCAACGCACGTTGCAGGTTTTCGTAGATGAAATCGGCGATGAAGGGGGTGACGGGCGCGAAAAGAATGGTCACGTCGAGGATCACGGAGTACAACACGGTCAAACTCGTTTTCGCTTCCTCCTGCCCATTTTCTCCGCGCATGCGCTGGCGGTTCAGGCGGATGTACCAGTTGGTCAGCTGTTCCCAGAACCCGGCGAGGAGCGGGACGACGGCGTAGAGTTTGTAATTGTCCATTTCCGTCTCCACCGTGCGCAGCAGGTTGTTGCACGCGGCGAGAATCCACCGGTCGGTGAGATTCCTCGTCGACTCGAGGAGCGCGAAATCGGGCTGGAACGGGCTGTCGGTCTTACCCTCTAATCGGTAGGACTCCATCACCAAAAAGCGGTACGCGTTGTACCACGGCAGGAAGATGTCTTTCACCTGTTGGGATAAAGTCATGAGAACGGTCAAATTTAAATCTTTACGGCTGAACGTAAAAGAAACTACTGGCGTAGTGATGTTCGAGAGTACTGATGATGCGAGGGCATCAAAATAAAGCAGAAGAAACACTAAACTTCGGTTGGCAACTCAATATACCACGTCATTCACGTGGGCCTCCTTGAACCGCAAGGGTTCCGCGCGGACCGCGGGCGAGTTGCACATGTACATTCGGACGGCGTCGGCGCCGTATTTTTCCGTCATCAGGAGCGGATCCGGGTAGTTTTTCAGGGACTTGGACATCTTCTTCCCGTCCTCGGCGAGGATCAGACCGTTGCAGATCAGATTCAGAAATGGCGGTTTGTCGAACAAATGGGTGGACAGAACCATCAAGGTGTAGAACCTGTTGATTGTATGTGTAAAAAGATCTAAGTTGAATACCAGAAACAATGGTGCAGCATGATTTGGTTTTCTTGAAAATGGGTGCGCATCATGGAGGCCCAGATGATCTTCATAATGTTGCGCCGTTTAGAACTATCACGCAAATAAAAATCAGGTACTATCAAAAAATACCATCCCCTCGTCTGATCCAAGCCTTCGGCGATAAATTGCGCCGGAAACCCGCCGTTCTCCATCAGTTCCTTGTTTTCGAAGGGGTAGTGCATCTGTCCGTATGGCATGGACCCGGATTCGAACCAGCAGTCGAATACTTCCTCGATGCGCTTCAGCATGCCCTTGCCCTTCTTGGACGGAATTTTGATGTCGTCGATGAAGTGGCGGTGGATGTCCGTGATTTTCCTCCCCGCATACTCCTCCAGCTCCTTGACGGACCCGATACACACCACCTCTTCGAAATCGTCCGACACCCACAGCGGGATCGGGGTGCCCCAGAACCGGCTGCGGGAGATGCACCAGTCCCGGGCCTCGGCGAGCCAGTTGTGGAACCGCTTCTCCTGGACGAAGGTCGGCACCCACCGGGTCTGCTCGTTGTTCTTGATCAACTTCTCCCGAATCTCCTCCACCTTCACGAACCAGGAGGGCATGGCCTTGTAGATCAGCGGCGTCTGCGACCGCCAGCAGTGCGGGTAGCTGTGCTCGATTTGGGACGAGGCGGCCAGCAGCTTGCGGTCCTTCAGGTTCTTTTTGATCAGGGGGTCGGCTTCTACTTTCGCGTTCAACCCCTTGAAGTCCACCACGTCGTCGACGAACTTGCCGTCGTCGTTCACGAACATGGGCATGCCGTCGCCCTGCTTGTTGATCAGTCCGTGGTTCACACAGACCCGGAAATCGTCGTCACCGTGCTGCGGGGCCTGGTGGACGATCATGGTACCGGCCTCGGTCCCCACGTACTCATCCACGAAGACGGACCAGGCCTTGTCCAGGTTCACTTTCGTTCTCGCGTAGTCGAAGAGCGGCTTGTACCGGAGGCCGCCGAGCTCCTTTCCCGGGACGGTTTTCACGATTTTGCAGCTGTCCTTAGCAACCTTCGTCTTCCCGAAATACCCGAAGTTGTTCATTTCGGACAACACCCACTCAAACCGTTCCTTTCCGACAATGATCGTCTCGGTTTTGTTCGTTTCCGCGTTCGGGGGGAGCTCAACGTAGAAATACGTGTGCGTCGGGTGGACGCAGAGCGCTAAGTTGGAAGGCAGCGTCCAGTATCAAATGCAAAAATGTCTGGGTCTGGAAAGTCGTAATGCTAAAAGTGGATGATAGCCGGACTGCAATACGCAGCCAAGCATGACAAATTTTTGAGCGGCTACGTGTTGCGTATTCCGCATGAGAAACNTTTCCAGACCCAGACATTTTTACAATCCATACCTCAGAAGCGGTTGCAATGGTACTGCCCATAAACTCCTGCAGCGCCGCGCGGCCGAAGAGAGCGACGATCCAATATCGCAATGACAAATCCCCCCTCCCCATATTGACGCGGTAGGTTTTCGCAAATTTGCGTTGCTGATATGTGACCACAAATCGTGTCTGTGTTGCAAGACGGCAACTCCACCGGCTCCGCTGCATTATGCAGGCGGTTTGTCAACATGCTGTTAAGCGCTACAGCACGGACGTTTTTCATGCTAAAAAGCGCCTAGATTAAAGCCTCTCTACTCAGGCTTGATATGGGTCATCTGCAGTCCTGTCCAGCAAGACAAATCTGACTTGTGTACTCAAATCCAGCATCAGAAACTTCGTTTTCATATGGGGAGAAGGGATTTTTCCTTTTGATATCAAAGCCTTGACCGCCACGCCGGTTTCGTGTTCCAATAAATCCGCGACGCCGAGCGCCCGGAGGTGTTCCGCGGTTCCGCCGAGAAATTTGCTGGCCCCGACCCGGGCGTGAATAATCAGCGCCTCCGCGACGGTGTGGAGGTTCAGATTGGCCTTCGCCTTGTCAATCGCGCCGGAGTACAGGGCTTGTCGTGCCGCGAACCGACCGATTTCTTCCAAAACGGTAATGTTCGCGTCGGGCGTGACCTGTTTGTCATCGGCAATACCGTCCTTCGGAAACATCGGGTCCGTCCCCTGCACCTGCGCGGCACCTTCGGCCGCCGCGACAACCGACGCGGCGCCGGACCGGGATAGTAAGTCCGCAAGCCTTTCGTGCGTTTGGAACTTCTCACCAAGAACTCCCGCGATGCAGTGCTCCGCGATCCCCTCGGAGGCGAGGCGGAAATCCGGTTTGGAAGCCATGTCCTTGGTCCGCAGAGCCTTGGACAGCTTGAAGTTCGTCACATTGTTGGAGGTGGTCGGCTTCATGACCTTACAATGCCGGGCGATGTCCGTGTCTTCCAACGGCGTTTTGTACTGCAACTTGCTCAACCCGGCGCCGGTTAAACCCGCGCCCAGAATCTGCTCATTGGACATTCCCATCGACTCCATCGCGTTTTCAATATTTTCCTGCTCCTCCCCCCGCAGCTGCGCCATCCGTTCCGGCTCGATCAAACGAAAGCTCGCGTCGGGCACGTAGGTCACGTCCGCCGCTTGGTACAGTGCGGATAGCTTTTATGCAATACAAATATGCCCCCACACGACCCAGTTTTTGTCATGCAAGAAGTACTTCAGCATTGTCTCCTCTGATGCGAAATTTGCAAGGCTGCCTTCGCTGAGACCAAGACGCACTATCAAAATCTTGAATCAATTTGTCTTGCGACCCGTGCATCTGCTTATCCTTTCCAGAGGCTGCTTTTTGCAATACAAATTTCTGAGTCAGAAGGCATAATTGCTTTGCATAACTTCCCGTCCCCGAAGACATCAGAAGAACGACTCGGCTTGTAGAAGTTATCGATGGAATTGTCCTATGCATTGCAAAAGTATCGTACTCGTACTACTTGCGTTTCTGCATTACAAATCTTTTTATCAAGGCAAATCCGCATTACAGCTTCAGTTTGTAGTGCTAGGTGAATTTGTAATGCATTTATACGAGTACGATGCTTTTGCAGTTCATATGTCCTGGGCGTGTTTGTCCTTTTCGGTCAAAAACGCAACTTCGTCCCGGGAGTGGTCGGACTCGATCACCATCACGTCGCCGAGTTCCGGGTCGACAATCATGTGGCAGAGGCACTCTAAAAGCCTATCATCCCGGTCCATCTCGTGCTCCATCACGAGCAGTTGCTCCGCATCTTTTAGGAATCCGGTGCAGCATAAAATGTCGACAATCCCACCCTCATCAAGTGTCATGATATCGTCCATGTGGATCATCACGATTTTCATCTGCTCGTGAATCGTCCCATCGTTATCTTTCTCCGGGCCCAGTAAGTCCAACGCGTCCTCAATGTCGCAGAACGAGGAAAACATTTCCAACAAATCCCTCGTTTTACTAACTTTCGTCTCGTCCGGGATCACCATGACAATGTCCCGTCGCGTCCGGTGCGGCTCCGTCCCGGGGACCCGGGGCAAATGCCGGTCCTGACTCATGCCGACCACTTCTAACAACTGTGTCCGATCCCCCGCCACCTGCACGATCGTGTGGTTGTCGCGAGATTGCAAGATCGAGACCTTCGCGGGGGGGGAGTTCTGCTCCTTCTCCATGTCCCCCATGTTGTCCGCGCCGATTTCTCCGGTGGCGAGATATCGCGCTTCCGCGGGTAGTTTATCCCCACGCGTGCACGAAATGTCGGTTTGCGACTGCTTGGCCGCGCGGCCCATGAGGTCTTGCAACAAGGCGGAGTCTTGTGGTTGCCCGGACAGGTTGTCGTTTTTCATTTTTTCGTCCCTTTTCCTCCTTTGCTCCGGGTCGATGTCCATCTCGACCCCCGGCATGAGTTCGATCGACCCCCAGAGTTGCGCCCCTTTTACCCGCAGTTGCATCCCCAACTCCTGCACGAACTCGTTCTGCCAGGAACTGTTCAACAATAACGCGTCGCGGATGTGCAACCGTCTCACTCTTTCCTCCAGCATGTTGCCGAAATGCATCAGGATTCATCAAATGCAAAAGTGTCTGGGTCTGGAAACTTGTGATGCTGGGTGGCGTCTCATGATGAGGCCACAAATGCTGGCTTAGCATGACAAGTTTCTGAGTTTCTAGGTGTTGCCTATTCTGCATGACAAACTGCGTTTCTGCATCACAGAAAAATGGAGCTCTTGGGTAACGTGCATGACAGATTTAAGAGCCATGCCAGACAAGCATGACAAATCTCGCAATCTTCCAGACCCAGACATTTTTACAGTTGATAGGATTTCGCTCGCCACAATCTCCGGGTTGGGGACCAGTTGCATTTGCGGCTGCTCTATCAAATGCAAAAATGTCTGGGTCTGGAAAGTTGTAATGCTAAAAGTGGATGATAGCCGGACTGCAATACGCAGCCAAGCATGACAAATTTTTGAGCGGCTACGTGTTGCGTATTCCGCATGAGAAACTGCGTTTTTGCATGACAGATAGGAGAGCCGGTTCGTTCCCACGCATTACAGATTCTCGAGTCATGTCAGACATGCATGACAAGTCGCAGAATCTTCCAGACCCAGACATTTTTACATTTGATATCCAGGGTGTGGTCGTCCACGCTAAAATGGTCAGGTCCGCCTGGTTATGAAATGCAAAAATGTCTGGGTCTGGAAGAATGCAACTTGTGATGCTGTATTTGGAAGCCAAAAAAATCTGTATTGCATGAGTAGCAAACAGAATGCAATTTTTGCTAAGCTGAGAAGGCATTTGTCATGCGGAATAGGCATCAAGAAGCCCTCAAAAAATCTCTATTGCTAGGGTATGCATCACAGACATCATGGCTCATGCAAAACGTGCATGATATGTTTCAGAATCTTCCAGACCCAGACATTTTTACAGTTGATACTGGTCGACAACTTCGAACCGCGCAATGACGGAGGGGTCCTTATCCAAGAAAAAAACACCATCACAGTCACACTTGGGAGGTTTTGCATCAGAAATTCTTCTCGCATGACAAACTTTTCTTGTATTGCAAAAACACAAAGGGAAATCGGCTATAAGTGTTGACTGTGATGCATTTTTGCGCATGACAAAAATTTTTGTATTGCAAAAATGTGCAAAAGTGATTGTGATCGTGTTTTTTTCTTGGATAGTCTTTCACGTCCTTGTAGTTCTGGGACACTTCGAAATTGGACAGGGCGGTCTTATCAAATGTAAAAATGTCTGGGTCTGGAAGAATGCATGTTTGTCATGCTTGTCTGGCATGACTCTTAAATCTGTCATGCACATTGCCCAAGAGACGTTTTTTTCTGTCATGCGGAGACGCAGTTTGTCATGCAGAATAGGCACCACCTACAAGCTCAGAAATTCGTCATGCTAAGCCAGCACTTGTGGCCTCCTTATGCTACGCCACTCAGCATCACAAGTTTCCAGACCCATACATTTTTACCCTTGATAGGTCTGGCAGGCGAACGAATACGGCATCACGCGGAGCGCCCGGTAGACCATACCTGTTGAGAGATTTATTTTGTGGACTATAGGATTTGCATTTGACAATCTTCAGTTCTCATGCCCCTACCTTGTGCAGGAGCATATTAAGACCGGAAATAATTCCATGTACGTGTACTAAGGGAAGTCATGCAAAAATACCAAGTACCTTTCTCGAAGAGTTGCTTGAAGACCCACCAGATGGATTCCATGAAGTTTACGTCCATCGTTTTGTAATCGTTGTCCATATCAATCCACCTTCCGTATCTTTCCACGGTTTTTCTCCAGTCCTGGGCGTACCGTTGCACCTGTTTATTAGAGCGACGATTGTATTGTGATCATTCGTGTCCGATTCATTGTGGAAATCGAACTATGAAAAAGCGCTCTGTGTGCATAACCAGACAAAGCAACATGGAAGGTCATGTGATCCAGAACGGATGAAAAAGGTTCAGTACGATGCTGCGGCACTGCTCGTTGTATGCTGCTATCCCCATGTCGTAAACGTCTTTACGTTCTTTGATGCCCAACTTCTTGTCGATCTCGTTCTCTACTGGAAGTCTGTGTTTTGTCGGAATCAAAGGATTTTATTCATCCGTCATTCTCATTTTATCCAAGATTCTTGCACCAGACGCTCACAAAATTGCGCTAGCTACAATCATGATCATGTCAATCCACATCGATAATGCTGCACGCAAACATCATGAAACCGTACCCGTGGCAATCCCAGCCCCATCGCCGCAAGACCTGCTTTCCGTTCTGGTGCTGATACCTACAGACGACATCTTTTATCGTTCCCGCTAGGATGTGCCCGTAGTGCGGCAACCCGGTCGCGAATGGGGGTCCATCGTAGAAAATGTAGGCCGGTTTATCTGCAGTATCGGTTTGAGAACAGTTGCGTAAGTATTTGTTGTAAATTTTTCCAATGAAACGCAAAACTAAAGTCGATTCATCTGCTCTTCGTCCTTCGAGGGTACTGCGTGTGAAGAACTGGCCGGCAATCATAACCAGGCGCTCAACTTCTACCTGAGTGAATGAAAATAATACCTTTGCTCTGCTCCATGCATTGTGCGAAAGCCTTAATTTCCCGCCATTTTTTCAGCACTTTCTCCTCCTCTTCCGGGAAGCAGGGTCGCTCCGGAATCTCCTTAAAGGTTGACGCGACCACCATTTTGCGGAGGGGGTGTTTGTTTTGCGCTGCCGTAGACAGACTGGTCTTCGCCAACGGCAGGGGAAATAGTCGCCGCTTCGTGGTCGTTGAGGCAATTTTTGGAAAACGTTCTTCAAAAATGAAACTTAGTCAAAAAATAACAATTATGAAGATGATATATTTTTGCGTGCAGAGCCAAAATTTGTGGTATGTGGTCGTTAAGAATAAGAAAACTTTGTTTGGGATAAGGAATATTCTAGCAGAACCTGTCCATAGAAAAGAAGTCAGGAATTGGGAGACAAAAAAGTGCCACATGATCGTCACGACAGAATCGATCTCACGAGAATGGATCTTTCCTTCCATAGCATATTTGCAAGAAGATTAATGAAGCCTTGACTCAGATCAATAACCAGTTTCGATCGCCACCTCCTTTCAGAACCAACACGTTGGTTTCAAGTGGAACTTGACAATATCATGTACTCAAGCTGATCGATCGCCTCATGTAAGTACTCAAGCTGTGCGGTTCTTTTGATCTCGTACTTGTAGTCGCAGTTACACAGCGCCAGTTTCTTCGAAAGATGCAAAAAATATGATCTTTGGCCAGAACACATCGTGGAAGTGCAGGCGGCACTAGCGACGTCGTATCACGAAAATACAGCGCGAAGCAGGTTGCGAAAGTGAATGATTTCTGGGACTTTATATGGGGACTCGGGAAAGCTGTTGTTGATGAAGACTTTGATTTATTATCTCAGGCCATTTGTAGCTGGCAAGACAGGCGGGGCAATGTTGACTATGCTGAAATCAGACGCTCCTGTTTTCTAGAAACCAACCGGACTTTTTTGCAAATGCAGCTCGGCACCGCGTTCATCTTGAAAAGAAACACTTTTCGTGCAGATGATGACGCGATGCGGCTTAGGTGTCGGCTGGCCCATCTGTGGGACTATATTATGCCACCGACCTGTCGTACCGGTACTGGTTTTCAATTGCGCCTTTCTTTGCATAAAAAAATGGAGATGCTACAGTACAGGGGGACTTGTGAAGTGGAAAGGGTACGGGTAACCGTGCTTAAATCGGGTAAAAATTATAACAGCACGAGTGCTATTAATTTATATCGGAAAACGGGGGCTTTGAAGGGAGGAAAATTCCGCAGCGTTTACATCGGTAAAGAACTCTCCGACGACAACGCTTCGGCTTGGGGCTCTTGGGCTAAACAAAAAAATAAAGAATCGAGGTCGAACGGGATACAAATAAGTATCGGAAAAGCACAAAAGCGTCACAGCCGCTCCCGCTCGAGTCCTTGATTCTCATTTGACATGCAAAGAAAAAAATGCGAGAAGTGCGTTCGTGTAAAAAAATGTAAACTGTGTGTGAAATGCGAACTATTATTAGAAAATGAAAATGTAAACTGTTACTAGAAAATGCAAACTGTTACTAGAAAATGTAAACTGTTACTAGAAAATGTAAATTTGAGCATGAGCTTCTGAGTGTAATATGAGCCTACTGTAAACTTTGACTGAGTCTTCTTGAAAAACGCACTACTCGTTTAAAAAACCGAAAACAAAAAAAAAACTTTTCGACGAACACAGGAATCCGCTTACTCACTGTACCCGCTGAGCGAGTGCCCGACGATGAAATCACCGATCCACTTTTCCCGAGCAAAGTTCGACGGCTTTGGCGCCCCCCCGCAGCAGCACGGGCCGGGCTTGTTGACTTCCGCACTGCACCCCTGCCGAGCGGCGATAGAAGTCTTCAGGTCGCGAAAGTTGTCTACGCTCTTGTTCGGTTCTCGCTTCTTGTTGCCGGACTCGACCGCAGCGACAAAATTCACTTCGGTGGGCCTCAGGTACCAAGCCTCGCCCGGCAAAACCTGGCAAGTTTTTGTGTGTCAGTGATGCGTTTCGTTTCAGAAACAAAGAAAAAAATTATTTTTGTTCCGTGGAAAAACCCAAAAATTAGGTAAAAAAATGACTATGAAACTTCAGGCAGCTTTATGGAACTTGATAGGTGATTCATACCTGGAAGACTTCAATTTTCGACCCATTTTTGCGCTTCGATGATGCCCACACCAGCTGCCCATCCACCTGCTCGGTCTCGCACAACACGATACGAAAACCTGAAAGTTTTAATTTTTGGTTTTTTACCATGCACATGGGATAGATACTTCTCCTCATTCGGACAAACATTCAAGAAGCTATGCGTATCAGGAGTTGCTACGTCGAGTAGGTACTTCTAGAGAAAAAAAAGTTGTATGGCTGGTCGCAGCACACGATATTGTTCAAAACATTTCTATACAGTGCGCTTCGCAAATCGCCTCCGTCGCAAAGTCTAGGAGTGCCTCGCGCAGCTCGTTTCGCACGGGCAACGCGATGCCGTACGGCAGGTTTTTCTTCCCGGTTTCCGCGTAGGCCAGAATGGTGCCCCGGTCCTCCGGCTTCCTTTCGTAGTACTGCAGCCAGAGCATCTCCTTGTTGGCGATCATGGTTCGAACCAGGTAGAGTCCCGTGCCCATCTCCTGTACCTGGCCACTCCACCAGGTCGGCACCGCTAGCCGCTTCTCCCGGTTGTCTGCGCGGTTCCCGGACTTTCGGGAAGATGCGGTCGTCGAGGTGCCGCTGTTCTCGCCGACCTTGGAGGTGGAGGACTTCTTGTTCGTTGGGGCTGCTTCATCGGAGGCGTTGTCTTTCAGCAGCGTCTCCCGCCCCTCCGACTGCTTCCGCGTCCGCGAGGAGGCGCGGGAACGAGCACCCCCAGCGGCGGCCTCCACGGGGATGGCGGCGGCGGTCAGGGCGTCCGTCAACCGCTTTTTCGCCGTGGCGGTTTTCGCCGACTTGTTGAACCAGTTGAAAAAGGCGCGGAGAACCAGCAAGACCACAAAAGCAATCACCAAATACCCGAGGAACGTGAGCAGGACGGCGAACTCGGGCAAATTTTCCTCCAAAATGGGGAACTTGGACTTCAGCAGGTTGTAGTTCTGCTCGGCTGTGGCGTACAAATTGTTCACGAGCAACTTCGCCCGGTCGACATACGGCTGGACAAGGACTTGCACTTTTTCGACGTACGGCTGGAGTGCGACACTGATGTCCTCGATCACCTTCGTCGTTTTCTCCGACAACTGCAACGCGAGTTTCTTCACTTCCTCGCCGACCACCGCGATTTTCGCCTCCACCTTCGCGACCGCCTCCGGAATGCCGCTGCTGTAGTAGTACCAATTGGCCAGGTTCGTCGTGTAGAGATCGTACAATTCCATCATTCTCGCGGAATAGTAGATGGTCAGCTCCTCCAATTTCAGCCAACTGCGGATCACGAACGCCTCCAGCGCCGCCAGGCGTTCGCTGATTTTCAGCGCGGTGGCAATCTGCTCCAGTTTCTGCTGGTACGCTGCGTAGGCATTGCGGAAGAAATCGGGGATCGTATAGAACAAAATGTCGTACACGCCGAGCTTCTGCAGGTACGCCATCGCGGAATCCTGCAGCAAAATCAACTGCTGAAGCAACCACTGCCAGAACAGCTCCAGCTGCATCTGCGCGGTCGCCAGCCGGGCCTGAACCTGGGTGAGCACGGACATGGTCCTCGAGGTTGCGTTTTTATTAATGAAATGTACTTGATGCTTCTGAGGTGAGTTGTTGAATGATGTAAAATGTTCGAAAGGATGAAAAGGGAAGAAAAGGAGGAACCACGACCAAGAATTGGACCGTGGATCGGACTGTTGTTGAAATGGAAAGTTGGGAAGATTCAAAACTGGAATCAACGACGTTAACATAACTTCACAATTATTTTTCACGAAGACGGGACGAGAACGCACGGGAGAAACCTGCCGTATGAACGATGACACCGACTACGAGAATAAGCAACTGCGTACGTAATCTGCAGCACAGTGTGAACGACAGTTTTTCACGAATGGACGAATTCCAGCTGTTCGTGGACGAAGTTTAAACGTTACTGTGATATAAAACTTGAACGATGCCCCAGACGACGCTTACGAAAAAATCTAGCACTTCTTTTCATCATCCGCGTTCATGGAATACAGGAAATGCATTTGCATGCGTTTTTAACACGAGCAAGCTATGTAAGCCTACTTTTGTTTTACCTTGCAGGATTATGGTTACATGCATGCAGGCCGAGTTCAGAGGGCTGCTTCGTGACACATCCTAGCCGTATTCTCAAGCATCACAACTTCAAACACAATTGTCTCGCAAGTACAGTGGTGAAGAACATCTCACTTTCTGCATTTTTTGATGAAATAAACTACACAAGTTGCAAGCGATCTTGTCCCTTTTTACCGCCGAGATGTTGAAACACGACTGCGCGCTACTCTCACATGAGGAAGGAGGTGGCTTTCGTGCCGAACCGAAGCAGGTCGCGCAACGCACCGTCGAGGAATGCGATGCGGTTCCCCCATGTGGCGTGCTGCCTCAGTGTGAGGTCGACGTGGTGCATGATGTTGATGGATGGGTCGAGCTCGTACTGCCACCCTTCAAGAGTGATGGTGGATACCTGACAATGTGTAAATGCAATTTTCCTTGTCTTCATCCAGTTGCAGCTTCTCCTAAACTGACGACAGGACGGCGCGAGATGGAAATGGTATAAGAACCGATGGAATTAATTATTGCAAAAGCTTCAAAAGCACACGCCAAACAACAATCAATAGCTGTGAAGATGATTTAAGTACCACAGCGACCAGTATCGTCGGGTGCAATTCCAGCGTGTGCCTCCTGCAGCAATCCAGAACGTCCTTGATAATGTCCCGCGACCGCGACGTTTTGTACAACGCGGGATCCTGTCGGATGCGGCGCCAGATGTGGCCCTTGGCGGACAACTCCTCGATGAACGAAGCCCGGTTGCTGGCGTTCAGACTGCCGAGATTCGCCGCGGACAGAGCGAGGATTTCCTCCGCTAATTTTTTCCCGTCGTACTCCAGCATCGCCTGGAAAAAGCCACGGACGTTCTGCCCAAGCGAAGGCTCAATGTGGGCGGACAGACCTGGGAGATTTTTCCAAGAGTCGGCTTTTAGCAACCTCCGATGTTGCAGCTCTTTTAGTGGCTATCGCTATAGATGCAAAATAAACCAGCAAGAACTACAAGAAGTCTTGTTTTATGAGCACCGAAAATTTGATACCTGCGTCCAAGAAGCAGACGTCCGGCAGCTGGGTTACGTCCGTCCCGAGCCCCAAAATCCAGGACTGCAGGTTCTGACGCATCTTGGTCAAAAACCCGCCCTTCTGCTCATAATGCCGGACGAAAACGTTCCCGGGATGCAGATCCGCGTGGATAAAATTGTCGACGATGATCATTTTGAGCAGGGCCATGAGTCCAATCGTGCCCAGCCGCTCGACCAACTCGCCGTGCAGCTGGTCCGCGCTGTACTCGACATCGGAAGACGACGAATTGCTTCTGTCCGAGGCGGAGATGGTGGCGGGAGAAGATGTTGACGAGGAACTTTTATTTTTAGAAGAAGGATTTGATGAACTCGAAGAACCTTTATTTCCGGCGTCCTTTTTCTCCCCCTCCAATCCGTGGATAGCCAACCGGTCCGCGACGAAGTTCTCGTCGACCCCCTTCTCCAGCAGCTCTTTCCGTCGCTTTTCTCTATCGCGGTCCTGCTGCTTCAGCTTGATGAATTGCGAAATCGACGCACCGGGCTCGAAGGACTCGATCAGCACTTCTGGGGTAGACACCGACGCCTTGGGAAAACTCACGTTTCCCCAACCCTCGAAGTTGCTGCGAAACTGGCGGAGATTCGCCGCTTCCAGATCGAAGTCCAGCTGGTCGCCCATGTGCGCGCGAAACTGCTTCAGCATGCGGTTCAAGCGATAGCTGGACTCGAAATACCTAGAAAGTATTTTTTGCAAAACGCGCATGCGGAAAACTCATTGAAGCAGATGAAACGAGAACATTTCAGTGCAAAGAAGGCGGGTTCTTCCAGCCTCCGTCCGTCTCCGAAGAAAAAAACTATACCAGTTGCAGACCGTGTCCGTGAACCTCGATAATTTCTCCAAGATCGCGAAATCCAGATCCATCACGCGCTCCAGCCGAGGATGCTGTACTTTCACCGCTACATTCACCACGTAGTTGCGATCTACCACCGGCGCGCCACTGGTTTTTTCGGTTGTTGTCGCTAGCTGGTGCTTTGTCTCGCCTAGTACTACACTTTCTGTCCCACCAGCGCCCTTGAACCCGGCGTTCTCTAGCCCAGCCTGCACCTGTTTTGAGCGGTACTCGCCGACCCTGACCTGGGCACGGTACACCTGCCCGATGCTCCCACTCGCCACCGGCTCGGGCTCGAGCTGCAGGTACTCGAGCACGTTGTTCCCAAAATTCCGTTTCAAAATTTCCTCCGTCTCTGCCATGGTGTGCGCGGGGGAGTTTTGCGTCAAGCGATTTAGCTCGTCGCACAGCTCCACGGGGAACAGGTCATACCTGGTGGATGCCCACTGACCCCATTTGATGAACACAGGGCCGGCTTGCTCGAGCGCCGCCCGCAGCCTTTTGCACCACTGCAGCCGGCGCTCCTGGTTCCGCTGCAGGTCAGACTCGGACAGCCGGCTTTTCGGGTCTTTCAGACGCGGTTTGGCGAGCTGCGCGACCTCCTCAGCGGTCGGGGCTTCGCTGCGAGCTACGGAGGTCGTGGTCGGGGTGTCGAGGATTTCGACCTTCCCTGTTTCCTTGTCGTACAGCAGTTTCCTTTCCTGGGGGTCCTGGATGTACTCCACCTGGCAAGGTGCGAGGTACCACCACGGCACCCACAGCGCGACGACGGGCAGGAAAATCCTCCCGAGCGTCCAGATTCGCTGGCACAGTTCGAAAAAGTTCAGGTGCTTCACGCGCCGGTCCAGAAAGCCCGTGGATATGTCAGCGTCCTCAGTTGGGGGCGCGGCTGGTTGTACTGTCGCAGCAGAAGCGGTGCTAGAATCCGATGCTGCACCGCTGGTGCCGGTCTTGTTCTCTCGACGTTTTGATGATGGCGCTTTGTTTTTCTGCCCGGTATCATCAACATCACTGGTGGCGCCTTCGCTTTTCTGTCCCGGTGTCGTGTCCTTTGTAGTTGAGCCACTTATGGCCCCCCCTACTGGCACTTGGTTCCTTCTCGATGAATTCGTTCGAAGCACAACTGGCTGCAGCACTTCCGCCACCTCGTCGACGTCGCTGCTGTATTTTTGCCGCGCGTAGACCTCGTAGAAGACCGTGCCACCGAGCGCAAGCACACTAGCGGAGGTGACGCCGAACGCGCCGCGTTTGATCAGGCGAAACCGGCTCGCACTCGGGTCTGCGCTCGAGGAAACGCTGCCGCCGATTTGCTCGCTGCCGGTCTGCAGGCCACGGCGAAATATGGCTGAGTAGTTCTGGTTGCCGCCTGCACGTTGGCAACGCTCGAGCAGCTGCGGGATCCGGCGGGGAAACAGCATGTTCGTGCTGCTCCTGGTCCAGAGTAGGCTGTTCCGGCAGGAGGCTGAAAGGTCGACGCAGGCAGGTGGACGAAAAATCAAAAGAGGCTTGCATTCTAAGAACTAAGCGTGATTGTACAAGATCAAACTTTTTTTGCAAAAGTAATTCAACACAAGAGAGGTAAGTAAATAGCGGTACATTTTCAATTGATTTGTAAACAACTAGAATGAAATAGAGGAATGGAGGATCACGTTTTGCACGACCATGAAAATTGAACGGAGACCACGACTACCGAGTCATACTACTAAACAAAAAAAAGTGCGCACTGAAGAAAGTTGTGTAGAGTTTTGTGTCATGACAAAAAGATGCGTTGCCGCCAAAAATTGCTTGACAGTTCGTTTTCTCTCAGAAACTTACGACAAGTCAAGAACAAGGTTCTCAAAAGTCATTGGCCTCTTCCTCTCCGTGCTCGCGCGTGACAAAAGCAAAAGATCATCAACACTTGGCGATGTGACGCTTGTATTTTTGTTGTGCATTGGCGGCGCATAGGAATTTATAGGGATTATAATTTCAAATCAGAATTGGCACACAGTGACAGTTGAGAAGTTCATATATCACCTTATCATTTGCATCGATTTGAAACGGTTAGCTTTGATTCCGGCGTGTAGAAGCACATCTACTTCGCCTTCGGAGTCGATTCCATATAATGTAACTTTGGGTGCGCCGAGCACCGAAAGAACCTCCCCTTCGTGCAATACATCAAAACTGAAAGACTGGTTTATACACACGGATCGGGTCCAGAACAACATTCTGCGCCGCCACTGTCAGCACCCACAAGCACCCTAGGTTCTAGCAGCAGGTGCGAACCTCATTTTTTCCGTGTTCTTTCCGCGCAGCAGCCTGTCCACCTTCTTCACGCCCACATCCCGCGGACTTGTTCCAGCGAAGTTGGTGCTCGTGGTACTTGCGCCCGCCGCCGTGTACGCACGCCCTTTCTTGCTCGCACTCCGCGGCGGCTCTCTGTTGAAACTCCTCTCCGCTCTTGACTGCGATTCGGATCGCCGCTGGGCTACAGCATGACCACTCGTGTTGCTGCTGCCCAAGAGCTGGCCGCCACTGTACGTCGTCCGATTGTTGGTTCGCGAAGACATCCACTGCCGGGACGTGTTATTCACCTTCGCCTTCCGGCTCGAATTCTGCAGCAACTGTTGCCCGCTCGAGTTCGACGTTGCAGCCAAGGAAGGCGACCCGGCAAACCGCTGACTCTTCGCACTGGTCGCCAGACTGGTGGCTTGGTCGGCGTCCCGCGGCGTGCTGATCTTCTCCGCGTTCTTCTGGTAGTAGTGATTTTTGGAAAACTTCGCCCAGGTCGACCAGTGCCGGCCCGCGTTTTCCGGCGTCCTGGTTTCGTACCGCAAAAGGTAGTTCTGCGTCGTGCGCGAAAGGTGCGCCCCAAGCGCGCCACCGCCGCCCCCGTAACTCGCCGCTGCGGCTGCGGCGCCGCTCCCGGGCCTCGCGAGTTTGGTGTTCGAGTTCGCATTTACACCCCCGCCGGACGAGTGTGCTGAATTACTGATACTTGCCGAATTGTTGTTTTCCGCTACACTCCTTTGCTCCTGATAACTGTTGTTCGAAGATCTTGTACTGGACTGCACGGGCCGCGGCCCGACGCTCGGCGGTCGCTGATTTGCACTTGGCCGCGAGAACTTCTGGTCCGTGGAAGCACTTATCACCGACGGCGCAGGCGCAGCACCACCAACCACAGCTGCGGGATGAACCATGTTGCCAGCAGTGTTAGTATGCTGCGAAGTTGTGCCAGTCGTGAGGCGGACCGGCGTGAAAAAGTTCGGAATGCCGATTCGCGTCGACGGCGTCTGAAACTGCGGGGCCTGGTCCAGTTTCAAGAGTTGATTCGTCAGTCGGGACGGCGGCGGGTGCGCGACGGAGGTCGACGTCCCAGGGTTCAACACAACGGACGGCTGCTGCACCAAAGCTGTCGGGGGTTCCTGTGCGGAATTCGAGGCAGATCCGTTCGTGTGCAGCTGCAAGAACTGCCGTGCAGTGGACGTGGAACTCGAGGACATTTTCGTCAGTCTCGGGTTGTTGTTCTGTGCTTTAGGATTCATTTTCTCGCTGCCTTGCAGCCCCGTGGTACTGTTATTCGTCGACCGTCCGACCGTGCTGTTCTTCGTGGACCCGCGCGACGTAACGCTGGTTTTGCTCCCTCGCCGACTTCCCTGCGTCGACGAACTCGACCCTTGCGGCGCGGGCACGCTCGCCCGCCCGGGATAGTTGCTGTGGTGTTCCACCCCTCGGGGGCTTCGGCGACTGCGGGTGTGGGACTGCTGGGGGTTGCTTTGGAAACTCGCATCAGACGCCTTACTGGCACTGCGCTCTTTCGACGGAACGCGCCGCACGATATCGCCGGATTCCCAGTAGACCGGCCTCTTGCCACCGACAATGCGGTCGTCCTCATCGCGGACCGGGCGGGCCGACATGCACCGCCGCTTCGAAAAGGACTCTCGCCGCTGGTGCTTCTGCTGCTGACCCGTGATGGGATTACGGAGAACCCTGAAACGTTTCTACAGATTGAACTTACGTTTGCTCGTGAAGTAGACCGTGCTCGCCAACATTAAGTCTCCTTCATCGCAAAAAGCGGACGATAAAAATGGATAAGAATCGATAAAGAGCGACCTCCTGCGACAACAGACAGTCCTCTAGTACTTACCATCCAGCATCATCGGGCGGCGCGTCGAAGGGACTAGCCGGGGGCTCTAGGTGGGTGATCTTCGACGCTACACCCCTTGCAGATTGCGGAACCCGTTGCTCGAAATAATTTGGCTTTTGACTGCCGCGATCTGTTTTGTGTCGTTGCGCGATTGATTGAATTTGATCTCCACTCATGAAATACCTGTGGCCATGTCGTCCTAATTGAAAAACTTGACTATTTCTATTTCAACAAGCTGCGCATATACTCGATTTCTTGGACGATGCTCGTGCGGTGGACACTCCAATTTCGGGTGGCTCCGCCGCCCATGCCAGGCCGGACTGCGTGGACGCACTCGCGCCGGCTCTGCGGCTATGAAAGCGCAGATTCACATCCAGCGTGTTCCGCGCCGGGGTCAAATGCGGTTCGCTTGGACGAGGGGACACTTCCCGGTGGAAGCGCGCGTAGTCCTCGACACACTTGCTAGATTGGTGACTCGGGGCGCGAACGTGCAGTCGTGAAGATGGCCGGGCGTCCGCACCGGTGCATGAGGCCTGATAGGTTAATAATCATGGGTACTTAAGTCTTTGAGGAGGTGAAAGACTGAGTATCTGCCGCCTATGCATGCACCATGCGAGAACAAACCTCAGACATTAATATTAGATGCAACTTCGCATTTTACCGTAGCGTCCCCCTCTGCTTGCCAACGGTAGGGTGCTTTCTCAGCGATATTGCGGCTACTCCTGGTATGGAAAGATTTTCGTCCGACGAGACTCGGACCGGCTTCATACCTTCGATTTGGTTGTGACGTTCTCGAGTAATTAGCTCAGGTCGACAACCTGATAGCATAGCACAGCACGGGGTTTGGCGTGTCGGAACTTTAAGAGTGCAGCCTGACCTTCTAATCAATTGCTTCAAGAATGAATAAGTCGAATCATGTCTAATCGCATCAGTGTTGTATCTAAAAGATGCAACCTAGCAGCGTCCTTTGCCAGCCGGGACTCGTCCCTAGTTCCAAAGCCGTCTATACGACTTGGTGCAGCCGCGCGCCCCGTTGGTCTCTCCACATTGCAATTGATGGCCCCGGTGCCGCAGAGAGAATCCCGAAATTTCTTATCCGGGAACTGGGCTCGGCCGCTGTGGGGCGCAACGTCATCGCTTCGGAAGAACATCTTTGAAAACGAACGCAAAAGCAAAAGCTGCTAGTCTACAAGGGGACTGGCAGTGACAAAAAAGTTTTCCAGAAACACGCACAACGGAATGAAAATCAGCTTTGAAATCGATCGCGACTTTTACCTTTGCCGTTTTGTGGTGTTTCATGCTTGCCGACTTACACGACTTTGCAAAGACCTTCTGTATCTGCACTTGACCAAATCACGCATAAGACTGTGCGAAAACAAACTACAACGAAAGTGAACAGTACTACCAGTGATCTCGCCACGGAAAAAAAATCCAAATCTTCGGGTTCATGTCACCCAGTGTGATGTACTCACTAGAGCTATTATTGTCGTCTTCGCTTGTAAGAAAGCACTTTTCAGATTGCTTCAACAATTCTTCTTTGTCAGTCGGGGCTTCCGATGAAGATAAATTCCATGTTCGTTCATAATATATCCGTCGTGTTAGTACTACAAAACGTTCATTTTTAAGGGTCTATTTCGACGAGACCACTCCGAGAGCTATCTGCGCAATGCCGAGGATGAGCTGGAGGCAGCGAGGTTGCGCTGATTCGGGTCCTTATCGGAAGAAGCGAAGATGCTCTGCTTCTGCAGGTTCGACTTGATAAACCCCTTTTGTTTGGTGTTTTTCTGGCAGAACTTTTGCCACCCGTTCGCTTTCTTGAAGGCGTCCTGCTCCTGCTTCTCGTCCTTTTGTTGCTGCTTCACGTGGTGAATCTTGCGCTTCTTCTTTGCTTTTACCTGAAGTGCGATTTGCATGTTGAATTATGAAATCTGGCTCGAATGCAATAAGTATGCCATTTGAAAATTACGCATGCAGCAGCAAGAAGAGTCAGTTCGGTTCAGAAGACAGAAGCACGGAAATAATGTAGCAGGTCCTGTTTTATTGAAGTCGAGTAGTACCTCGTCGGTGTCCTCAGGCTTCACCATGAAGTGCTCGGGAATCACGTAGCCGCCTGGTGTTATTATCTCCTTCGCAGGTCGCTTTCCGGCGGCAGCTGTTCGTATTTTTTTCCGACAATTTCACTTCAAGGGCAGAAATCAGCCCCTTTCCCTGAAAATACTTTTCCAAAGTCGTGAGACACGTCGTAGCGATCAAGATCTATCAAGAAAAACACAAATCACTTACCGGCAGCTCCGCCTAGCGTTTTTGCAATCTTCTGCCTGACTTGGTCAAATTTCACTTCGTCCTTGGTATTGTAGTCCGTAAAGCGCACTATGTAGCCCCGATCGGTGTGTTCTTCCACAACGCAGTCGTACCAAAGCCCGTCAATCACCGATATTGCCTGCAGCTTCGTGCCGGGGAGACAGGCGGCCGGTGGAAGAGCGCGGAGCATCTTCAGTTCGGAAAGTTTAACCTCCTTCCGCTCCCGCTCGCCAAAAACGGTCAGCATGGCGCGGTCAACCCCCCGCTCGTCGCGACGAATGTTGAATACCTCTGCGTTGTACCTGTTTTGTGAAAGAAATGGAAGTTCAAATTGCGAAAGAAAGCGCATTCAAAAAACAAAAAGAGAAAATTGAGTGCAAAACTAAGCGTTGTAAAGCATGTACAGAAAAGGCTGTATCTCATGGATGAATTTATCAACAAAAAACAGCCTTATACCAGCCGTTGAGCGAGCCGGGGAGATGTACTTCGCAGCTTCTGCCTATGAGTTCATGTCCCCGGCCTCGGTGCTGCGCCGGTCGGTCGTCGTCCGGCAGCAACTTTCCTTGTTGTCTCGCCTGCAGCGCTTCCGGGGCCTTCTGGACGACCTCTTTTTCCATGACCACCACCTCCTCGAGCAGCTTGATGACATCCTGCAAGTCCTGTCGCGCTTCCTTCAGCGCCTCGTAACTTATCACACAGAAAAAAACTGGCAGGGCATATTTGTAATGCAAAAATAAATACACAAAAAAATAAATCTGTATTGCATATCCGAAGCAGTATGCTATGGGGCCACCCATGACAAGTTTTTGTGTGTATTTATTTTTGCATTACAAACATGCCCTGCCAGCTTTTTTCTCTGGGATATAACTGGGGTCCGTGTCCGGGGTCACCGCGAGGGTTTCGTCCACGACCTGGAGCTGCTCGCGGTACTCCTTGAGCTGCTGCTGCTTGTCCTTCTCCTCCTCCGGAGGATAGTTGTCATCCTCGTCGTCGTGCGGAAGATCCGACGGACGGTTCGACATGTTGATGGCGTGCTTTCTATGTTGTCACGTGGCTTTGTATTCTCAGAATGTAACGGAATCGATTTACTTGAGACAATTTGCTTTGGAAAATACGCCCAAATTGACGAATCATGAAACGAAATTTGTTCAACAAGTTCTATGTTCCAACGAATTCAGTGTTATTTCTATCGCAGTGGCTGAAAAACGTAGCAGGGAAGGAGGACGACGCGTGCTCCAAAAGATGCTGATCATTCGCGCGGGCTGGGTGGAAATAGAATCGAAGTCCTGACTTGCAAGCGGAATGGTGTCGGCTATGGACATACTTACTACTTTGTTCTCGTTGATGTGAGAGAGCAGATATGGATCTTTTTCATTTGCTTGATTTGTTTTTTTTTTTTCCTGTCGTAGTTTCCATTTCAGAGGTTTCTATTCCAATTTTTGATCCGAGTGAAAGATGAGTAGAGTGGAGAGAAAGTTTGTTAGTATCCGGATCTATTCTGCTCTGATCCTCCTGTGACAACGACGCTTTTAATTTGGCTGAGGTCGCTGTCGCGGCCGAACATCTGCTTTACAGGAGATTTCATGAAAATCTCGGCTTTGCATCAAAAGGCGCTTCAAGCCCTGCAGACACACTGCTAGCTTTGACAATCAGAAAAAGGATTCTTAAATGGAGATTGGTGATGCCTTTTCGTCTCTCGTGATGAAAGAAACAATATCATATGTATAATATGCCATTCAAATTGCACATAACAACACGCAAATTGAACGGACACTATTCGAATTCGTGATCCTCGTGTGGATCTCCCCTTTTTAGATGCGGAATGGTGACAAATTTATATTTAATGCCGGCGCGGAGGCATGTTGTTTAGCATTATTCTCCTCTGTGTTCTGTGTCTACACTCGATCTTTTTTGCCTTTTCTTCCTCGGCTTGAACGCGAAAAGACCATTCCCAGGCTCTTCCCATGACGAAATCTGTGGTCGCTTCGGAGACTGAGATGACGAAGACGACGGCGCGGAAGAAATTGCTCCAGTAAAACATGGGGGTGACGTGGCAGCTTCACGCACCTTCACAGCATGGCCGTGACCCGAAGTAGTAGGTACAGACGCTGAGGTAGCAGTAGCAGACGTGGTGATACTAATCGGATAAAGAAGGCTTGTGAAGGATTCAGCTTTTGAGTCTGGTGCTGCGGCGACCACAAAAGGAGCATCGCCAACAGAAGAAGCGTCCTCGGCCATCTGTTTGTCGATACCGTCATTGCGAAATACGGATGTTACGCGTCTGTGGGCGATTATTCTCTGGTGGAGCATCTTCACGCTTGGCCAAAACGACAGAACATGTCCCATTGTGTATAGAAATGCCAGCGCATGAAACTGCGTCTTCTGCTGTGAGCTCAGCCATGGCATGTTCTTTCCCGCCCATTCATACAAGGTCCAACACAAGTCTAGCCTTTTCTGCCCGAGCTCTGCATTCCATGAGTCGCCCGCAGCCCTCTGCTCGTCCTTGAGGTCCGCACGGTAGTCTTTGCAGAGCTCCCGTCGCATCTCTTCGCTGAAAGTCAAGGCGATCTGCTCTACCCTTTGTTCTACGACTTCCCTCGCCTCTGCATGACGGGCGGCAGCGCTCCTCATTTTCTGCTCGACTTCCTCTGCCACAACAAAATGCCGCTCCAGATGCTTGAGCATATTTCCCACAAACTGAATTTGACAGCATATTGCGCTCCAGTTTATTGTGGGCTTGTGGAGCCGAAAACATTCGAGCAATCCTTCCCCAACTGCTCCAGAACGACGCAGAACCTCCTCCATATCGACACAAGCAATCTCAGTCCCGAGCCCACTTATCTCGTCGCCGCTGGTGTCAATCTCTGCATGTACGTCCATCACTGTGCGCATCTTGTCATGAAAGCGCTCTTCCTGTTGGCGCTCTTTATCGGCATATGCGAACCAGTCGCCCCATGTGAAAAAAACCCGGTCGGCACAAATTCCGGCGCGGAAGAATCAACACTCTTGGTAAGCTGTAGCGGTAGTAGCAGCTTCTTCACATCATTGTGGATATGATGGAACCTTCCTCCAACGGAGTCGAGCACAGCACGAAAATCGAGGAGACCCTGAAGGATCCGGTACGCATAGGCATAGTGGAAGATCGAATAAGATCGTCCTTCGCGATCAGGGCACCATTCCGTCGTAGACCACGTACAGGAGTCATCACCCAGTTGCTTTTGCGTTTCGAACAATTCCTGTGATATCCGATTTATCTGTGCCAGTTTCTGTGTCAATAACGGGTAACAATGGGGATATCGATCTAACAACCTCCGTAAACAAGCCATCGATCCACCACGAAGAGCGACGTCCACGTCCCACAAAGCGCGCATCTCAGCAGGCGAATATTGGTATCGCGCCGCGACTACGTGATGGTATGCATCGCGGACCTGCTCAAGGGCAGCAGTGCTGCAGCATCCGAGAAATTCCAGCGGCGGGAAAACCGGTGGGGGAAGAGCAGCTTGCAAGTCTTTCCAGTCGGGACCGGATTGAGTCGGATCCATATTAGAGTGTTTGTATACATCATACACAACGTGTATTAAAGATACGAGTTCCGCCAAACCCGGAAGCCAATTGGCGTGCTTTGAGTTGCAGTTGGATGACATGCGGGACTCCATCGTTACCCACGGATCAGTTACGATGATGAAGTTGGCTTCCATCCGGCCCCGTCCTTGGTTGTCCACACGGTCTATGCGAATCTTCCCATGGGTCACGTGGCATCTTGTTCATGCACATGCTGCTACGACAATATACATTTACATGCACTTACAATACCCGAGTCGACAGGTCACGTTGACAACGAGAACGAAAAGAATCATAGTCATACCTTGAAAATGAAAGCATCTGTACGTAGTCTTGACAAGATACTAGCCTAAGGAATCGCTGCTAAAAAAGAAAAAAGGTTTACAATCCTTCTTTCCGTTAGACAGGCAAACTCTGCATCAAACCCGGGATCTTCTTCGCCGCCAATATTGACCATATTCCCATCGGTAAAGTAGCTGAAATAAATGACCTGTCGCAAAAGTTTTTGTGGTCTCGTGCTCTGAACAACGGCGCTGTCGTATGTAAATTCACCCTATGAGGGTAGGTCAAGACCTAATCACTGCGAGGCTAATCACTAAGATAATCAGGGGACTGATATTCGTGGTTCGTGTTTTAGTGTTGTCATGCTTGGCATAGAACGTCATCACTTTATTAGGTCCTTGATCGCTCTCGTCATTTCTTGTCCTCATCATGAGTTGCTAACTTTATGCCGAGTAGTGTCTTGGTGTGACCGATAGGTCCACAGTTTTGAAATTGAACTATCTCGAACTTCGTGATCAGCGGCGCGTACTTACGTGTTTACTGACATAGAAGAAGTAGTTCGAGAACAGAGATTGGCAGTACATCGGATATTTAGCGAGCCAGCGCTTTAGAACTGAGCACGGTGTCCGTCCCGACAAAGAAAAAACCTCATCTGTCATAGAGCAGGACACGCCAGCGTGATGCCGTGCGGCTTTTTTGTCTGTTAATCTCTTCATTCCAGGTATTCTGTATCTGTTTCGCAAATTCGTGAAAAATATGGGTCCACCACAAGGAGTCAGAGCAAGAATGAGTTCTAGGACGATCATGGATCTATATTCCCAATGAGTGAAGCGACACCTGTTGTGCCTTGTGTTACCAGTGTCTACTGATAATCTTGACCAATATCGTTTATTTAGCCTGGCGTCTTCTAAGCATTTATTTCCATCAAGCTGTATTCTCATCAAGTTCAAGAAAATCCTAAAATCATCTTCGTCGTGTAACTGCAACACGTGTCGAAAAAGGAATGGACAGTTACTCATGTCTTGTATCCAAAAATGATGCGCTCATCGTCATCCTCATCTACAACCTTCCTGTTGTCCATAACTAATTTTGCGCATACCCAGACTAGGCCTGACATCTTGCATAATTTTGCCCCGCGAGGTGCTAAATTGCGCAGTATCCTGTTGCCGTACAGCAGGTGCTTTTTTTACCTTATCGAGCCAGCTCGTCCCAAAATTTTTGCGCTGGGCGGTTTTAACAAAAGCAACAAGTCGGAGAATGCGTCAGAAAAAAAAAGCATTCGATTGTGAAAAATGAAAAGAACAAAATTGTAGCAACAGCGCGCTGCAGCTTTCTACATGATTGACATAAGTACGCAAAAGTCCTCGGAGCAAGCCCAGACAACGGAGTAAATCAAATGACTCCACTCGCTTTACTGCGCCGGCATCGATGCCTCTTCTTCGAACACTGGGTACACGCGGACCCCCGGTGTCGGGTCCGCCGTGGTGGTGGTCGGAACAGCTGCAGATGTGGAAGCGGTACTAGCTGTGGCAGCAGGCCACTCGACACTGCGGGCCTTGTGGAGCAAGTTCTTCACGCCCGTCTTGGCCTTGCCGTACAAATTAGTCAACGTGCTCTTCGGCGTGCAGGCGGAAATCGCAGTTTGCGCAGCCTCCGGGTAGTCCCGGAGCATGTTGTTGACCTGCTCGTAGCAGTTCATTTGGACCTTCGCCATGGAATAAGAGGGCGTACAGTACGAGGAGTTCTCGGAATTGGACATGCAGCTCTCGTACATCTTGTCCCGCGCGTATTCGTAGCCCTGGAGAGATTTTCATTAAAGTTATAAAGGGTTGGGGAAAAAATGTCAACATTTTTTGTGGTATCTGAGGCGGCAGGCATCGTGCGCACTACAAGGGGAATCGCTAAAGCTCGGATTTCCTTTTTACCCTTTTGCTGTGGATCGCAGATATCCAGCATTCAAATCACGACCCAACGGCACGAATCGAAGATGAAGATGATGTTGATGTCGAGTGTGAAACACACTGAAGATCCATGAAGATGATCAATCGATGAGTACTACCAATGTTCCATTTCCCGATGCTATGAGCATCGTCAGAGCTTTACAAGCCCTGTACAAGCTTCCACATGCGGAAGTCAATCCGCATGGTATGATACGGACTCATTCTGAATCTTTCCCTACAGGTTTGTAGTGTTACCCCAGTAACACGAAGGAAGAAAGGAACTACATGGACTATAGCACCCGCATTCACACAAGCACGATGTAGCCCTGACGTTGTTCCACCCTCGTTACACGTAGTAAGATCGTTACTCGGTTGGGTTTCGTGAGTGCTGACCTTTTCGGTCTTACATTTGCACACAAAGAATGATGTCAAAGCTCCTGCTGAAATGCAATCTGGCGCAACCTTCTTCGGTACTGTAATAGCTACCAATTTTTGCATCAACATCAACTCGACAACGAGCTCACGGAAAAGCTATTAAACAAACCTTCTGAAGCAAATCAGTGGGCTGACAAACTCCCTGGGCGTCCGTAGGCACGTTCTCCTGGCAGTATTGGTGCATTGTTTGCGGCACTCGCTCCGTAATAGTCTCCACGGGGTTGCAGAAGACCTGGAAGAAGTCAAGAAACAAGCGCAATTGCATAGTGCTCAACGTACTGAAAATTTCGTAGCTAATTGAGACGGGTCATGTAGGTCCTCAGCGTACATGCTGACAAGGGCGAAAGGAGCCTGGCATTAATTCATGACGCTGAGCGACGCAAAGAAAAAATCGTATTAGGACTACAAAATTACTCCGCCATAATTTCCTCCCAGCGTGTCGGCTGCGGACGTGGCCCCGAGCATGCACTGGTCGTGCGCACTTTGAGCAAATCGAGTGCAAATATGTCTGGGTCATCTGGATTCATGCATATATATTTTGTTTGACCCAGGATGCCTGTGCTGTATGCCCAAGCATCACAGATTTTCTGAGTGCTTCTCGAGGCTGATGCCTCTCCCGCATGCAAAATGACCTCTCCGCGTTGCAAAAAACGGACTACTCATACGCTTGCTGCTTAGGCAATACAGATTTTTCGTTTCAGATTCCAAGAGCAGCATCACAAGTTTCACTCCTTCCGACCCCGAGGACACATTTGCAATGCATAGAGCAGCGTCCTGGATTTCCTTCTGGAATTCCTCCTTGATCGCCTGGTAGCCGAGGAAGCACACGCAAGCCGTCTGTAAAATAGAAATTGAAATTTGTCTTGCGAGTCAAGCTATCAAAAGTAAAAATGTCTGGGTCTGGAAACATGTGATGCTGGGTGGCGTCTCATGATGAGGCTGCAGATGCTGGCTCAGCATGACAAGTTTCTGAGCTCCTAGGTGTTGCCTATTCTGCATGACAAACTGCGCTTCTGCATCACAGAAAAGCGGACCTCTTGGGTAACGTGCATGACAGATTTAAGAGTCATGCCAGACAAGCATGACAAACATGAAGTCTTCCAGACCCAGACATTTTTACAGTTGATACAAGCCGTCTACACATGTAATGCTGGAGCAATCAACGTATCATTGAATGCGCGAAAAAGTACACGCAGCAAGGCTGCAGAGCCAGAGGCACAGCCTCTCGATCAAGATTGTATCGCGCTAAGCTTTCCTAGCTGCGGCTGCTCCCACTCTGAGTAAGATAGTAATCAACTTTGACTTACATTGATTCGCCCAATACGACGCGCCAAGTTCCATCCCTTCCGCACCACCGCTTTCCCGCACCGCACGGGCTTCCTCACCAAGAAGGACGCCAGGGCGGCATCCTGCGCCAAAAAAGACAGGACAAGCAGCTTCTTCAACATGATGGTGGCTCGCTGGTTTTGTCTAGTTAGTCACGATGATGATGCCGAAAGGAGGTGGCTCGAAGAAAGACCAATGGGCGATGGAGATTTGCGTAGTAGAGACTATGACTAACGCTGTAGATCTGTCCTGTAAAGTATCAAGCAGATTGATTGAATGTATCAATCTGTTTCATGTCACATTCATAAAGAAAAAGCAAAACGTGGAACTACATCTCTATCCAACAATAAAGGGATCAAGGATCTGCCACGAAGTGCGCCGCACGAAAACTCGACGCACAAGGCATCAAAATACCCAACAAAGCAGGATCTTGCAGAAAGCGCGAACGTAAAGAATCCATGTTTGCACCAAGCTGGTACTTAGAGTACGTTTTGATGGATCTTAGCGTCCACAAGCCCGCCTCGAAAGGTTCCTGCAACCAGGGATCTTCTTTGGATCCAGAAAAGGTACGTGCTTCAGATGCAGAGAACACGAGCACCAACACATCGTTTTGCATCGGAGAGACCCTATCTACAGGGAAACTCACTGAGCGAGCACGAAAATCAAGTCGCCGCACTAGGTACCGTGAGAACCGCCTCTAGCCGTAAATCATTTCAATGGTTGCGGTTTCTACCTCTTCATAGGGAGGTATCAGCTCCCACAGATTTCTCGTGACTTTTTCGAGTGCATCTTTTAGGTTTGCCGAAGCGTCCCGTGGTGCTCCAAATCCTTGCTCTGCAACATCTTTGTTATTCTCCGCCATCTCATTTCCAGTCATCGCCGTTGAGCGACCACTTCCTGCTCCCATGTCCAACCATGCACACGCCTGCCCTCGTTTCTCCCACGCACCCTTGTAGCCGAAGTCGCTGGGGCCCAGCCAGGGAAGGAACGGCGGCACGAACTCCGGATAGTCATTTCTGTTCGTGACATGCAGATGCAGATACGGCACACTTGCCTTGACGCCCCACCATCCACTGTAATGGGTGTTGTGGACGCAGAAATAAAGCGGTTCCACCTTGTCGCTGACAATTTGGCGCTGCCTTCTCGCGTAGTCCGTCGCGTTCGTGTTGTTTCTGCTCGGAATCAGCTCGCTCTCGACGAATCTGTCCCAAATAGTTGGTTGCGCCGTTGGGCTTGTTCTGCCATTCGGGATATCTTTCAGGTAGAAATACGCAAATCCGGAGACCACCATGTCGTGCAGAACAGAGATTTTCCCGCAGTCCTGCTTCAACTCCTCCAGGGTCTCAAAGTACCCCGGTTTCGCCAGAATGCTCAAACTCGCGTTGCTGCTTTCCGTACTGAAAAGCGAAAACAGTTTCAACGGGTTGAAACTCGCTAGCGCTGCCCAGAGTGTCGCGAACAGTTTCTTCAGTAACGTTGTGAGTTTCCACTCCAGCGTCTTGCCGGCGGGGTTCCACATACTGATAATGCGATTGCCGGCTTGCAGGTAGCGCTGGAAGGCGGCGGGAATGGGCGGCGGAAATGACGGAGGAGTTAGTTCTCTAATATTCTCGTCGAAAACTCCTGCACGTTCGGCCGCTGCGTGAGAGGATGTTGCGTCTCCCGGTCTCACAGCACCTCCTGTCTTCCAAGTTTCCAGAAAGTCTTCCGGGTACACCAGTCCGACGTGCCTGGCGCATCGCTCCCGGTTCTCAACAGTTGGTATCGGACCCCAATCACCATACGAAGCGAAGCACTGTGCGCCTTTGTTGTAGTGGGAAAAATCGGCTGGCAGGTCGCGTTTGCAAACAGGTGCGTCAGTGCGGGTGTCTGCGGCATCAATTGAAGACGCGTAGTACAGCAGTAGGTGGAGCACCACCCACGGAGTCCGCGAGGAGAACGCTGCCTTCATCGGATCTCAGTTGGAGGTCAAAACGGTAAGGAGAGGCGTACTAGATGAAGATCGGTAGTGATTAGGCTAACCTACTTACTCGTGTCGAGCTCGTGAGTTGATCGCAGTGCTTTTTTGGATTACAATACAGTGACCGTGAAGCCATGCGCCAACTCTGAGATGCTCTCGCATGGGCATGCCGTAGATTTGTACAAGAACATTGAAATTCATCCAAGCGAAGGAGTTGAATTCACTGTTTTACAGCGTTCTTGGTGAGGAAGTTCAAAATGAGATTTTTTTTTTGATCATGGGTCACTTTTCACTTCACGGTAGTTTTTCTGTTCATCACCCCACTGCCCCAATGCGAACCTCTGCTGTTTGCCAGCAAAAGTCTACATTCCGTTTAGCATCTTCCTCAATTCCGAAATTGATCATCTGTCTCAAATTTTTTCGTTTTCGATGTGAAACTTGGCAATGTCCAGACAAAACGCACAGAGTGGCACTTTGTCATAGGTTCCCGTTTTTTCGTAGTCCATATTCAGAAGCACCTCGTCTTCGCAGCGAGACAGAAAATCCGCCCGAAGCTTTTCCACCCGAGTGTGCGTAATCCGCGTCGGCAAGTTCTCCTCGCTAAACTCGAGCTCGCACAGGCCGCACCGCAGTCGTCGGTTGCGCTTATTCGATTGCTGCATGGCGGCAGAATCGCCATCCAGGACGTCCTGCGGATCCGGAATGTGTGCCGTGGTCGCCGTCAGCTCCTTCCAAACAGCATCCACTGCTGGAAGCACCGGTGCGAGTTTCGCGTTCTTCGCGCGCTTCGACTCGTTGGCAGTCTCGGTTGACCTTGGTAAAATGAAGTTGTGAAAATAGCTTTTGCACTTCCATTTCGATACAAAGAAATCAAAAACTTATAACTGCAGAAACGCAACAATACACAACCAACCAAAGAACAGTGTATACTGCAAGGCGACGGCCGCCGCTCCGCCGAACTGTAGGTTCATCAGGTCGGTCGGAGAAATTTGATCTGCTGCGTCTTCGTCTCCCTCGTACTCTGGTGGCTTCGCTAAGAATTTCTTCGACTTAAACAATGCTTCCTTCATCCTCTCGTACCGGTGCTTCAGGCTGAGATATCGCTTCTGCGCAAAACTGAAATTTTTCCGCCTGGCTGCGGTGGCGCGCTTCTTCTTTGCCGTTATGGCGTTTAAGTTCTGCTGGTGCTGCGCCACTTCGTCGGACACGGATTGCTCGTGTGGACCACTTCCGGTCGTAGCTCCAGGACCTCCTGGCTCGGTGGTTGCCACCAGCATCAGGTTCGCATTTGTTGCGCGACTTGGGTCTTGGTCGGCGTTAATATCCTCTAGATGAGGAGCGTGTGCACCATTTCCCTCCTCCTCGACACTTTCTTGCTCGTCCTTTTTCGCACACTGTCTCTTCCGGTCTACTTTTTCGAGTCGCAGCTGCTCTGCCTCGGCTAAGCGGCTGCTGACCTCTTCCTCTTTTCTGCGAATGCGTTCCGCGAGCGTGCGTTCGCGCGCTGCAAGCATCTCCGCGCGCCGCTGCTGCACCTCGAGGATGTGGCGATGTGCTTTTGAAACCGCTTTTTCGTTGCTGTTTTCTCGATTTTTCCTTCCACCCCCGACTTCATTGTCTTCGCTACCGGCGTTTGGAACGCCGGTACTGTTCTTGTCAAGAAGCGCTGCTGCAGCAGTGGTGTTCACTCCCCCGAGAAAAGCGTCGACGCTGTCGTCATCATCGTCAAACTTCGTAATCTCGTACAGTTTACTCGTGTCGTAGTGGTTGCTTTCCTCCATACTTTGTTTCTTCGCGGCCTCAGCGGCCAGCGCCTGCTGCCGCAGCTGCTCTAGGCGCTGCTTTTTTTTCCTTTTCCGCAGCCGGCTCGCCTTTCGTCGCATCTGCTCCAACTGTTCAAGCCGCAGCTCCGATTTCTCCTGCTTGGCCTCCAACTTCCGGCGCCGCTCCGCCGAGGCCTCTCTGGTTCTCTGTTTCCACTCGGCCCGTTTGACCTCGAGAAACGCAGCCCGACACTCCGCTTCGTATCGCCGCTGCTGCTCCTCTTCCTCGGCCTGTCTGCGACGCTCTGCGATTGCGAGTTGATTCGAGCAGCCCGCCGAGGTCTTGGCTTTGGTGACGCACAGCGCGAACTCCTTTTCGTCGTACAGCGCGAGCGCCTTCTGCGAGTTGTTATTGCTTCCAGACGCTGGTGCACCTGCGTAGGGCACAATCGCGCTGCTTTCCTCGCGATCGGTAATTTGCAGCAGCGACGGAAGTAGAGACGAAGATGCCAACCCATCTTCGATTGCCAGGGCGCGTCTGTTTTTCTCGGTCGGGGAACTTCGGACCGACAGCGCGGGTGCGACGGGCACCAGATCGTGACAAGTCGCTTGCGTAGTACCTCGATTGGTGTTTCGTGCAAACCTTGCGGCCTCGTCAGACACAACAGCACGCACCGACCGCCCCGCCCCCCTCGTGCTGCTGCCACTGCGCACGTGTTTTGCAGCGAGCTGCAGCTTCCGCGCTTCGGCCGCTTTCTTGCGGTTCTCTTCTCGCCGTGCCTCTGCCTCTCGCTGTTTTTGCTCCGCCTGGTACTGCTCCCGCGCCAAGATGATTTCCCGCTCGAGCCGCGCGCGCTGGATCTTCTCCAGCCGACGGAAGCCAGGGAACATGATCCTTGCATAAGCACGTAACAAGTACTTTTAGTTTTCAAGGTCGTCGAGTCAGGTTCTTCCCTCACTTTCTCTGTCTCTCTCTGACGTTTTCGAGTCTCCTGCCTATTTGCCATTGCGTAAGAGCTACTTAGTTGACAGCTTCCTAGTTTTCGGGGCTCTTCAGCTCATATCCAAAGCATTGCACCCCCGCCTGCCGTGGTGGGGAGTCGAACAGCAGCGCTGTCTGATTTGTTTCATTCTGAGCTGCCAATTCGTTTTCACTTTTCTCCATTTCTCTTCTACAGATTCCACATTAGGCATCAAACTTAAAGGTTCATTCGGGAAAAAACAACATGATATAAGCTGCAACGTCTCAAGGTGAGATTTGGATAACCAAACCGCAGGAATGATCCAAAGGGCGTGATCATCTACTTACTAACTCACCCGAGGACAGCAGCACGAGCAGCTCGATCAAACAGCACCTTTCATCGCCCCCGCACTCCCCACTGCGCTTCCACTCATTTGCGGCACGCCACACGGCTTCGAGCCTGGGACTGCATCGCAGCCCGGTGCGTTGAGGTGGATGGGCTGCGCCTTCAGGTAGATGCAACTCGTCGTCAATGCGGGTGCGGAGATGGTCAATTTGGAAAAGGACGCGAGTCCAAGTGTTTTCGCGGTGTCCCCGAGGCACGTGTTGAAAGCGTCAATGCCGGTACAGGTCTCGTACGGACAGGCGCCAGTTTTGGTCACGCACCTGCACCCGTTGGGCGACACTTTTTCGGACAGCCCCTCGGCGAACCCACCAATGAAAGCCCTGTTGGGGTTTTGATACGGAGACGTGAGGAGAAGTTCCGACGTCAAAAGAACGCGTTCTAGAAAAAAGCAGGACTGCACTGTGTCATACAGGTACAGCATGGTAGCAGGGACCATCAAATTCAAACGCTTTTGTCAATAAGGACTCTGCGTTCTCTCCTACATACCGATATTCCGTGCACGAGACCCCGGCGTCCGGAAAGTCCTTCGTGGCCTTCTCTCCCAGCTGGGCACAAACGTCATCCGGCGAAGCCACCGCACTTCCCGCGGCAGATCCCGACCCCGCACCCGCGCCGCTGAGCGACTGTTCGTAGACAGCCAGCGCTTTGTCGTAGGAAATCGGCGGTGTCGGCCCTAATTCCGGAAAGGGTTCGGAGAAACTTCCCGGCGCACTAAAACTTCCCCAGCTGCCGACGCTACCCATACTGCCGATGCTGCCCATGCTCCCAACACTCCCCAGGCTGCCCAAGCTTCCGACACTGCCGACCGCGCTGCCGAAGCTGCCCATACTTCCGACACTGCCGGCACTGCCTGTAGAGCCAGCAGCTGCGGTGGAAGCTGCGGCTGCGGCCGCCGGCTCCTGCTTTTCCTGCCCACGAAAAGATTTCCCGCGTGCATTCTTCAAAAGCAGGAACGCATCGGTTGTTTGGACGTCGACGAGAAAAAGCCCAGACAGGCAAAACAAGCGAACGAAAACCCAGTTCTCGTGCCTCCGCCGCCGTGGAGGCGGGAAGGGGGCGCCGAAGCCCACGTCCATAATTTGTGATAATCTTGACTCGCAAGAAATTCAAACCGTTTGGACCAGTTTCCATCCAAGATGCTTCATGCCGCTCATCAAGCCACTCGCCTTTGTCTAGCTCACTCGTCTCGCTCCCGAGCAGTGGGTAGATCTACTTTCCCGCCCGTTCTCACTCGTGCTCGATTCGCTAAACCAGTCGGTCTACTCAGTAAAGCAACAGCAGAGACGAGGGCTTCCAGTGGAGAAAAACCATACACGGAAGCATGTGGAAGGAACACTTGTTATGAACAATCTATGTTTTCCCGGAGGAGATAGAACAGCCAGTGCGCTACTCTTGCTAGATTTCGTCGCTTTGAAAGAAGAAATTGTCGCTGCCAGTTGATGATTCGGTAGTTAACCTCAATCACAGAAGTGGGTTCTGCGCGATTCCAAGCAAAGTAAAAATTCGTCACAGTGAAAAATACTCTACCTAGTAAACACGGCAGAAGCTGCATCTGGAAACAGAACTCAACGAATGCATTCTGTCCTGCACGTATTTCCCTTCTCACTGCTGCGGCATCTGGATGCTCGGATTGGTCGCGCGCAAATTCGTTCTTTGCCGAAACTGGCGCACCGCGTCGTCGTCGGTTGCTTCCTTGCTCCGCTCGTTCTTCGGCACGTAATCCGCCTGGAACCGGTTTCCGTACACTTGTCCCACGAGCTTCTGCGTGTTCGGGTTCAGATTTGCCTGCCGCATGCGGGCCTCCCGATGCGCCTGGGCGGCCATTTTCTCGAGCACCTTCTTCTTCGCCTCCTCGGCGGCAATCATGTTCTGCACGCGTAACTCCGTCGAGACCTCCACTTCGGCCAGCCCCTGAGTCCAGTTCATGTTCTTCTCGCTGTCGTCGAGCTGCATGCCGCCCTGGATCTTCAAGTGCTCTGGAATCGCGAACAGTTGCGCCTCCGCGCTCTCCTTCGCATCCTCGGGCTTCTTCGCGGCATCGGCGTTCGGATCCGGAACCGCTTCCCCGCGTTCCTCCGCCAGTTTTGCGGCAATGAAGGCCTCCATGTGCTCTTGCTCGCGGGATTTCTGGTTCGCCCGCTCGTCCTTTGCGAACGCCAGTTCGACGTGCGCTTTTTTCGCTGCTTTTTCGTTTTCGTTCTCCTATCCTGAGTAAAAACGTCCCCACCCCATAGTTGTAATGCTAAAGGAATTGCAGCACACTTTGCCCCCCCCTCTGCCCCAGGCCGCAGATGGCTTGACACGCAGGGGGGGTAGGTCAGGCGGACACCGAAGTGCCATCACCATCATCTCCCGGCCACTTGTAATGCAGATTTGCGGTTACAGGAAGATTTGTAATGCGCATCCCCATGAGAAACATTGCCAATCGTGTTCTGGACTTTGTAATGCTGTAAACAGGATGAGTAGATGGATTTGTATTGCGGCTGTACTTGCTAAACTGCACTACAATACAAAGAGGACTTTGTCATGCTTGGCTCCCACAACTTCCCACTTTGTGATGCGAGATCCCCATTTTGACTCTGGGGTGGGGACGTTTTCACACTGGATATCTCCTCCTCCGACTTCTTCTCCTCCATTTCGTCGTGCTTTCTTTTCGAGGTCCCGTCGGCGCGGACGCCCACGCGAAGCCTTCGGGCCTTCTGGATCTCCTTCATGTCGACCACGTCTGCTGTGCCCTCCGCATTGTAGTTCCCGTCCTCGTCGCTGCCCGCCTTCGCGTCCTCCGCTGCAGGCTTCGCGAGAACGTCCTCCGGGTCACTCTCCACACCCTGCCGCTTGCCCGTGTCGACTCGCCGCTTCTTGCGAAACATGGTGAAAGGTTAGGTTTTTCTGGTGGTAGTGGTAATACAAAGTAGTAGTAGGAGAGGAGAATGGAAAAAATTCGACTTTACAACGTCTGTGCCCGGCTCGTCGAGGGCAGGAAAATATGTTGAGACGAAGACGTGATGTTGCTAAAATTGCTGATGCTACTTTGACCTGTCAACAAATCTCCTTCGCTCAAATTCTGTTGTGGAACGCTGTGTGGTGATATTATCGGAGAAATTTTGTTTTCGTAGTTCTGCTCGTGAGGTTTCTTCGCAATAAATCCGGTGGAGATCTGGCTACTGTCTACAACGAATCCGAGGGCGTAGTGTCCTGCCGATTCCACAAGTCGATTGCGAAGCTTTTTCGATCGAAGTTTCGGTGCTGTCCTCGGGCGATCGATAATTTTGGGGTGGGGTAAAGTGGTAGGAGTGGGTGCGAGCATTTTTGATCGAAATATTTTCTGCGGTCGGCAAAAACGTGGGCGGAAAAATTTTGCTTGAACAGGGGTGTGTGGAAGATGAAGCATATGGGTGTAGTATATATAAAAGAAGTGGGATCTGTCGATTTTGAAGCTTAGAAAAATCTCGATTCTGACCGAAACGAAAGGAAGAGTCGGAGACAAGTACTTTCGCTTTAATACAGCATCAGAACAGTTTCCTTCCCTCACATCGTACCGATTTTTTCTGCCTGTCGTGGCAACAGATTCGATTTTGAAATCGTTGGCGTGACTTTCTTTTTTTTGAGACATCCTGCAATTTCAATAAGAAACCGACTACTAGGAAGGAAATTTACTAATTTGGCCAAGTGCTAGTAATAGTACCGGTGAAGTTTCTCCGCCACGCAAGAAAATTTTCTAAAATCACCCCGCACAAGCTCTAAAAACTGCGTGCTGCGTCCTTGAGAGCTTAAGCAAAGATCACTGTTAATGATTCGAAGCCGTGATAAAATCGGAAACTACGAACTGCATCACCCAAGCATCAACATACGGCAAGAACCAGCGAGGCAAAACTTCCCGAAACTTCTGCAGCCATCCTTTTTCAAAAAGTGAAAAGAAAAAACGGATAGGAATGATGCCCCCCTCCCGGTATTGGCACAGCACAATTCACAACTGATTCCCTCTCCTGTCGCCCCAGTGAATTGCAACGGGATCCTGGTTACTTACGAGGACAGCACCAAGATCATCAAGCTAGTGTCAGGTAGCACAATCTTTGACCAGTGGCATCCCTTGCTCTTGCTCTTCCCCGGTAGAATTCTTCTGCGCGTCTTCCCCAGCCACGTTTCGCTTCGCCTCCTGGTACAAACTGGAGAACTTCCCGACAATGTCCATGTGGATCGCCGTGGAGACCGCGAGAAGAACCGTGCCCAAAGTGGTGTAGTATTGGATCAGCTTGCTGGTCAGAAGCGGGTTGAAGCTGATATCGAGCACCATCTCAATCGTCTGATCCACCTGCCCCGCCATCTTGTATGACTGCATGCAGATCTGTAGAGTAGGACATACCCCATGGAAGGAGACCTCATGAGTTTCTGAAGTTTGAGTTTGTTGCTGTTCCCGGAAACAATCGTACATCCAAAATGAACTTTTTCTTTTCTATCAGGCACGAGGAAAACATGTTCAAATTCTTCTATTACCGCAAAACACATGTTGCGCATGGGTCCGATGACGAGACAGACCGTGGCGAGGGCCATCAGCACTGCGGCAGTCCTATCCTTCGGATTGTACACGTACTGCGTCAAATTTGTCAGCAAGGCCAGCATCAGTGCCGCTTGGAACACGTAGCTTGCCTCTAGTGATTCCTTGGAGACCGCGAACCCCAAGAGCGATCCCGCGAGCGCGGGCCAACATCAGTGTGCGACGCACATCGGAAACGCGAGCAGGGCCGTCCCGGCCGGGCCGAGGGTGCCGAACCAACCGCTATTTTTCTGTGGGGTCTGGTCTGGCATGGTGCCGGTGGCATCTTCAACGGCCGCTTTTTCCAGGTCTCGGCCGCTCGCCGAGGAGGAGGAACTCTGATCCCTGCCTAATTCTTGTGCAGTCGACCTGGTGGAGCTGCTACAGGAGGCAGGCTGCAGCTGTCCGTCACTTACTCCTAACGCTGCGGCAGTGCGGCCGGCCGCCTCGCCCCGCTGAGAAACCATGCCGGTCTGAATCGAAAACGTTGCAGCTACATCTTGTGAAAGTAGTTGTCTACAGGCATTTGTGGACTCACTGAAGATCGCCTCGCATGACAAAACTGCAGGGTTCAGCGAATTTCCACCTCTTCAGTGACGCCCCGCTTCAACAACTCTCAGTCGTCGCTTTGCATACATTTACCCAACATGGAACGTGTCCCTCAAAGTTTGTAGTTTCTACGTTGGCGCTCTACGTACTACACTCTCCCCCACTGCACTGCAAAACCACAAAACAGAATATTACGAAGCAAACAGAATGGCACCCGACGCGAACACGAACACGATTCTCGACCACTGGAGACCTGAGGTTCAACAAAATGAAAAGTGGCCCAGTCGCCGCTTTCGTGTCGAAAGCATTTACTTTTTACTTATCTTGTCGCCGAAGATCTGTATCAAGAATCCAATGCGTGTACTACAGAATGTGTCGCTAGTGTCAACATATGTTCCCAAGACAAATGTAGTAGACATCTTTGGTCTTTGTCGCATGAATGTGGTCGTGGTGGTTGTGAGCAGCAAAGCTATGTTGCGGAAAAACCTAGTACGCAATCCCGATTTTCCCCCGGAGTTCCTCCACCCCGGACGTTCTTCGGTTGCCGCCCTCCAGCGCCGATTTGCGCTCCTCTTTGCGCTCTGCTTTGCGCTTCTTCCACTTCTCCCACTGCTCTTCGCAATTATTGAAAATTCCGTCCAATGGCGTTTTGCACTCCGGACATTTTTTTGACTTCGCCCAGTTCTTCATGGCGCAACTCTCGCAGAAGTAGTGCTTGCAATTCGTCACTATCGGCGGACTTTTGTTGTCTGCCCACCTCTTTTTGCAGGTCGCGCAAATTTCTGGCATCTTCAGCTTGGCGTCTGTTTAAGTGGTTCAGCATTCATTTGTTCACTAAAAACTTCATTTTTGCACGAAAGGAGAAGATCAAGATGCAAGAACCAGGAGGACATTCATCATTCAACATAGCAGTAGAAAATATCGCATCAAGATCTTCAAAGTACAACAACTGTGCACCAATCTAATATCTTTACCTTCTGCCGTGAGATTTTTCTCATCATCCGAGTCGTCTTCGCTGGTGCTGATATCCTCTCCCGCGTCGACTCGTCGGCAGCGCTCCATGCGTTTTTGCAGTTTTTCCTGCTTCTTCTTCTGCTCCTCCTCCCACTGCTTGTCTAACTTCCAGCCGCCGGTGTGCTCTATTCTGGTGTGCATGAAGATGCAGGCGTCTCCGTACCCACAGAACCCGGTCTGCATGTACTCCTTGCACACACCACCGTCGCCACTCATACCCCAGTAGTCGAACCGGGTGATGCTCCGCGCGGTGGTGCTTGCTCGCACGGGGCCCATGTTATCCTGAGTAAAAACGTCCCCGCACCAGAGTTAAGATGTTGGGAAATCCGCTAGACAAATCCATAAGCTTTGGCTGTTTCGCATGACAAATTTGGACGCGTAGTGTAGTGCTGTTTGAGCTAGTTCAGCAGCATTACAGATCTAGTATCTCATGCTGATTGGACCATGACAAATTTCCAAACCGCATTAGAAAATGCTTCTCATGGGGCTCCGCATGAGAAACATTTTAAACATGCAGAGCTGCATGACAACTATGGTGTGGGGACGTTTTTACACAGAATACATGTTCCCGGTGATTTTGTTTTTCGACAGTGCCCCCTCGCTCTTCCCGATGTACTCCTTGCGCGCGTTCTGCCCGCGGTAGATGCCCGCGTCGAGGTTGCCCTCGTCTAGTGCGGACTTGATTTTCATGTTGCGCTCGTGAATGGACCGCTGATCCTGGTTGATGTCGGTGTCAATCTTGATATTCCTCGTAGCAAAGTCCTTCCCCGTGAGCTGCTGGCTGATCCCGAACTCGCTGGTCACGGAGTAGATATCTCCCGCCGCCTCCACCAGCGCACTGCCGGCGTCGCCCTGCTTCCATTTGGTGCTGCTTGCACTGCCGCCGAACTGGTTCTGCTTCACTGCGTTACTCGATTCTGGGTTTTTCAAGTTTCCCGTCGCGCGGCCCAGTGCCTGTCTTTTCGCCGCGTGCACGATCACGGTCTCGTCGCTGTCTGGTTTGTTGATGTTGTTGTTGGTACCCGCTTCTTCAGGCGCCGCAGCGGCGGCGTCCTGCTCTTGTTTCGCGGGCCCGGTCGGCCCCTTACGCTTCTTGAACATGAGCTTTACTACTATACTTCTTTCAGGAACTGATAGAGCAACGAGCAGGATGGCCAGATGAAGTGTGTGTGTGGGTGGGGGTAATGGTCTGTAGTTGTACCGTCAGTACAATATACTTTTTCTTCAGAAACAAAAACTGAGTCGAGTAGCCAAGTTGTATGTTAGAATCAAGGAGACCTGTGAATTTTGATTGCCATTACAACAAGATATTAGTCTGTCTTCGAAAGTCAAAGTGCCACGATCCGTTATTGAGTTTACGATCGATTTCGTCCAGGCCCAGTAAATTTGCGTTCGCCAAGACGACCTCTTCCATTTTCGAGTACAGCAACATTTAAAGCTCGGATCTCATCTGTATCTCCTCACGATCAGACTTCATCACGATTTGCCACGCATTTGATCTTCGTTGAAAACTCGTGTCTTTTAAAAATCCCGGTGTTTGTTCTCACTTCAGAAACAAAACAAATCAGATCGTTGCTCGAACAGCCTTGGAACAATCAGGTGCCTTGTTTCGGTCTTAAATAGACAGTCAGAGTGTGTTTCCATCGCGAAAAAAAATGAGGTAGTACTCGTGTGACTTTATTCTATGTTCACCTCAACATGTTTGTATGAAAAAGTCGCCAACGAGTTCTCTATTTGTGTTCGTTTCTGCAGCCAGCAGAAGGCACATCAGGATCGTGCCCGTGCCACTTTCATGCTTGTTATTTCATCATGAGGCGTATGCTATGTCAACATCTTCCGATCTGCTATGTATGTTGTGCAACGGAACCACTCATCCCGACATCCTTGCAAAAGTCCGAACAACTACAGGAGCACTATTAACTGTCGCTGACGACACCGACCGCCTCTTCGGCCTCGTTTGCTTCGCGGGCTACGGGCTGCAGGGTTTTCACCGAGCAGAGTAGCTCGGCGCTGACGTCCAGCACCCCCGCGGCGTTGTCGTACTCCCCGAAATAGTTGGGGGCCGAGAAAATCGTGATCAACGAGCGTCCGGCGAAGAATTCGTACCCGTCCTGCACCACCTGGTGGGCCCGGCACACGAGATCCAGGTCGTGCTTCTGCACGAAGTTTATCGCACGAAAAAAGTGTTACAGTTACACATTTGTTGTCAATTCAGCAACACAAATTTCTCTGCATGAGAGAGAAAACTTGCAATGCAGAAATCCCACGGGAAAATACCTGCGAAAGGAGGCTCCTACGCATATCCGGCATGACAGTGCTTGTCTGTCTTGCTTGGCCTGCAACCCAATGTGTAACTGTAACACTTTTTTCTCAGGATAAAGTTCCGCACGATGTCACTGCCGAACGCGTAGCTGATCCCGCGGTCACTCGGACGGATATTACAGTGGAAAATGCCCCCACCCCAAAAGTCGCAAAAACTTGTGATGCGAAGTTTCCAAATGAAAACTTTTTGTCATGCATGAAAGAAATATGAATCTTTCTGATGCAGAGTCTAGGCGTGTATCGCATCGCTTGCATGACAAGCGCCACTCTTGCTGAGTTCTTTTGCAATACAAATTTTTGCTATTCACGATTGGAACTCTGTGATGCTGATAGATGCAAGAGGGCGAATGTTTCATTTGGAAGTTTTTGCAATACAAATGCTCCCAAGTTCGGGGGTGGGGGCATTTTTCACTTTGATAACGAAACCCCGAGGTTCGCGCATCGGGGTCCGCCCACAACAGGTCGGCCAGCAGGCCGCTGTCCGAACACTCACACGGACGCTGCAACTCGCGGATCGGGTCCAGCGACTCCATGATCGTAGGGGAGATACCTCCGTGCATGCACAGAATTCGCTTGCCCACCAGAGCCGCGGGGGGCATACAGTTAAATACGTCCACGAAGCGCCGCCAGAGCTTCACGCCGGACCTGTGGAGCGGTTTTATCTTATATTTTGCTAGTTTCTGGTTGATCTGTACGTTCCCTTCTGAAGAAAGAAGATGGTAGTTTCGCACAATGACAATCCGCAGACTTTTATATATCATAATATCGCGGCCATTGCGTGACGCATCTGCAAGTGCTGGCCAGCAGCTGCAGCAACAAATATATATGGGCACACTAAAACAAACGAGCTATACCGTCGCTTGACTTCGTCGAAGAAGCCGTAACATCTGGATGTGGCCGCGGTTTCGTGGTTGCCGCGCAGGAGAAACATGTTGTAGGGGTACTGGACCTTGTAGCAGAACAAGGTCTATCAAATGCAAAAATGTCTGGGTCTGGAAGAATGTAACTTGTGATGCTGCGTTTGGAATCCCAAAAAATCTGTATTGCACGAGCAGCAAAGGGAAGGCAACATTTGCTTCGCGGAGAGGGTATTTGTCATGCGCAATAGGCATTAAGAAGGCCTCAAAAAATCTGTGATGCTAGGGCAGGCATCACAGACATCATGGCTCCTGCAAAATGTGCACGACAAACTCCCCAAGTCTTCCAGACCCAGACATATTTGCAATGCATAAGGTCGCGACCACGTCCAGGGAGTTTTTCCCCCGATCCACGTAGTCTCCGAGGAAGAGAAAGTTTTTCGTGCCGGGGTACCCGACCAGCTCGAAGAGCCTCAACAAATCGTGAAACTGCCCATGCGTGTCGCCCATGATGGTGACCGGCGCGGCGAGCTCGAGTAAGGACGGTTGGGACAGGAAGAGCGCGCGCACGAGGTGGAGCATCCACTCCATGTCCTGCTCCAGAAACGGTAACCATGTTCCCGCGACTTGCGACTGCAGGGCGAGAAACGACTGCAGTAACCTTTCGACACTGGGTCGCACCGGTGCGTGGCGCGTCGACGAATCCGTCGCAGTCGCGGTGTTGGTTCTCTCTTTACAAATGGAAAGCCCCGGCGCGCGACGCGCATCGTTCCTCATGCACAGAACTGAGCTGTGCAGCTGAGACAGCTGACACTACTTCACTTGCTGAGCGCCCCATACAGCAAGAAAAGTAGTGATACAGAAGTACCAAAATGTTTGTAGTGTCTACGTATCAAATCATCTCTTGTTGTGCTGACCACACTAGCAAACTTAGGAAGATGGACGGAAGTATCATCTTCGGTACTGGATACATGGTAGCCAGGCAAAAATGGCCGTAGGTAACTACGACTACCGTGGTAGCGCGAATGGAGTCGGAGGCACAAAGTAGTTGTCGTGAAAATAAAATGGAAACAAACTTATGCCGACGGCATCAAAGTGCGGCTTTCATGTGAAAACATGTTTTTTCGTAGTAATAACTACGACGCTAGCTACCCTAGACCTACACACAAGCGACCTGCCTCTGAAAATTTAGTTTGAAGAAAATTGGTTAGCGCGTAGATAGCTGCATAAATCTAAATCCTATTTGCGCGTAGATTTCTTGTACATTTCTCGATATTCTTACTTCCTCATATTTTTGGATCTTCCCCGGGTCTTTGAAATATCTCAGTACTAGATGTTGTGTTCTACCTGTAGTTGTAAATCGAATTCTCGCCACTACTAGGGTGACTTCGCTATTTTTTTTTGGTACTACTGCAGCGATGCTCATACAACGCCAGCACTAGCTTTACGACATGACAAACGCAAAGAGAGCGCACGTGCCGGGGAACTTTGTATCTGCATAATGCTTCCGGAATTGGAGTCCAGGGCGATGAGAATGCGTTTTCCTCTGCCGGGGGACGCGTAGGAATCTTCGCTGTCGACATGTGAGGGCTCGGCCGGTAGCTGTCGTGGCGTCGGGTGCGGCGTTTCCTTATTCTCGGCCGTCCTTTTCGGCGACGTCAGCGTACTATCAGTACTCGGCTGCGCGACACTCTGCCTCCGAGGCGACCCTCGGGGCGATGTCTGCGGGCTCTTCGGTTTGGCCCCTTCGGGGGAGTTTTTTTCCGCCGGCATCGAGACAACCCTGCAGCTTGGTGGCTTTGTAGCGTTGTTGGAGAAAGCCTTCCAGAAGATAAGTACTCACCGCCTTCCGATTGGGCTGACACTGGTAATGCGTGCAGTTTCTCTCCGCACCATGCTCCCGTGTCTTAAGCTTGTTCCAAGCCGCCGTTGCCAAAGTGTAACAAAAGGAGGTCTGACAGGCTAACTTATTTTCGTCGTCTTATTGTAAGCACATAATTATGAATCACGTTCACGACCAAAGAAACAGCATTGAGGATATCAGAATCTGGGTAGTGCTGGTTGTGTGTTGAAGCTGTCAACTGCAAACTGGCATATTGTAGAAAAAGCAAGAATGAAGAGCAGTATCTTATTTCCCAGTTCCAAACGAGTCGGTGCTCCAAGTGGGCCAAGAAATCTTTGGAGGACGATGGTCTATATACCGCCGTGTACGTCGCGGTCTTCAGTGCACGTTGCAGAATTAGGACGCATACGGCGAATAAAGCTGCACGAAACCGAGCAATCTTTACAATCATCAGAATTACCGATGCAAGTAGGGAGTACTCACCAGTGTTGGTACCAAAAATCGCGCACGAACGAGTCTGACGAGGCAACGACCGATGCTTTTTCGTGATGAAACAGCTGAGCTACTGGCTACCGCTAGAAGGTAGAGACTGACCGATAAGAAAGAATAAGTTGAAGTACCAATTTCTGACCGAGCTTCAGCACTATCAACATAAGTAAATGAGGCCATTTCGTCCACACCGATTCTGAGGTTCTGCTGCAAGAAAACATACAGTAAAATTCGGAAACACAAACAGGCACAAGTGCACTTCTGCCATGCACTGTCCGTCTTCACTGTATTAACCGCGAAGCTATCACGGCAACTGAGCTAACGTGAAAATTCTATCACTTGAGTATGCGTATGCGTGTGTTCAAGCTTTAGCTTGTGAAAAAAATGCAGAAAAAAACATCGAAATTCAGGTATCTATGTATAGCGCGCTGGTCCTTCGTGTGTGAAAAAGAGCTGCACACTGGACAACAGCAAAAGGTTTAAGTATTGCTGCTCGCCTTCTTACCCTACACGCGAACGTTTGTTTGGTACCGAGGACGAGCGGGCCGCCGCGCGGGTGAAGCTTGCTCCGGGCGCGTTGGCGCTATTGGGAATTTCGCCCGTGGCCTCCGACCCCACACCGGGCAGGTCGCAAATCAGCCGCCGCTGAATCTCTTCGTCCCGGCTCTCCTTGGCAATTTGCACCGCCGCCTCGTTGGCCCACGCCCGGTAGCCCTGCCTGTCCGCCGCCCCGCGATGCCTTGTGTCCGCCAGCGCCTTGGTGTACTTGTCAGTCGTGTCATTGCACAGCGAGGGAAAAATCTGCGCGTGCGTTTTGGAAATCAACTCCAGCCCCACCAGGTCCGCCTGGGCGAAGGGGCCTACCTGGTTGTAGCGGCGCCCGAAACCGTAGGTGACCGTATCGTCCACGTCTCCCGCCGAGCAAACGCCGTCGTGCACCAGCGCGATGCACTCCCGGAGCAGGCACGCCTGCAACCGGGCGTGCACGAAGCCGGCCACCTCCTTCTTCATCAAAATCGGCTTTTTTCCACACCTCTCGAGCAGCTTTTTCACGACGTGTATCCTAGTAGTTGCCGCCGTTGTTGTTCCACCCAGCAGCCGGTCCGAGTACAACTCGACGACCGGCATGTAGAGCGCTGGGCCGACGAAGTGCGCGATGGTGAGGTCCAGTTTCTCGTATGCTTTTCCCAGCTTCGCCCGCAGATCCTTCAATAAAAGCGAACTGGTGTTGGAACAAACGGGCACTTTTCCCTCCTTCACCGCGGGGAGCGCGTCCGCCAGCTGCCTGTACACATGGCACTTTACCTCGATGTCTTCAAAAACCGCCTCGAAAATGACGTCGAACGACTCGGTAGTCGCGCTGTTGTAGTTGTTCCCAGCACCTCGCGAGGACTTCTTCGGTTTCTGCTTACTGCTCGTGCCCGTCTGCTGCTGCGCGGTCGTTAATGTTTTGGCCTGCAAGTAGTCCCCGGGCAGGCAGTGCACGCCTTCCATCAGCATGTCCACGGCGGGGTGCGCCCCCCGACTGGGGTCCTTAGTGGGACTGTTGAACAGCGAGGCGAGATCCTCCTCCAGGTGGTTCATGTTGGTTTTGGAAACGAAATCTTCCACCGTCTCCCGCATGTTGGTATTCACCATGTGATCCAGGAATTCCAGCCCGCGGGCGTCAAACAAGTGCACCTCGTGCCCATACACCAGCAGACTGTTTGCAATGCCCTGTCCCATGAACCCGCAGCCCACGACCAAGATCCGCTTCTGGTCCGGGTTCCAGTGGAGAGAACCTTTCGGCTCCATTTTTTGTAGTCGTGCTTTTGAGGGCAACTACAACTTGCTCTTCTAGAACCTTGTGTATTGCAAACACGCCTCAGCGGGCGTGTCTACTTGTCGACTCGTACACGACATTGACTTGCTCCAGCACTCTCCCGCATAGCACCTCAGAACGCGAAATGGCATGATTCACGAAAAAAAGTACTAGCTACGATGCGCCGCTCTTTTGACATTTTGAGACCTCCGTTCTCCCCCGAGAGAAAAGAAAATTTCACCGCTCCATCGGATATTGCAACTGAGACTGTCGCACGTATCTCTACCCCCTACAGATGACGCGCGCCCGTGCGACAGAACCAAGTTTTCACGTGATGGTCCTGAGACGCAGATTTGACGTCCTTTCGATCGTAGCAATTTGCCCCGATTCGGGGAGATTACTCTTGCACACACTCACAAATATAACGGCTTTGGTTTTGTTCTTGCTCTTGCGAAAAATTTGGCTTGATTGCTATCTTTGTGGATTCTTGTTTTTCTTAAGTATGCCTGCCTCCTCGAGAACCACTGACAAGGCGTCACGGACGAGCGCGGCATTGGGCGGCGGTCTCGCGATGGCCTTAAACTCGTTAAAGTCATTTCTTTTCGTCTTTGAAATCGCTTCTTTAGCATCAGAAAAAGCGTTCAAGACGCCCTTTATATCAGCCTCAACATCGTCCGATTTTTCCGCTTCTGTGCATCGCTCCTGCAGGGTCTCCAGCACTTTTTCCAGCGCGGGTGCCGGATCCTCATTCGTAAAACCGCCCCGCTCTTTTTTACTCAGCAGCAACAACAGGTACACCGCGTGCAGCCACAACGCGATCGCCGGGAAGGCGCCGGGCGAAAACCCTTCCAGGCGCTTGAAAAACTCGCTACTTCGCTCGGTCGATATTGCAAGTGGGGTACCTCCTGGCGATCTAGCCACGTCTGTGTTTATTCCTTCCCGTTCTTCACCCTTGTTGTTGTTCTCTTCGTCCAGTACAAAAAAGGGTTGCAGCCGCTCCAGACATGGGTCTGGGTTCGAAAGCCACACGCCGGGAACTTCCTGCACTTGTTGGTAAAAGCGCGGGAATTCTACCACTGGAATAGTTTCCGCGGCGCCGCCACAAAAACCTTCAGGCTCGTCGTCAGTCATCTTGATGCTCTATCTATTTGCATACCTCGCTTTCGCTTTGCTGAGATTCAGCATACAGATCCCAAAACGTTGCATACATTATTAATCCATCGCGATGGCAAAGCTCGCCGGTTTGCTTGAAGATCCTCACGCCCATTTCGAAATACGCCACACTGCGAAACTCCAGACACTGCGGAACCGCATTTCGAAATACGCAGCACTCTCCGCTGCATATTCATACTTCATTCGTACACGGAAGATTATTTGCACTTCACTGCATGAAAACCTCATACTGTACAAGCGTTTTTGTATGTGTACAAAGGGTGTTCCCTTGCCTGCTCATCTGCCCCGACTTTGCAAAAAGTAGTGTATGACTCATTTCCCCGGTGATCAAAATCTCAATGTTGTTTTACTTGTATCTATGTGTACTTTCACAAAAAAAAAAACAGAACCGTCATGAATGTTTTGCAGCAAAAGAGAAGAAACAAAAACGAATGCTCGAACTTTACAAAAAAACGCATGTGAAAAATCTTCGAAACTGCTAAAAAATGGAAACCAACTAGCTAAATTCTAATTTTTTTCGTATTACAACCATCAAACGCGCTAAGGCTAACACAAACTCCCATCGCCAACCAAATACTTATATTGCTGTCGACCTCACGAAGTAATAGATTCCTTGGCTGAGTCTAGCTGTCCCAGAATAAAGTTCCGAATACTTCCTACGTCTCCGGACGGAAGATGTTGTGCCGCATGACGACCGGTTGCGCCGCTAGACGAGGGTCGGGCACCCAGGCACCGCGCGAGTCGATCAATTTGATAGCCCGCTCTGAGAGCACGGGAAACGCCCGCATGCCCCGAGAGATGTCCGGTGGGGAAAGGGAGCGAACGATGGCGCGCTCGGTCGTGTGGAGTGTGGGCGGCTTTTGCGAAAGGGTGGATTTGTTCGCGACCAAAGTACTGCTTGGTGACACCGGACTGGGTGCAAGTGCTGCAGTTGGAGGTCCGGACTTCGTTCCGGCGCCAGTGGGTTTCAACATCCGGGAAGAAAGGGTCCTTGGCGATGCTGCAAGGACGCCAGCAGTTGTGGTTTGCGTTTTCACAGCGAGAGGCGCGCGCGTGGGAGAAGACGAGGACGAGGAAGACGAAGACTTCAATGGTTTTGCATGACAACTTCCGTCAGGACGGTTCTTTTCGGGAGCGACGGAGTTGTGTACGCTGGTTGTGTCCTCCACAATGATGCTCGGAGCAGAAGGAAGATCCACTTGCAGCATTGTCGCTGTAATCTTCGAGGATGCAGGTAGCGTGTTCGCTTTTTGTTTTTCAACTTTCATCTCGGTCAAGCTCTTTGGTGATGCAACTTTAGTTGATGGAAGCGGAAGGATGACTCGCGGCCCAGCCTGTTTGAAAACGCCAGACTTTGTCGCCTCCAGCAGTCGCGGAGACAGGACCGGCTGACAAACTTCCAGTGGCGACTTCGATTTGCCTTGACTTTCTTCTCCACTTTTGTTGCTTTCATTCGCCTTTTCCGTTTTACACAGCTGCTGCTCGTCACCAGAGGGTGTTGCTTTAACTTCTACCACTTTGCTGCTGCCACGGGCTTTTTTGCTTTTCTCATCCTTTACGGGTGACGTTTTCGCCGGTCGCATCATGTTGATCTGTGTACTCTGATCAGACTGCGGCCCTTTGGCTTTTTCCTGCTGCAAACAACTTTTTGCCTCGGCGCTACTTTTTTTCGGTTCGTTCTTCTTTAGTTCCGGATCCTTTTTTATCCACTTCCGAGTGGATCCCGTGGGATGATGCTGCTGTGGTTTTTTTTCTCCTGCTTTCGTTGTGTGGTATTCGGCGTTTTTATCCCGCTTCTTTTTCCTAGCTTTGTCGTCTTTTGCAGCACGTCGCGCGTTTGCTTCTTCACGCGCCAACGCGACATGGTTCGTTTTCGCCTTGCTCTTTTCTTCACTCGCGGTGGCAGCAGTCAACGCCGTTTCCATTCGAGTAGTGTCGCTTAGCGCAGCGGAGACACGACCCGCTTGCGGCGATTCGCTTTTATCTTCCAGTGAACCGCCGCAGCTAATGACGCCTCCTGTACTTCTTGACTGTCGTTCGACTTCTTTCACGGAAACAAGTAATTCGCCTGTGTTTTCTTCTACGACCGGCGTGGCTTTCGAAGAATGTGTTTCGTAGTTCACGACATCCGATTCCTCAGCCGAAGCTGATAATTGTACTTGCTGGTCGTCGGTTGTCCGGAAGTACTCATCCAGCAAATCCACTACGTCCCCGCGGGTCGAGAGGATTTCCGAATTTATTGAACTAGTATTACAATTATTGTTCTTCCACGGTTTATTACTTCCCCCCTTTTCAGACGACTGCTGCAGCTCTAGTTGATGAACACTAGTGAGTAGTACAGCACTGTCCTCTCCGCCATGTCGGCTTTTCTCCGCACAAGGAGCGGCTGCTGCTGCACCAGCGAGAGAATGCGTCGTGTCCTCGGACGTGGAGATCTGAAACGTCACGGACACGTCCTCTAGATTGATCTGCTGGTGTTGATGACCCAGGGTCGGATGCTCCTCCTCCTGCAGCTGCCGCATTGTATCAACACAACTCTCTTGTTGTTCAAACAGACGCGCAACGCGAGCCTCTGCTTCTTCTTCTTTCGGCGTGCGGGGTAGAAGTTCTTCCACCAGCACGTAGTTGTTTTCGACGGATTTAATATTTCGCTCATCGCACTGAAACGTGTCCTGGCCAGGTTGTCCGTCGTTCTTGCTGATGTGATCCTCGTTCTTCTCCTGATCTCTAGTATCAGTGATGTTGTTCATGCTGGTGCCAGCAATTTCCGCCAGTGTTTTCGTACCCGTGTCCTCCAACCTCGCACCCTTCTTTCGCAATCTTTTCTTCCCGTCTCGCACGACCCGCCCTCGGGGAGAGCAGGATGACCGCTTTGGTGGACTCGTGGACTTGTTGTCACCGCGTCGGCGTGGACTTGGTGTTTCCGCATCATTTCTAATTTTCTCTACTGCAGCTCCCGAAGATTTGTTCCGCAAGATGACCTTTGCGAAGCTCTTCTGGCTCGCTACCAGGACTGACTCGTGCTCAAAACGTTCTGCTTCTGTTATGTCCACTGCGTTCAAAAACCCCACTCGCGGGGGCAGAACATCCCGACTAGCGGCGGTACTCTTTGTTCGACTGCTCGTCTTCGCGCGGCTGGTCAGCAGCCGCTCGCGGTGCTTCTTCACGGACGCGTCCCGGTTTCGCTTGACCGCGGGCGAGAGCTTGTTGCGCGACGGCGAGGAAGTCAGAGTGTGGCTTGCTTGCGGCTGGGAAGGATGATCCGGACTGGCATTACTGATCGTCTGCTGGGAACTTGTTGGAAAAGCGCCTTCGCTTTGCTGCGTCGCGGAGACAAAAAGCGCAAAGTCGATCGCGTCACGAGCGCTCGACGCTTGTGGTTCTTCTAGAAGCTGGGGGACTGCGGCAGGACCGCTTGCTGTTCCAACAATCTGCTCATCCGGCGCGTTTGAAGATTTTTCGTCATGCACCGCCAAATTTCCGCACTGCAGCGAAGTTGTATGAGTCAACCGTTCGTCACGGGCTCGCTCATCAACATTTGGTCGTGCCGACTTCTCATCAACAGGACAAGCTGAATCTGTATGATTGCCTTGTTCTTTCTTCTCGCCGGCAAGTACAGCGGCATCCGTACTATCTTCAGCGACAAGAGCCTGCTCTTCCACTACCGGCGCAGTCGTCCCGGAAGCCGTCAGCATCTGCAAGGCAGTCCCGCCGATATTAGCACCGACCGGTAATAGCATTGCCATGCTGCGCGTCAATGCTGTTTGGTCGCGCAGCAGCATCATCTTGTTGCTGTACGCCGCAGCGAAGGGGCCAGAAAGGTTGGCTGTTTTATCGTGTTCATCCGAAGATGAGGTCTTTATTTTACCGAACGGATTTTTTTGCCGGTGCTGGAACAAGCTGTTCGCGGGCTGTATGAGCCCGCGCTGCGGCCCCTGGCCAAGCTGCAACACGCGCGGCTTCTCCAACATTCGACTCGGAGTCAACGGAGACTCCGGCTTGCCTTGCGAATACTGGCGCCGAGAAGGGCTGGCGGTCGGGGACGAAGGCGAAGCTTGTTCAGGCGGTCTATTTTCCGACCTTTCGAATACTTCGTCGGCACGCGAACTTTCGACGGAACCGCGCTGTTCAGAATGCACAGTGCCAATAAAATCTTTCGGGGCCTCGCTGCCGACTGCTGCAACAGGTGGGTTGCCCTGATCCTCCGAGCGCTTTTGGCTGTTCCGCGCGAAACTACTCTGCAGCCCGTTACGGTTCAACTGAATGAAATTCTTCCCACCGGCGCCCCTCCGGACTGACGAGCTGCGAGACCGAAGATGAACCGCTCGCTTCTTAGTGAATGACGGGGGAGAAGCAGGACCTTTTTCCTCGTCACACTTCACCGGAACGCAAGTTGTCAACCGTGAGGGGAAATACACCTTCCGCATGGGCGGCGACCATAGATCAGTGTGGTCTGCGCTTTTATTCCTCTCTTCACTAGCATTCTTCATCCCAGACGGTCCGCCCTGAAAGTACTGCTTTCGCACAGATGTTGCAGTCGGAGACGTCGCGTTCTTTGAGGACCCGCCAACCAAAATGGATTTGCTCGGACTCCCAGGCGTGGAAGTAATAGACCCAGAGACCTTATCCGCAAACGCGGCGGCCTGTTTCAAACTGGGCGACAGGGGCGTCGGAGATGCGCTAGTACGGTGGGCGGATGCGTCACGCACTTTCAGTCCTGGGCTGCCGCTCCTAGTGCGGCTGCGTCCTCGCCCGGACCACTTGGGGCTACGACCACTGCTCCGCGCTCCGCTGCGGTCGCGGGAGGGGGTGGGGGAAAATGCGTACTGGTTGTGCTGCAGACCGTTGGGGGATGTCGTTCCGTAAACAATACTGTTCTCCAGCTTTTCGTAGCTTTTCTTCCAAACATTTTCGAAATTCTCTTCCCGCGCCGGCTTGCTCGCAGAAGATGTGGTCTCTTGATCATTCTTGCTAAGTGAGAGGACCAGGCTTTTATTTTTGACGCTGCTAGTACTTTTCGTCAGAAGAGCTTTACTGTTCACTTTCATCTTCGCAGAAAATGTGCTCGATTTTGCAAACAGGTCTTTGATCGGGGTGGTCAAAAGGTCCTTCGCGGTGAGATGATGGCTTACCGCCACACTATTGCTGGTCAACAGGGTCGGAAAAAGTGTGGCGCTCGCCTGCCGGCCTTCGTCTGCACAGTAACCTTGCTCTGCGGATTCTGTTCCAGCCCATGTACTGCGTTCTTCGTTCTGCGCGACGCTGGGAACTACAACAGGCAGTGGATTCTCGATAACGACGCTGCTAACGACGTCCTTTGCGATCAAACTATCTGCCGAGAGAATTTTCGTGCCGTTCTCAGCCGAGTAGCGAAACGGGACGGAAACCGATGCTGCCGGAACGTTGACACCTACTCCAGTGACCCCGTCGTTCCGCCCGGAAGACACGGCGGTTTGCTGATCCGACTCGTAGTCTTCCGCATCGCTTTTCACGTCCGGGTACTTTTCGCGGAGCATCAAGAGACCCTCGCTCTCCACGCGCACCACCAACTCGGTTGGAACGAACACGCTGCTGCTGTTGGCGGACACGTAGGAGTGCGCGCTTGCACTCCGTACCGAGGCGACCGATGCCGGGCATTCCTGGAAGCTGTCTTCGCTTGCGAGTAGCGTGTGCTCGGGTGGGGCCGCGCCAGCCGTAGCAGCTGTCGCTTCACGCAGGAAGTCGACGGGAGGTCGTAGCATTTCTCTTCTTAAGGAGGAGCACAATGGAATGGGGGCTATTTTTTCTGTTGAAACTCAAACTGGTGGAAAAACTTGCAGCGCTAATTTAGCTGGGCCGTCAACATTATTTTCCTGTTCGAGCAAAATCCAATCCGTTCAATGCTTGAATACACGGGTCACGACCCTAAACTCCAGGACGCACAAAAAAACGAAGATGACGCTTTACACAAAAATCTGAAAAAGGAAAAAAAAACGAGTGGGTCAAAAAACAAGCTATCAAACAGCAGGCAAAGGGATCAAGCGAAAAAAAAAACGAAAAAAAATGTTGAAAAAAGCAATGACGATCAAAGATTGCCAAGATATCACAATTCAAGCGAGCGTTATAGGTGTTCGGAACTTCATCTTTCGAGCTTACTACACTTTGCTACATGGAACTCTTACTTTCTTGTTCTCTGTTCTTCGTATGAGAACTACCGTGAGTGCACACCGCATGGGCACGCAACACTAGTCGCTGTTCCACTTCATTTCCTTGTGTTGAGTCGCTTTTTTTTTCTTTTTGCTTCAATTTTACATCAACCTTAGATTTTCCGAGGCATCTTCATGCGCACCATCGCTAAAATGTCGTCGTTTATTCTTTTCCACCCGCGGCTTTTTTGGCAGCACGTGTGTCTGGTAGGATCTACTCCTGTCCTCTCCCTTCCTACTTCACTTCCTCAGCGAAAAACTGCTTCAAAATTTCCCCGTACTCCATGTTCTCCAGCCTGCCCACCATGTCGCTGATCTGGTCGTCTAGGGCCTGTTTGGAGATGAAACTGTGCTGGATCTCAAACTCGCGGAACAGGCTCCACAGCTGCGCCACGGACTCCACCAGCGACACGTGGATCGGGCGGAACAACACGTGAAAGGTGCTGAAGTTCTGACTCGCCGCGTGGCTGTCAAACCCGTCCTCATTCGCTTCGAAGCGATTGGTCAGGTATATCCGCATCTTCGCACACAAAAGCGGGACTTTACTGGTCACAGACTGCAGGAAATCCGCATTCAGCTTCTCCAGTGCAGCTGGCTGCAAGAAGGATTTGCTCTTGGCAGCGGCCTGAAGTAGAATGATCGCAACAAATTATAATCTGGATTCGTCAAAAAAAAGTGACTCATTCATTGTCACTGGATTCCTCTGAAGTAAAACGAATGGAAAAGAAAAGTCTTGTACTTGACACATCAGCCAAGAAATAAACCAGCCTTATCCATGTAACATACCACTTGCTCCCGTGTCTCGGTGCCGTAGCTACCCATCTCCTCGGTGACGCGCGCGTTGAATTCCACCAGAGGCAGCGCTATGCTTTGAATTTGCTCTTGAATCAGCACCTCACACGCGTTCCGCAACTCTGTTTCCATGTCCTTCTTGCTGTCGATTCTTGTTTCCGTCAACTTTGGCGTGAGAATGCGGAACAACTTCCCCGAGACGCGCAGAACGCCCCGGTCGTTCGCGGCGCGCGAAACCGTCGACGCGAGAGAACTGCTAATGGTATCCTTGGAGCTTGGGGTGCGGATCTCCGCAAACGCGTCTTTTACGTTACCGTAGATTGCTGCGAAATCGAAGAACTTCTCCTTGCAGACCAAGTCGCATTCGAAAGACACAACTTGTTCCCGCAACACGAGTAGGTGCTTGATCAGAAACAGCTGCCCATCCATGTTGCTCTTGATCTTCGTGCTGTAGTACTTCAGGGTCCCGATGCAGGCATCCACTGATTCCTGCGCTAAACCCTGGAACGTCGAAATTTCCAAAACGCGAAAAATTTTTGACAGCACCAGGAGCGTGCGCTCGAGTGTGACGAAATTGCCCTTCGAGCTGCCTTTCGCCAGGTAGTACTCCATGTCCGCGAGCGTTTCGTTCGGCTTGTCGAAGTTGCGAAAGAGCATCGCGGGGTATGAGAGTTGCCTTTCGTCCTGGAGCACGAAGCCCTTAATTTCGTCACGGATGTACATCTGCACACGAAAAATTAGCCGTTCCTGTACGTCGCGATAGAGCCGGAGAACGATACCCAGCAGCGCAACCAGGTCGTGTTCTGTATGGAAAAAAAAAGAGATAGAGAATCAAAATGATGCTTCTAGTATACCGGAGAATTGAATCTTTTCTTCGGACCTCTATAGCAGTCATAAAGTGATCATGCTGCTCGATTGATAGAAGAGCACCGGTCGGTTAACAATTTTTAATCATAACATGGAGTAATATAATAAACATGTCTGTTTTTCGGCAGTCAATATCACATTTCTCTGACCTGATTTCCCGCTCGCCACGTCGGACTGGTGCGGCTGTAGAATGTCGAGCTGCTATCCAGTGCAAAAGTATGAGTATCGTACTAGAAGTATAAATCGCATGACAAATTTCCTCAGCATGAGAAATGAAATTTGGAATGCGGATTTAACTTGACAAAAAAACCTGTACTGCATAAATGCGATTAGTACGAGTACGATACTTTTGCAATGCATAGCTGCAATGCGTCCGCAATTTCCCGAAGCACGTCGATGTATCCTGAGAAAAAAAGCTTACAGTTAAAAACCCTGCTGCAAGACAAGCGAGGCAAAATGCGACTGCCTGCCAGGCTCATAATAATTTCATGCATATTCATGCGTGTTTCTGTTTTCCATAAATAATCTTTAGAATTTTTCTTTGCCATGTAGAGCAAGTTTCCGTTGCTGAAGTTCCAACAGATGTGCAAGTAACTGTAACACATTTTTTCATCCTGGATACGATGTCATCGAACGAGAGTATCAAAGGCCGGATGAGATCGTAAAGCAGAGTCCCGAAGTGCTTGATCAGACCGTCAAGCGAGTCCTGCGGGTGTCGCGCGTCGAAGTAGGCCAGGAAAGTTTGTTTCTCTAAAATACAGAGTTTCAACACGTAGGTGGAGATCTGTCGGATGCAGGCGCTGGGGTCTTCTTGGAAGTTCACCATCACGTTTTGCATGTGCTGCTGCAAGGGACCGGACACCAAGCGAATGCGCATCTGCACGAAAAAGTTTTCCAGCTCGTCCAGCGCCTGGCCGTAGATGTCCGCGCCGTCGCGTCTGCGGTAGAGCTGCTGCGCCAGCGGCTTCATGTGGGTCGCCGCAGCGCGGAACCGCACGTAGAAAACTGACGTCTCGTACCTGTAGTTGTTATTTGAGAGAACGACTCGAATTCCGATTGGAACAAGTCTTGTACTAGCGGCCAGGGGCCCAGGGGCCAGGGGAGAAGTTTTCTCGATTTTATTCATCAATCACAATGAACAAATTCTTTCTCCTCTTCTTCCCGATACCCGCTTTTCCCGCCCGCCGCGGACTCGACTTGTTCCAAAACCTGCTCTAGTGTCCGCTCCAAGTTCCTACAGACCTGCGTCTTGAGCATCTGGCACGCACGGCGGCGCATTTGGTCGTAGTCGCGCAGATACTGCTTCGAGTCGTAGTACTCCGGATGCCTTTCCAGAAACGCTATGCCGTCGTCCAACGCATCCAAACACCGCTCGAATTCGTCCGTCGGAGCCGAGTGGGGGCCGCGGTCGAGGATCCGCTGCAGGTCCACCACACGGTCGAACTTCTCCAGCCTCTCGCTGATCGACTTCGTGTACTCTTCCAGGACGTGTTGTTCTTTCAACAAGTGTTCGCACTGGTGGTGTAGCACGTCGTATCCAGTGTAGAAACGGACCCACCCCAATTCTGCATGCCCAGTATAATGTGTGTCATGCGGCACTCCATGAAGATGAGAGGCAGTTTCTAGTGATGCTTGGAACAAATCTGTCGTGCGCTAAACAGGTCAAGACAGTGGATTTGTATTTATGCGTTTGAATTAGCTAGACACGACTACACTGCATAACCAAGTTTGTCATACGTGAGCCGGACAAGTTCTTCACGATTTGTCTTGCAAAACTTCCATCTTGACTCTGGGATGGGGACGTTTTTACACAGGATACGTCGCATTTGTGCGAGACTTCGCGCCGAAAATGCTCCACCTGCTCCAATTTTTCAAAAGCGAGCGCAAGGGAATCGCAGACCTGAGAGGCGAATAAGGAGGATGAGTATGTTAGAGAACTTTAGAACATTGGTCTGCTTCTTGTGGAACTGCGCCCTACGTGCAGCTGAGGAGGTCTCACAGCATTTACAACAAGAACAGCATGCCAGGCAAAAATCATCGAATGAAGCCGCACCTCGTGACAAAGTTGCTGGTGGTGGAAAATCCAGCCCCAGTTCGTCAGATAGGCCAGCGACTCCGTTTCCTCTTCGTATTGCCGCTCCATTTTCTGGAAGAACCGGTAAAAGTCCTCCTCCTTTACCGGTTTGGAACTTGAGGAAGAGGACGACGCCGTCGCCACCATGGCTGAAACATCCTCCAGCAGTGCCTGCTGCCTCTGCGTCAGGTTCGCCATATTGTCCTTTGCTCGTCGCGCGCAGAAGTTTTCTGCGCTGCAGCAAGGAGTGCTGATGGAGAAAAATCAATAACGTATCATTTTGCAGGGCATACAGTCTTCAGTAGACGTAGCCTGATGTAGTTGGGAGGTAGAACATTTACCGGCTCTTGGACTAGATCTAAAGCGGAGAAAGAACTGCAGAGCGTTGTAAGAATAAGAACTTGAATTAATAGCTGTTGTAGTTGTCGCTGTAGCAGGAAAATTAAAACGACTCGTGTATACATACCACGTCGGGCACTTCTGACCTATTTCCGGTTTTGCGTTTTCTTTGCCAGATAATTTTCCACTAGAAATGATTCACGACAGATTCAAGATCTCCATCTTCTTCTTCGCAAGCCGAGACACAACAGATACTAGCGAAATTAATGGAACGACCACGAGAAAAAGGACTTACAACCACGATTTTTCGCAATGAAAGCCTAGTCTTCCTAATCAAAAACCAAACCGACCTTTCCAAAACGAAAAGCTGACCGACGTCACCAGAGGCACGAAGCGTGAACAAGAAACAGCAAGTGCTCGTCGTCCAAACTGCGTGTCAGCAACAGGTCGATGAACCTGACCTGACAGCGTGGCGATGGACATGTTTCGCATACTTCGTCGTGCGCGGCACGATCAAGTCGTGAAAACGGGTGAGATTTCTTGGAATTGTTCACAAAACTCTTCAGGAGCGTGCCAGGGCTTCAAGCTCAATCATTCAAGCAGCGCTGCTAATAAACGTACTACAAACAGCGGCTTCCTTCTATTCCTAGAATTCCATGGGCGCATCTAAGCCAGTTCCGTGAAGTAGTTGCTCTTCCCGCGCGAACTGCAGGTAGTTCTCCTGATCCAAGTATTTCGAGATGTTCACGTCCTCGGCTAGGCCCTTTCTTCTGCGCGTCTTCAGCATGAATTCCCGTGCCAGGTGCGGTATGGGTGCGGGCTCCAGCGGGCGCAGGAGAATGGACCGGTCCAGAGGATCGCCGGGTACCTGGGACCAGTGGTCGAACCAGGTGACCACCATGGCTTGCCCGTTGCAGTGCGACCGCAAATCGGTTTCGAACCCGAACGACTCGATGACCGGCAGGTAGGCCTCCACGATGTACAAGGGGGAGCCTGGTTTCGGGAAATCTCGGGCGACGTGCCCCCTCCTCCGCGACAGAACGGTGTACACGCCCTGCACTGAGTCGGCCGGACAAGTGACTTCCGCAAAAAACACCGGCTCCATCATGCGTGGCGCAGCCATCAGAAAGGCGGCGTAGCTGCACCGTCTGGCGCACGGAATTAACTGACCGCCGCCGCGCATCTGCGGGTTCTCGTGCAGTCTCGCGTCCAGAAGCTTCCACTTCACACCCCGGATCGCCTCGTCGCATAGTGGACCTGATATTACGTTTTTTATGAAGATCGCGCCCGGAGGGCGATATTGGTAACCAAATGCGTGCGCGAAAATCTAACCAGCGCGAAAGCCAAACCAGCCGCGCCACGAAAGCGCGGCCCTGCGGGCCGCGCTTTCGCCGCGCGGCTGCCACCACCATTTCTTTTTAATATAGAATCCCACTTCTTCGCCATTTATCGCGGGCCATCGGGGGCATCCGGATTCGCATTCAAAGCTTATCGCAGGAGCCTGCGGGCCGCCGCGGGCTCCACCACTTCCCCGCGGCCCTAAAGGGCCGCGGACAACTACTGTCGCCCGCGGCGGCCCGCAGGCTCCTGCGATAAGCATTG